ATTGATTACAAAACGGACCTGAATAACCTTGATAACAATGACAGAAATATTTCGATTGATTGTTTGCATATCGAAGACACCGACCATGTAAACCACATTGCAAAAGACATGGGTAATATGTTCGTTCTTTTGGGATAATCAGTTGCGTTGAAATTCGATTAACAGGAAGAAATTGAAATGGATTGGGTAAGTACCAACTTGTCCAATGATCCAATGCAACTTTATCGAAAAGATCAATATGAATTGAATAAATTGTTGAAGGAGACTTTGGTCGTTGTGAATATAAAAGATAAAGGTGAAACTTTGTTCCACAATCTCGATTTGGTACAAAGAGAATTTCTTCATGTTTACCAACGATTTTATTTTGTTCATTAATCAACATAATAATCACTTGAAAGCTACTTGCGACAGATGTTGTACGCGGCAAAATAAAGTGAATTGTAAGACTAACTCGTTGATTTTGCCATTGACATCGAGATCCAAAATAACTTGGCGGACAAAGGCAAGTTTTTGTCTGATTTTGCCCAAATAAAATGAGAATACCTCGATTACAAAACCATGTCTCGGATATATTCATAGAATAATAAATGTTGTTCTCTTTCTCAATTGTAGATTGATGTCGAACAGAAGATGACGAGTTTACACGCGGATAATTACCTAATCTTGATGCCATTAAAAATAATCGCCTACGATTGCGAAGTATGTCAATATCCAAATGGCAAAGTTTCTGTTGTGTATCAAATAGTACTATCGGATGTTTGGTTTCAAGTTTAGGACTTAACACTGAATCATATAAGCATATACCATTGTTGTTCGTTATGCTTACCATTTGTTCTTGTCGACATATATTGTTCCAAAAGAAGCATTTAGTTTTATTCCATGGGTAATATGCACTTTCGTTGATATCAGCACTTCCATTGTTGAGATAGAGCGCTCGACCGAAGTGAGACACACACAAGCTTTGAATATCATCGACTATTTGACTAGCTGGCAAACAGTGAGTTAATCTTGATTGATCATCGTAACATTCATGTTCATTTGATAAACAATGCGAATAAGGGCAATTTAATTCATCAACGCCATTCGAACAATCCCAGATCTTATCGCATTTAACATATGGATTATTACATGGCCACAGTTCACAAAAGCTTCTATCTCGATGAGGACCGATGTATAGATGTTGCCCCGCCTGGCCAAGACAAATTTCTGAATATGATTTTGTCCTATTAAAATCTTGTTTCGAATGAATCTCTTCATCATCTTTACTACCACAGTCTCGAAAACCGTTACCAATCGCAACAGGTGACAAACATATATAGCCGCCAAGTGGACACTGATATCGACGTGTATCATTGAATGGGCAAGCAGAATAATATTCATCTTCGCTATGAATACAGTCTTCATGACTATCTTGAATTCGATGATATGAAATACATTTTCTTGATTCATTACAATGAAATTGCATCGAATTATCACAAAAATCTTTTGTATCGGTGGTTAAACATTGTTTAATAATATGATGAAGATTCAATAATAAACCATTCAACCTGTATATTTGATATTCCGTTGTTAAATTTGATGCCGAACTACAAGTCAAATCGTTGATTATTCCAAGGTTATCCACTCGATCTTTAAAAACAGGACATTGGTTTATATTAAAACAAATGAGATCAGGTTGAATATTTTCTTTGAATTCTTCGACTGAACGATTAGTAAAATAGATTAATTGAAAATATCCAAGCATAGTTGCGCTTTGCGGTAAAACTAACCATTTCGATGAACACTTTTTTCCTAATGATTCGCATTGTTTAGATGACATTCTTTTGCTCGATATTTCATTGATATGAAGTGAACAGTAAAATGCTTGTCGACAATCCTTTTCTTTAATATGATCTAATGATTCAAACAACTGTCGCATCATTTCTCCATCGCGATTGTTTTTGCATGTCGCGATGTTTAAACGCGTAAACATACCATGCGTATATTCACCATCGCCACATGGATATTGTTGCGGATATCGTGTAGTTCGCTCTTCACATCGAAATATTGGTAAATTTATACAATTGTAATTATACGCTGAAGGCCGACCAGCATTTGGATAAATATGAACGTCATGCTCATCACTGCCATCTAGACAATCGACACTACTGAGACTTTCCCATGCAAATTCTAATGGAATACATTGACCATTATGGCAACGATATTCATTTTCGTTACATTGATTCATTTCAAGTTCTTCGCAATATTGTTCATCTTCGCCATTTGGACAGTGCAGTTTCTTATCACAAACTTCACGCCAATCGAGACAATTTGGCCACGATTGACTATTACAATTCTCAATAAAAGGGTAACATGTGCCTGTTTTCATTAAGATTCTTGATCGTCGAACAAAAGTTTCATTCACAATCTCATTAAAGGTCATTGACGAATCATAAGGAAATCTGTATTGACATTTTGAACCAAACCATGGTAATGAACAATTGTAAAGAAAACTTTCATTATTCATCTCATATTCTTCAATGATATCGATCGGTAAAGACCAATTTAGTAAATGTTCGCTTGTAACATTTTGTCGTTTTAAGTCTGCAAAATGGAGTTTTGTTGAAAGATCTTCATCAATCGAATCTTTCGATTGTTCTTCGTCATCTTGTGCTCTTATACAGTAAGGAATTAGATAATAATTCCGAATGTAAGGTGCATCGGTAATTAAATTTCGATCAAAATCCCAAACAGCATAAAGACAATCATATGAAGATGGGTAATCATTCGAATGATACATAAGATAATGGACATGACTTGTATGCCATATTGTAAAGAAAATTAACACACGCAAGAAATGCATTTTCTAGTAATGACGTACATCAGAGGTTTTTTACTTTACTTGTAAAATATGTTTTGGCTTCTTCTTTCTACAGATAAAAAGAAACAGCAAATATACTTTTGCTTTCATTGTCCTCTCCATCACTTTATTTCATGACATCAGGCATAGCGATGTTCGACACCAACAGGATATGTATATGACAACATATAAACCTGTTACTGAATTTGATAATCATCAAAAAGGATAAAATGAAAATTTTATCATGATTAGCAACACGTGTAGATGTCTTTTTGTTATTCGGATATTTTACGTTGTCCTTGTTGGCGAGTTATTCCTCCTCTTCTTCATTTTTGTCCTATATTATGAGATATTCGTTTTTTTAAGCCTATCATTCAATACTATGTGTCATCTCTTTCTTTTACTCTTTCTAGTAGTCCTTCTTTTTTTTATTGTTTCTTGATTATCTGATGGCATTGGATCCACAAAAAGGATTAAATGAGAAATAGTCGAACGAAAGTCAGTTATCACGAAAATTGAAAAGGCGATAACCAATTGCATTCCCATTCATTCTTGCAAATAAATTAAACAATGTGCCTCCATTTAGCTACATAAATCTTGCGTTCTTTACATTTTCTATTCTTCCGATATTTGCGCATAAAGTGTCATGACGACATCTTGCCATTGTTCATCTCACTTCATCATTCTTATTCCATCTGTCTCTCCTTCAGCTCAAAGTACATACTTACAAATTACTGTAATAAAAACAAAAAAGAACCAGTTTTTCAAATGAATAATTTATGTGCGTGGATAGATGTGCTTTCAAACATGAATATACAGGCTCTTTGTCATATCGATGAGTTTGTTTTTCTTCTGACACTTCGCATATCAGATGCAGTATTGATATTCTTATGAATCGTTCCCCCGTCACGCGTATCGCTTAGGATTGTGTGACATTTTCCTCCCACTATATGTATCACTTATTTGATTGGTATATATACTTTCCTTATTTTGGTAAAGTTGAGACTTCGTTCTCACATGCAACAACAATTTACTACTCAGTTAGTATTGTATAGTTTTACGTGCTTCTTTGATTCCACTGTTGTCCTTATTTTTCGTTGCAGTATCCGTTGAAGAAACTGAGAGAGACGGAAAAGAAGGAAGGAGGGGGAATAATTGACCACGTTGAATTTGAATAGATTACTATTGTCTTGCAAGGACATTCACCTCTGAATCGTGCTGAACTGATAAGCATGAGAAATGTACAAGTTAAAACGGATATATATATATATCAAGTAACATTGAATGCGATTATTTTGTTTTGTAGGCAATTCAGTAAATCATGACAAATTCAAAGAACCGAATCATTGGTGAACATGGCGTTGCTAATACAATGGAAAATACTTCTACTGGAGAAAAGTCCCTTCATGCAACAAAAAGTTTCAATGCAGGAGATATTGTAATACGTACATTCATTTATTATTAGAGAAACTTTAAGCAATCCAACATATTTGCACTACGTTAACCATAGTTGTCAACCAAATGTTTATTTTGATACCAAACAAATGAAGTTATTTGCATTAAAAGAAATTCAAATTAGTGATGAATTACTTTATTTCTATCCATCAACAGAATGGAGTATGGAACAAGCATTTAATTGTTTATGTTATACAAAGACATGTTTGCAAAGAATTCAAGGCGCTCAGTATCTTTCGTCAGAAAATATCCAAGAACATCGTCCTAGTAGTTTTATCCAACAAAATTTTAGTGAACTAAATAACAATAAACTCTCTCGCTATAGAAATCAGAAATAAGTAAGAAATATTTTCAAATTTCAATTGATATTCCATGGTTATATTTCGATCTTACCTTTCAAGTGGAGCATTGCATCTATGAGATGTGTGTAAAAGATAAAACTGAAGATTATAGCAGCATGAAAAAGTTATTTTCATACGAAACTTCAACGCAATTCATGTATTATGTCGATATTCGTCAAAAGAAATTATGATATGGTACGCCCTTTCTATACATATTTTTGACGTAAATTAGTAATTCCCTACGCATTTGTGTATAGTGCTCGTAAATGCCCTTAATAACTCATTGGGCGTGCCTATTCACCTGGGCATTTATATATACACGTTTAATAAACAGAAATTATCATTTATATTCGAATAGAACAATAATGCGTTACATTGCCCTTCTCTTCGTACTCTTTGCTTTTATTTATCTGACTCAATCGAATGTTTTAAAACACAGTAAGATTTGATTTTACAAAAGCGATTGTAATTCTCACCATATCTTCCAGGCGATGATGATAAATGCCAATATAATAATCTTGGAATACATTGTGATATAGCTTGTACAAATTCGATGATACAACAGCTTTGTTCAACTGGTTCGAAGTGTTGTACAAGTCACCATGATTGCGGAAGACATCAAAGATGCTGTCCACCATCATCGTGCACATGTGTCAAACGTTGCGAAAACGAAACTCGCCATGATTAAAAGACGTGCTTTGTGTTTGTTCTTTTTTTGTGTGAGTAATAAAATCACATCTTTCGAAATTTCTCACTGGGTATTTACCCTGTCACTTGAATGGCATCATTTATTGACTCAATCACTATATAAGTCGAAGAGTAAAACAAAAGTTGAGCATGTCATCAGATCGAAAATGCTCTTCGAATCTCTCCCAAATGAATTGCTAATTCTCTGCTTCAAATATCTCAACGCACCGGATGTTTTCTACTCACTTGATCACTTGAACCATCGTTTCGATAGTCTCATTCGAACTATGTCATTGTGGTTAAATTTTGAAAATGTCAAAAGCAAATTCTTATGTGACCAATTTGGTATGAAAATGTCGATGGAAGAATCCATTCGACGGCAAATTCGTTCGTTACGTTTATCCAACAAGGAAACATGTTATCCAATTCATTTTTTTCTTTCGAAATTTTCAATTTTGGAATTCTCTCAGCTCCGTCGTCTGGCTTTGGTTCGAATCACAGTAGGAAACTGGGAATGTCTTCAATCAATCTTACCACAATTATCTGCATTATCTTCTTTTCAAGTGTTAGATTGTGATTCATACCGTGTGAACTTCACAACTGTCTTACCAATGTCGCAATTACAAACTCTAGTTATACCACAATCATTCAAAGAGTGCTTTTGTACTAATCAATTAGCACGAATGATCCATCTGACCATCAAGGAATGTACGTTAAATGTGTTACTCAATCTATTAAAAGATGCACCAAATCTGAGCTATTTAAAGATAGGACGTGTTTGTAGGAGCACACCTATAGAGCCAGTTTGCTGTACAAGTAAACTGAAGTCATTAATTATAAATTTGTTTTACGGTAATGCCAATAATCTTTGGACGCTTTTCCAACAAACACCAAATTTAGAAGAATTAATAATAGAAACTTCGGATGATCCGACTTTCCTCGNAATATAATAATCTTGGAATACATTGTGATATAGCTTGTACAAATTCGATGATACAACAGCTTTGTTCAACTGGTTCGAAGTGTTGTACAAGTCACCATGATTGCGGAAGACATCAAAGATGTTGTCCACCATCATCGTGTACATGTGTCAAACGTTGCGAAAACGAAACTCGCCATGATTAAAAGACATGCTTTGTGTTTGTTTTTTTTTGTGTGAGTAATAAAATTACATCTTTCGAAATTTCTCGCTGGGTATTTACCCTGTCACCTGAATGGCATCATTTATTGACTGAATCACTATATAAGTCGAAAAGTAAAACAAGTTGTGTATGTGATCAGATTGAAAATGCTCTTCGAATCTCTCCCAAATGAATTGCTAATTCTATGCTTCAAATATCTCAACGCACCGGATGTTTTCTACTCACTTGATCACTTGAACCATCGTTTCGATAGTCTTATTCGAACTATGTCATTGTGGTTAAATTTTGAAAATGTCAAAAGCAAATTCTTATGTGATCAATTTAGTATGAAAATGTCGATGGAAGAATCGATTCGACGACAAATTCGTTCGTTACGTTTATCCAATAAGGAAACATGTTATCCAATTCATTTTTTTCTTTCGAAATTTCCAATTGTGGAATTCTCTCAGCTCCGTCGTCTGACTTTGGTTCGAATCACAGCAGGAAACTGGGAATTTCTTCAACCAATCTTACCACAATTATCTACATTATCTTCTTTTCAAGTATTCGATTGTGATTTATACCGTGTGAACTTCACATCTGTCTTACCAATGTCGCAATTACAAACTCTAGTTATACCACAATCATTCAAAGAGTCCTTTTCTACTAATCAATTAGCACGAATGATCCATCTGACCATCAAGGAATGTACGTTAAATGTGTTACTCAATCTATTAAAAGATGCACCAAATCTGAGTTATTTAAAGATAAGACGTGTTAGTAGGAGCACGCCTATAGAGCCCGTTTACTGTACAAGTAAACTGAAGTCATTAATTATAAATTCGTTTTACGGTGATGCCAATCATCTTTGGACGCTTTTTCAACAAACACCAAATTTAGAAGAATTAATAATAAAAACTTCGGATAATCCGACTTTCCTCGATGCTGATCTATGGGAATCTTTCATAATTGATCTATTACCATATTTAACAATTTTCAAGTTTAAATTCGAGGCTTTCGGCTTAACATCGATCAGCGAAGATATGTTCACGCGTTTTCAAAATGATTTTTGGTGTGTACAACATGCTTGGTTGACAGAATACATGTTAGACAACAATTCAGGATTAGTTTATACAATTCCATATCCATCGGAGGAATATAGTATAGATATAACGAATGGACATCGTCGTGTGAATGGATCAATCCATACATTCGATGATGTGAAAAAATTAGATTTTCAACCGCCCTATTGTGAAAAAAATAATGGATATTATTTTGCGAATGTCGATTCGTTAGAAATTAGCGATCCGTACCTAGCAAGCAGGTGTTTTATTCTAGTAGATTATCCAGATTTAGAACGTCTTGAAATGTTAGTCAAGTTCTCGAATATCAAGCATCTCACTGTATCTCATGAAATACAATTTAAAACGTCAAATATATTGAAAGAAATATTCGAATTTGCAACACAGTTGTCATCGTTGGAAATTTCATTGGAATATTTGATGAGTCTATGCGAAAATGATGAATTATGTCAATATTTCAGCAAATATATTCAAAAATTGAATATCAATGTTCATTCATTTCGGAATTCAAATCAACGAAAGCAGTTTTGTAAAATATTTGTTAACCTCGAACAACTTCAATATTGTATGGAGAAATCCAACATTTACTTTTTAATCAAGCATTTGCCCAAATTAACATATTTAAATATTTTCAATAATTCGTGCAATGAGTCGATTCGAGANAATCTGAGCTATTTAAAGATAGGACGTGTTTGTAGGAGCACACCTATAGAGCCAGTTTGCTGTACAAGTAAACTGAAGTCATTAATTATAAATTTGTTTTACGGTAATGCCAATAATCTTTGGACGCTTTTCCAACAAACACCAAATTTAGAAGAATTAATAATAGAAACTTCGGATGATCCGACTTTCCTCGATGCTGATGTATGGGAATCTTGCATAATTGATCTATTACCACATTTAACAATTTTCAAGTTTAAATTCGAGGCTTCCGGCTTAACATCGATCAGCGAAGATATGTTCATGCGTTTTCAAAACGATTTTTGGTGTGTACAACATGCCTGGTTGACAGAATACATGTTAGACAACAGGTCAGGATTGGTTTATACAATTCCATATCCATCGGAGGAATATAGTATAGATATAACGAATGGACATCGTCGTGTGAATGGATCAATCCACACATTCGATGGTGTGAAAAAATTAGATTTTCAACCGTCCTATTGCGAAAAAAATAATGGATATTATTTTGCGAATGTCGATTCGTTAGAAATTAGCGATCCGTACCTACCAGGCACGTGTTTTATTCTAGTAGATTATCCGGATTTAGGGCGTCTTCAAATGTTAGTCAAGTTCTCGAATATCAAGCATCTCACTGTATCTGATGAAATACAATTTAAAACCTCAAATATATTGAAAGAAATATTTGAATCTGCAACACAGTTGTCATCGTTGAAAATTTCATTGGGATACTTGATAAGTCTATGCGACAATGATGAATTATGTCAATATTTTAGTAAATTTATTCGAAAACTGAACCTTAATAGTGGTTCATTTCGAAATTCAAATCAACTAAAGCAGTTTTGTAAAATATTTGTTAACCTCGAACAACTTGAATATTGTATGGAGAAATCCAACATTTACTTTTTAATCAAGCATTTGCCCAAATTAACATATTTAAATATTTTCAATAAGTCGTGCAATGAGTCGATTCGAGAAGATTTAGAACAAATGTCCGATTTCGATATCATTACTGACTTCGATGTACATGATAAACACCATGGTTTCTCAATTTGGATCAATCGAAACACGAACATGACTTAGAGTTTGATATCTAGAAGACGTATATATGTGGTGAAAATCTTAGAGTAAAACTTAAAGATGAAAATTGTTTGTGAATAGTATTGAAAACTACGAGTTTTTATACTGTGATAAAACGTTTTGATTGAAGGATAATCACGTTGTTATTGTTGAGAGTAATCAAAAGAGTCTGATCATAATTGTTCAATTTTCGTATAGCTTTAATTCGCTTCCTCCGTTTCCGTGGCTTATTGCCGATAACTTAAATACAAGGCCAAGAAATCCACGGATACCAAACGGTTTTCTAGCAGGTTCTGTGCTGTATTCTGTTTCGGTTTGATTTATCTTAACAGTAGGAAATGCTTCAACACCAGGATAGGAATGATCAGTTTCGGTATTTTCTGCATTCGTTTCAACTTGATGACTCATGGGAGGATCACTACTGGGTTCCGCTGAGGCGTCAGGGAGACCAGGATTTGTTGTTTCGGAATGAGAATCATCACATATGCCGGGAAGACTGAGACCTGCTTCTTCAGAACGAGATGTATTCACTGCTTCAGTAGTTGTATTGGAATTCTCTGTTGAATTTGTGCTATTCGATGGGGTGTTGTTAGATGCTTGACATTGATCTTCCGCAGGTATATCCTATAAAAAAAAAACAACTGAAAACGTGATAATCGAAGAAGAAACGGTACCATTTTGTTCTTAATATCGTCTGCTATTGCAAATATATCATTAGTTGTTCGCATCTTCCCATTAAAGCTGGGATCTTCAACAATAGTTTTGATATTAGCCAGTAGACGTGGTCCATTTGGGCCGTTGTCTTGTAGCAGACGATTGAGTCGATGATAATCGCTAGGTTTCATATTTTCGAACACTTTGACACCGTTTATCGTAATATCCTCATGATTTGGTACGCCAAAAGCGTCGCGTAAATTCTTTTTCACATCATCAATATTGATATGATAACACAAACGTTCATTCTGTGAGTTGGTAAACGTTTCAATATTCTTTCTGAAAGTGTCATCACTGGTAGGATTATTTACGTCATCGCGATGATTGGCTGATGATTGGAAAAAGTACTCTTTTCGATGACTTGAGCATTTGTTGAAGTTTTCACTGTACTGTTCACTTTCTCCGTTTGTCATCGTACCATAAACACGTTTTTTCGCCAAATCTCTAAGATTGGTGAAGTCTTTCTTTTGTTCAGGATCAGTAGTTCCTTCCTCCCATCGGTCGATCACGTTATCGACCTTTTCATTCATCGTATTTTCGTAAACTGTTTGAGAATTTTTCCACGAAGAATTGAACTCTTCTTCCGATGGACCACCTTGACCTCCCAAATCTTGAACTAGTTTTTTCGTTGCTGCTTCCTGTTGTTCGGCAGGTAACTTTTTAACCTTTTCTAATTCGGTTCGAAACTTTTCCTTATTTTCTTCTGGGATATACTTGTCAAACTCTTCATCCACGCTCTCACGAAAAGTATCCTCCCGACTTGCACCAATTGTGTCGAGCTTTTCGACGAACGCAGCTTTGCCGATTTGATTGTACGCTTCTGGGGTAATATCAATATTTCCATCGACGATCATCCCATCAGCAGTACAAGTAACAACACTACCAGTTTTTCGGATCAATTCGAAGAACTCAGTGGGATTTTCGATCTTGGTCAAGTTTCGAATCATATATGCTTTTTGATCAGAGGTCGAATGCGCTTTTTCCATCTTCGTCATTTCTTCCTTAGCTTCTTCGGACTATTGGAAAACAAAATTCGATGATTATGACCATGGGTATAGATTATTTTGCTTACTTTAAGATTTGATTTAACTTGTTTTAAACACTGCATTTGTTCTGATTCGAAAACGCTTTTAAGAGTTCTTGGTTTTGTTAGAACATTACAAAGCATAAATGTACTCATGCAAAGTTGATAGTAATCTAACCATGTACGTTCTCTTTTCGTCAAGAGATTAAAAATACTAGAAAGAAGTGCTGCCGAACTCGAGAATATGGTCAGCGTATTGGCGATGGTGAACATGGCACTACGGAGTTTACCAATTTCTTAACATAAATCAGAACTCTTCAAACATATCAACATCAGAAGGTTAACTCACTTTCCATAGTTTCCGCAAACGTTTTTCCTTCACGTGCGTATTTCATGGCCTGTGCTCGAAGCACACCAGAGTAAGTCGATAATGCTGCAGAAATCAGAATAAAAACTTCAGTACTAATGCCCTCATCATGCGTGGTCTTATCATAAATGCCATAAGCAGTTCTAAAAACATGACAAAACAGTGCGCAGTTGATCATTCGCAGAATCAAATCAAACTAACCCGGCTAGACCATAAGTCATAACAAAGAAAGAACCAGTTTGAACGACACTCGCTGCCGTTGCGGAGAATAGAGCAGGAGCGAAATATGTGACTACACCTGTCACACCTAAAGCAATTCCACCAACCATGACAACTGTATCAGTGACAGCTTTGATACGTGAAACTAGACAGGTAGCTGGTGTTTCACCTAGCTCTAGAAGGACACGGCCGTTGCTTGTCTCTGTAGGTGTATAAGTTCCATCTTTCGGCGCTAATGTAGCAGCTTTTGGTAATGTGTTGTTTGCTTTATAATCTTCAAAGTTAGTGTAAACTCTACCATTTCTATCGATGAACTTCCGTTGTACATTGATGACGAAAACTAGGAATATGACAATGACAAGATATCGCCGCTCAACATTGTTTGATACCTGGCTCTTCGCTTGCATAAAATGCTGGGTCATTAGCCATTTTAGTTGCAGTTGATACGTAGATGATATTAAAATGAATATGTTCTGGAGTATCGCAGTGCCTGGTAATCACCTTCTTTATTTTGCGAGCTTCAAGTCGTTCTTCACGTGAATAAGTTTTTGTAGGACATGAAGGCGCTGCTTTACTGCTTTCCTAAAATCTTCAGCTCATTTTAAAATTAGAAAAACAAAGGAAGACAAACCGCCGGCATTCGAACACCATGAAGTGCTACTAAAATACGTAATTCCAAAGCATCTCGATGTTCGAAATTGTAGGCGAACCATTCTGTGCGATTATTATCTTTCACGTGTGCATCCTGCATTTTGATGGCTTTTTCTTTCCATTGTTGCAATTCACTATCGCTCCAGTCAAAGTAAGTTCGACCTTCTGGCTTCTGTTCACGAAGATCAACATGACGTGGCTGCCATTCAACAGGTTTCGGTGGTTCATCTGTTGAAATTGGCTAAAAATAATCGAATTTAAATACTAAGAAAATACTTCCGATACAGAAATATATTAGGCTAGATCGTGAGGAACACCTGAAAACCCTGGTTATTAATTTAAAGTAACGGTGATATATTGTATGGCAGTTTACTTACAATTGGTGTTTTGATCTCATCAATGGCTAAAAACAAGTCTTTCATTAACTGATCGGTATTTTTTTTGCATCTTCCTCTTAATGATTTGATTGTCTCCTTAACTTTTCCCTTGATTGTATTTAATTGCATCGCTCGGCATGCAAAAATTGTGTGTATACAATTACGCAGAAGTTGAGATATAGATATGGATTTCTTCTGGCCATTTTCGTCCGCTTCACTATCTTCATCGTCATCCACTAGGAATCGAATGGAGTAGAAAAACTTATTAGGTCGATCAGGATAATTTGAATCGTCGTAAAAGAGTTTCACAATAAATTCCACTCTTGGATTATATTTCTCCGGGATTGTCTTAACCCACTGTTTCATAAGGGCTTCAAATGCTCGCCAAAGCAAATGTGTTCCTACGTGACCGCAATTAAGGGCTGGATTTTGTGGAAAAGTGTTGATGTCAAGCATCCTCCCACCTAATGTGTTTGCCACAATGTGTCCGCATTGGTCGATTGGTTTGTTTTTTTCCGTTCGCTTTCCACGAGCTCTAATTACGTCTCTCAAATTTTCGCATTTTCCGGTCTCTTCGCCGGTGTCAATATGTCGTTTATATATAGTAGCCTTTAACCATACAGGCTTTAGCTTCTGGTATCTATCAGAGTTAAGACGCTGCTCCTGCACTTCCACATCCAGATAGCTATTGGCAGGAACGGCGAATACTTCTTCTATTGGACCCATATTAGTATATCCGCGCGATGCATCAGGCGTGATGCAAACTAGGTCGGGAATATTCTCAGAATTCGGTTTTTCATCATCGAGATTGTCTTCCGAGCTGTCGGAATCGGCGTTCCAACCGCCAATTATTGGAGGAGGAACCATTACGAAGATTGAATGGTAACCTTTTGTTGATCTAAAATTCATGTTAATGTGTATCTGAGCACATATTTCAAGCATACTCTTGTAAGGACTTCTCAAACTCTTGATTAAAATCTGCTCTGTCCATCTCTCATTTTAGTTTCACCGAAATTGAATATCTATCATAGTGATTTGAGCATGCCTAGCGACGTTCTCGGAGAAACTTCATTCAAAAGCCGTCAAATACGTAAGTAATTAACGAGTGGGGTGATTTTGTTCTTTCGGAGAGTATAGCAAATATAAACTACGAAAACGTTCCAGCCAAAATCTAAAATAACGGTTTCGAGTGTCGTCTATTTACGATGGACTTTCTAACAACGATAAAAAGTGATAAAGATGCATAGAGACTAAAAACAAAATGGTGTAAGAGAATGCGGGCATCATAGACAGCGTAATAAGACAAGTTGCATATAGAAACGAAAAAATGTTTTGATACGAAAGAGAGAAAGAACACGACTTGACTACTGCCACAAAGCAATAACGGCTGAGTTCTATAGCGAAAGCGCCGTTTTTTTTTCTTCTCTCGACGAATAAAAGTCTCCTGACCTGCAAGAACGCAAAAAAAACGAAGTCTAGTGTACTCATATGATACATGTTACAGAATGAAAATCTTATCTCATTCAATCCTCCCGTCGCACATGACATTCATCGAAACTGTGATAACTTCACAAGCTAAAATCTTCTATATTTGCCATTTATCGTTCATTATTCGTCATTCACCAAAAACGATTTCACACACGATGTGTCGTCAGGAGTTTTGAGAGGANCATCGTATTTTCGTAAACTGTTTGAGAATTTTTTCCACGAAGAATTCAACTCTTCTTCCGATGGGCCACCTTGACTTCCCAATTCTTGAACTAATTTTTTCGTTGCTGCTTGCTGTTGTTCGGCAGGTAAATTTTTAACCTTTTCTAATTCGGTTCGAAACTTTTCCTTATTTTCTTCTAGGATATGTTTTTCAAACTCTTCTTCCACGCTCTCACGAAAAGTATCCTCCCGACTCGCACCAATTGTGTCGAGTTGTTCGACGAACGCAGCTTTGCCGATTTGATTGTACGCTTCTGGGGTAATATCAATATTTCCATCGACGATCATCCCATCAGCAGTACAAGTAACAACACTACCAGTTTTTCGGATCAATTCGAAGAACTCAGTGGGATTTTCGATCTTGGTCAAGTTTCGAATCATATATGCTTTTTGATCAGAGGTCGAATGCTCTTTTTCCATCTTCGTCATTTCTTCCTTAGCTTCTTCGGACTATTGGAAAACAAAATTCGATGATTATGACTATGGGTATAGATTATTTTGCTTACTTTAAGATTTGAATTAACTTGTTTTAAACACTGCATTTGTTCTGATTCGAAAACGCTTTTAAGAGTTCTTGGTTTTGTTAAAACATTACAAAGCATAAATGTACTCATGCAAAGTTGATAGTAATCTAACCATGTACGTTCTCTTTTTGTCAAGAGATTAAAAATACTAGAAAGAAGTGCTGCCGAACTCGAGAATATGGTCAGCGTATTGGCAATGGTGAACATGGCACTACGGAGTTTACCAATTTCTTAAAATAAATCGGAACTCTTCATACATATCAACATCAAACGGTTAACTCACTCTCCATAGTTTCTGCAAACGTTTTTCCTTCTCGTGCGTATTTCATGGCCTGTGCTCGAAGCATACCAGAGTAAGTCGATAGTGCTGCAGAAATCAGAATAAAAACTTCAGTACTAATGTTCTCATCATGCGTGGCCTTATCATAAATACCATAAGCAGATCTAAAAACATGACAAAACAGTGCGCAGTTGATCATTCGCAGAATCAAATCAAACTAACCCGGCTACACCATAAGTCATAACAAAGAAAGAACCAGTTTGAACGATACTCGCTACCGTTGCAGAGAATAGAGCAGGAGCGAAATATGTGACTAGACCTGTCACACCTAAAGCAATTCCACCAACCATGACAACTGTATCAGTGACAACTTTGATACGTGAAACTAGACAGGTAGCTGGTGTTTCACCTAGCTCTAGAAGGACACGACCGTTGCTTGTCTCTGTAGGTGTATAAGTTCCATCTTTCGGCGCCAATGTAGCAGCTTTTGGTAATGTGTTGTTTGCTTTGTAATCTTCAAAGTCAGTGTAAACTCTACCATTTCTATCGATGAACTTCCGTTGTACATTGACGACAAAAACTAGGAATATGATAATGACAAGATATCGCAGCTCAACATTGTTTGATACCTGGCTCTTCGCTTGCATAAAATGCTGGGTCATTAGCCATTTTAGTTGCAGTTGATACATAGATGATATTAAAATGAATATGTTCTGGAGTATCGCAGTGCCTGGTAATCACCTTCTTTATTTTGCGAGCTTCAAGTCGTTCTTCACGTGAATAAGTTNATGATATATTTGCAATAGCAGACGATATTAAGAACAAAATGGTACCGTTTCTTCTTCGATTATCACGTTTTCAGTTGTTTTTTTTTTATAGGATATACCTGCGGAAGATCAATGTCAAGCAACGCTGATATATTATGACAGTTCACTTACAATCGGTGTTTTGATCTCATCAATGGCCAAAAACAAGTCTTTCATTAACTGGTCGGTATTTTTTTTGCATCTTCCTATTAATGATTTGATTGTTTTCTTAACTTTTTCCTTGATTGTATTTAATTGCATCGCTCGACATGCGAAAATTGTATGTATACAGTTACGCAGAAGTTGAGATATAGATATGGATTTCTTCTGGCCATTTTCGTCCGTTTCACTATCTTCATCGTCGTCCACTAGGAATTGAATGGAGTAGAAAAACTTATTAGGTCGATCAGGATAATTTGGATCGTCGTAAAAGAGTTTCACAATAAATTTCACTCTTGGATTATATTTCTCCGGGATTTTCTGAAGCCACTGTTTCATAAGGACTTCAAATGCTCGCCAAAGCAAATGTGTTCCTTCGTGACCGCAATTAAGGGCTGGATTTTGTGGAAAAGTGTTGATGTCAAGCATCCTCCCGCCTAATGTGTTTGCCACAATGTGTCCGCATTGGTCCATTGGTTCGTTTTTCTCCGTTCGTTTTCCACGAGCTCTAATTACGTCTCTCAAATTTTCGCATTTTCCGGTCTCTTCGCCGGTGCCAATATGTTGTTTATATATAGTAGCCTTTAACCATACAGGCTTTAGCTTCTGGTATCTATCAGAGCTAAGACGCTGCTCCTGCTCTTCCACATCCGAATAGCTATTGGCAGGAACGGCGAGCACTACTTCTATTGGACCCATATTAGTATATCCGCGCGATGCATCAGGCGTGATGCAAACTAGGTCGGGAATATTCTCAGACTTCGGTTTTTCATCATCGAGATTGTCTTCCGAGCTGTCGGAATCGGCATTCCAACCGCCAATTATTGGAGGAGGAACCATTATGAAGATTGAATGGTAACCTTTTGTTGATCTAAAATTCATGTTAATGTGTATCTGAGCACATATTTCAAGCATACTCTTGTAAGGACTTCTCAAACTCTTGATTAAAATCTGCTCTGTCCATCTCTCATTTTAGTTTCACCGAAATTCAATATCTATCATAGTGATTTGAGCATGCCTAGCGACGTTCTCGAAGAAACTTCATTCAAAAGCCGTCAAATACGNAAGCGCCGTTTTTTTTTCTTCTCTCGACGAATAAAAGTCTCCTGACCTGCAAGAACGCAAAAAAACGAAGTCTAGTGTACTCATATGATACATGTTACAGAATGAAAATCTTATCTCATTCAATCCTCCCGTCGGACGTGACATTCATCGAAACTGTGATAACTTCACAAGCTAAAATCTTCTATATTTGCCATTTATCGTTCATTATTCGTCATTCACCAAAAACGATTTCACACACGATGTGTCGTCAGGAGTTTTGAGAGGACGTGTTGTCAAGTGACCAAAACAAGTTTTCTTTTGATATCATAAGTCGCCGTATGAAAAGTATTTACATGAGTTGTGAGAATAACTTCAGAAGCGTTCGCAACTTTCTTTTCAACACGGTGATCGAATGTACACGAACAAGAACAGTTCCTCCCTCGTATTCGAATCTCCACAATCCAGATCTCTTCACAATCGAATGATATACAATGATCAATGTCGTTATATTAATTATACTCTTCAATAATTAATGTAGCTTTTCAGCTTTGTGCAGTCCGAATGATCGTTTTTCTACGTCAAACATAAACAAGATGTGATATGTAGGGTAAAAGCAATAGATAAACTATTAGCGATCGTAAAATGCAACCGATAGCTGATAGTGAGAGAGAGAGAGAGAGAGAAAAGAATAATACTTATTTCCACTATTTTCCCGCATCGAATCATATCTACAAATGTTTGTAATCATGAAAATGACAAGTCCTTTCAACCAATAGGCCGTTTCGAGGAGGTATACGAATCAGCATTGAGTATTAGATAGAGTCTCTACGGTTAACTGGATTACCTATGAGACGAACGAATCATTCGTTTTTCTATACTCCACATAACTATCAGATATACGTTAATTTCACTGTTCTTAAACTCTTAGATTGTACATGCGTTTAAACAAATTGTTGAAGAAACATCTATGATAGTCATACAACTGACATAGGTCATAAACAATGTCAGGACATAATTGGCATATTGTTTCGACGAGATGAGATCACTTTTGCAAGAGAATTTTTGAAAAAAATCGAATAACTACCAGCATAATCTTTCTGCCTCATTTTATTACGAAAGAAACTACGATGACACAGAACAACAAAAATGAAGAAAATAAGAGCGCTAGGAAGGTTAGAATATCACCTCATCTCTTATTATTTTATGCATAAATTACCTGTTTGGTGCGCTTCTTTGTCAATTAGAAAAGACAAAAGTTTACGCTTTGTGATTGAGACAGAAAAGAACATCTTTTAGCAAAATTTCTCTCACTAGGAATTCTAAGTTCATTTAATCACATCATATCGCAACGCCATCATAATTTCATGATGAACCTCTTCAAGTTATTTTAATTAGCTATGGTCTCATCAACAGAAGTCGTCTCCCATCTGGTTTACTTCGGTTACTTTGCAATCTTGATCCTGAAACAATTGGACATTTATTAAACATTCCTATCAAAAGATTTGATGAAAAAGGCTCGTATACTCTAACTTATATGATATGTTCAGCTTTACTTGATTTATTCCATCGAGTGTTTAATCTTTTTTTTGTGCTTTGCTCTTCACACAAGTAGATAATTTTGCGAAATATATTTCTCAGAACGTCTTTGTTACGATCTGATATTCGTCAGATGTTGCCGAGAGGAGTCGGAGAAAGCCAGACGGCGCTCCTGTCACCTTATACCTCTCAACAAGTTTAGAGGAAGATATCAAGCGGTAATCATTGCTCATAGAATTGTTGCTCTTCGTGTCATTTGATTTCGATGAACACGATCGAGCATACTGGATTGATATTTTGTAGGTTTCATGTGATAGAACGACCTATATGCATTTTTATTTTGGAAATTGTTATATTTATTTTTCATATTCATCGAGCACGACACATACGATCTGCACAACGAAGCATTGAATTGCTAGAACTTGCTCTTTATATTATATACATCATGCCTTTAGTCATTTTCAAACTTTAGATTGCTGTATGATCGACAATCACGAAGGGCAGTGTGCGTCCCTCAATCAAAATATTTTTGTCAGTAAATGTATTTATGTTCAATTGATTGACAAGACGTTAGCTTTTTCAAAGGCGGAGTTTGTAACTGCCGCAGAAAATTAAAGGTTTTCATTCCTATGGAACTATACATAGTTAAGTAAACCTGACCAGTCTCATCAACGTTTCTTAAAAGCATATTCTTCCACAAAAAATATAAAAATGGCGACGTCTATATAAATTGCCTGTTTTACGTTTGTATTTTTTGTTCCATTCCGTTGGACAAATATTTCTCTAGTTACCATAAGTGTCTTATTCATTTGTTGGAAAGAAAAATATTTTTCCACATATCTTAATCATGAACACATTACCTGTCGAAATAGTACATTGCATTTTCGATCATCTCGATGCACAAACAATTCTATTTTCAATACGGTGTCTGTCGCGATCATTTCGATCAATCGTCAATTCTTATGAAAGATTTACATTGGATCTAAAAGGATTATCTCAACAAGATTTTCATCTCCTTTGTCGTTTAATCAAACCAGAAAACGTTATTTCATTATCACTTTCAAATGAATTTAAACATTCGGATGAAATCGTGTCATTTTGTCCATATTCTCGTCATAAACAATTTACTCGACTTCGACGTTTAACTCTTGAGAATATTGATGAAGGTCCATTGAAATTTCTTCTACGAGAAAGCAACCTTACTTCTCTTACATCATTTCCAGTGAAGTTCAGACGCGGCGACGATAGACTTGCAAAGACAACAGAAGAATTTCTTGCATCAATCATTACACAACTAAAACTTGAAAAATTAGAATTTTTGTCCAATATTCATTACATATTACAATATTCTCTTCATTTACATACACTTATTCTGAAAAATGGCTTTGGTCCATGGTATCTTACTGATATGCCAAAATCCTATCTTTCCACTACTTTTTCACAAGTACAACCTCTAACTATTGAAAACATGTATAACGAGATCGATACAGTCGATGAATTGCTTTCATTAACAACTTCATTGAATTATTTCAAAATTATTTTCACATGTAATCAAATGAAATCTATGCCTGATGGTCATTATTGGGAAATACTAATTCAATCGAAACTAACACAATTAAACAAATTTGAATTCTTTTTTGATCAATACAAGTCTAGCAAACCCTTAGAAGAACTTGAATCAATGAACTCTACATTTCAAACATCATTCTGGGTCGAACATAAACAATGGTTTGTTGTCTGTGAATATGAAGACACAAGTCTATTCTATTATCGTTTCTATACTCTACCAATATGTACAAGTGAGTTCAAGTGTAACCAAAGCCTAAAACGACTTCCTTCTTCTGCTGTGACTATGATGACGGAAAACAATACAGTTAAATCGATTCGTGAATATTATAATGAAGAAGAAACAAGTAAAATGGGATAGAAGACTCGGAATTATTAGATGGATATTTTTTTAGAAAACAGTGATAAGTTATCCACGTTTTGTCAAAGCAACGGATCTAACAATTAGCGTAAATCAAAAATTTTGTTCATCACTATTGTTATTAATTTATCAAAAGGTTGATGTTACAAAATTAATGAAAATAACACTAGATATGAGTAATGTTGACACAATAGCGGAAGATTTATTGAAAAATTTTGTTTTATGTATCGAACAAGCAAGTAACCTTTCATCATTAAGTATTTGTGGGCGTTATATAACTAGTCAAACATGTTCAAATACGTATAATATATATTCAGTACTTCCACGTCAAATAAAACATTTAGAAATTCAAATTGATAATCTAAATGCAGTAGAAGAAATTCTAATGCGTTGTAATAACTTATCAACAGTGAAATTTGATGTTGAAAATCTTTTAATTGAAGAAATTAAACAATGGTTTATTAATAATACAATCAATTCAATTTGCTGGAAATATTATCAATCGATAAGAGTGTGGCTTGGAAAGAAAAGAAAATCAAACTAACTGATCATTAATTAGATGTTATACTTTAAACAATTTTTATTTGATACATGAAAATTCTTTGACTTTTCTAATAAATACACATATTTTTTTCATCAAAATTACAAGAAATATTTTATTGCACATGTATCATGAAACAACATCAGATGGAAATACATTCCGAAGAAATATCGATCGACTCGTACTGTTGAATAACAACCCATAACGTTCACTTTTCTCATGAATCGTTGGCATTCGGATGCGATTCTATCACATATCAAAAAGGAAATCGATACTCGATCAATTATTTTTTGTTGAAAAGTTATTCTAAATCAATTCAAAATCATTGTTTTTGATTTCACTTTTTACAAAATTCATTTCGTCTAGGAAAATCTTTCTCTTTAATTCCGTACGTTTAGCAGAATGTACAACAAGTTTACAAATGCAACAGATAGTTGTTGATCTGAGAGAGAGAGTTTCTTAGTGTTATAGAGATCACGAACGGAATAATCCTTACAGAAGAAAATTGGACGTAAGAAGATGTATCGATTTAATGGAATAGAAATGTTTTACATAATAAAAATATTTATTTGGCAAAGTAAAACCTTTTCAGTTGTAACAGCCAGTATGTTGTTTTGCTTCATTTTTCAGTCGAAGGTATAAGAATATCGGTACCAACGCGAGTGCTATTTACTTTATAAAATATAACAAAGATGTCATTTCCTATTCATAAAATAGAATCAACATATCTTACACTTGCATATTAATCGATATTAATATGAACAAATTCTACAATATCTAAATGTATCATGTATACTTACTCATAAACATACTTTTCTCTTTACCATAGTAAGATCTTAGACACGTTTTTTTTGTAGAAAGAAATTACGCAGTCAGACAATAATATCTGTACTTCTTCCAGTTTTTTTCATTCTATTTTGTAATATTGTTGTACAGAAGTCATGAAGATGGTGACATCTTTCAAAAACAATTACATCGATTTTTCGCTTCTTTCGTTTGGCTCATCATTTACCTATGTATCGATATTTGTATCATTTGTTGGAAAGAAAAATATTTTTCCACATATCTTAATCATGAACACATTATCTGTCGAAATAGTACATCGTATTTTCGATCATCTCGATGCACAAATAATTTTATTTTCACAACGGTGTCTAACCTTCCGAACCGTTTGGGTTTATTTCTCTCATTCCGCGTGGAGGTCTGCTGATTTGTAGAATTCTTACCTGGATTCGTATACAACAATGGAAAAATCGGATCGATATGCTTTCGACCGCAAGTCATCAAATATTGTCCTCATATCAACGAATGAGTCGATAATTGCTTATTTTCATCTTTGTACATGCATTGATAGCCATTTTGTTGGAACTTCAATGAGCAGTGGTGTTTACATAGTCGAGGTGAGAAAAGTATTGAGTATAAACAAATTGAGGATTTTATTATCCGAAGTATGGTATGTTGTTTTTATATTGGTAATGGTTACGGAATTTTATTTTGAAAAATGTTCAGAAATAAGTTTTTGTATGGATAATTCGCTTTCTTCGTCTTTTGATTTCTATGGATATTTTGTTAGAAAAATGATTAAAAAAGTCCATTCGACAAATTTTGCTCTGTTATATCAATGAAAAAATATCGTTGTTCTCATTAAACCAATCACACTTTTCACTTTTTCTATTCATCATTTACAAAATGCATGAGAAAAATGGTCGAAAATAGTGTTCTTAAGAAAAGAAATTGTAAAAGTTCTGTTTGCTTTCGTTGCCGTAATAAATTCATTGTCAAAATTTCAAGATTAAGCAAGAAGAACTGGTGACTCCAGGTGTTTCCTCTCTCCATACAACGTATTTAATTCAAATAAAAACAAACATATAGTTACAATAGAAGTTCCTTAACCTATTTCTGGATAGTCATCGTTAACGACTTGTTTTTGCCTTACAGCGTTTACTCTCATAGAAAAGAGCAGAAAAAAAATCGAAAGTATGAAAGGCAGTCAACCGAAACTATGAAAGGTAACCAATCGATTTCTATTGAGTGTGATGATGCGATTGTTCATCTTGTTGGTTATAATGACGAAGAACGATATTATGTCTCTCTCGATACTCGTGGTATGCATCTTGATTATCAATTTCGTGTTAGTACTACTATTATTGCTCTTTACAATCATGATCTAATTTATACGCTTGATAATGATTTTCTTTGGGATCATCGAACATGTGATTGTGATTGTGGTGGAAACTAATTCCAAAATGAAGTATCTCTGCGTTTATATTGATATGAATATGTAAGTTAGAACGAAAAATTATCTTGTTCGTAACCTTGCCGTATATACTTTTACTTCGTCACGTAATGACGTGGGAACATGTGAACATGGATATGACAGATAAAAGCGATATTTATCAATCAAATCAGAATAAAAACGTATAAATGTTAAGATTAGTTAATAGTTAGTTGAAAAGAAGAGATGTGTTGATTTAACTTAATGTCTATTTTTGCAAAATGATGAATCATTTTCCCGTAGAGTACTTAATGAATAATCAAAGAAAGTTAAACTTTTTTTTTGTTATTTGCACTTTTTCAATCATTATATCAATTAGATGTGTAAAACATCCACTAACATATCTGGAAATGTATTAGGAGCATTTATCATGTATATTATTGAGAACAAAAAGATCAATACTCATGAAAATATGGTTTCATTCAACAATTTCACGATAAGAATAACAATAATATAAATAAACCATACAAAGAAAAAGAATCGATCATAGTATTTTTCTTTTCTTACTCACCCTGTAATCTAACTTATAATAAATATAAAAACGTGCGTGGCGGGAAGATAACTTTTTTTTACCTTCAATAACTATGAAAGAAAAAGTATACAATCATAGTATATATGTAAATAAAGCAATACCTACAATAAACATATTACTTATTTTCATATTCAATCACCACAGCAGATGCGTATATAATCGTTAATTCGTTACTACTCTGTTTTTCATCATAAGAAAAAAGCTCCTGTTGTAAAAATCTTCGTAGAAATCTATTTTATTTGTTTATGACAGATAAAAGGTTTTCAGTTTTTATTTTTCCTCTGAAGTAAAAATACTAGTCATAGTGTACAAAAACTCAAAAAGAATGAACCTCATAGAGTCTTGAAGATGTGGGGGCGAGAGTACATTATTTCACATGAAATTCGATAAAAATATATCTTAATTTGCAATAGGTACTTCTGTTGATTATGTACATTCTTGTTTTTTAAATTAAGGCGTCACCTAAATCAGTAATTTCTCAATCTATCCCACTAACAAACATGCCGAATGTCAGTGTACCTTTTTCTATGTAAACAATCCTTTTCTATGAGGTATGTATCATATTCATCTCGTATTACAAATCATCTTGATGAAAAAGAATTGGATAGGTAAGTATTGTGTTCAAATTCATCGTTCTATCGTGTTAACAAAAGTAGCAAAGAGATTTATAAAGCAGAAGGTAGATAACATATTTTGGTTGAGAAAATCCATAGCAGATTTTTGTAGTCGGATGGCCCACCATTGATCATAATGCATGATAAATATTCCCATTGGTTATATAATTGTTTTTTGTTCGAAGGTCATAGTTATAATGAAATCGAAAATTTATAATAAGGAGAGTGATGAGCATCAATTATTGTTGGATCCAAAACATAAGTCATCCCAGCAGGATGAGTCGCATCAACGTCACGAATCACGTCTTGAATGGGCAGAATCATCTTGGATACGATTATGGTACATTATCAGTTGGCGATGGATCAATCCTTTACTTTCATTAGGTTATAAAACTACTTTAACAGAAGAAGATTTGGATGACTTGCCTAGTCAAGACAAATGTTCTGTCTTGTATGATATGATAAGGAATTCCAAACGAGATTACGACAAAATATTCAACACATGTCGAGACGTGTTTTGGAAACGTTATTTATTAGTTGCATTGCTTCGATTGCCCATATTGATCGCTGTCATTGCTCAACCACTGTTTCTATACAAACTAGTCCTGTATATTACAGATCATCAAAGTGCTCAAGTGTCACCATCAGCGCCAGTTTATAGTGGCTACCTATATGCGACTGGATTGTTTAGTTGTGCGCTTCTTCAAGCACTTTTCTATCATCAGTATTACTTCTACTCGGCTCGTCTAGATCTCATGATTCGAAATTCCGTTCTGTCGACAATTTTTGCACATTTGTTGTCAATCAACACGACAACATTACGACAAGTTGGAACTAACTATGCCATGAGTATCGTTACCAATGATGTAACAAAATTCGAAGAATTTTCTAAGCATACTTTATACATCATCGAAGCACCGCTCCTCTCTGGAATGACTTTTATTTTACTCTATTGGATTAATGGAGTGTGGTCGACAGTATCTGGTTTTCTTATATTCACCTTATTAATTCCGTTGCAAGTGATCTTAGGTCGCAAGTTTAATGAACATCGTAAGAACGTCGTCGTCCGTACCGATCGACGTATTCATGTGTGTGAAGAACTTATTCGAGGAATTCACGTGATTAAGATGTACAATTGGGAAGAACATATGAAAAAACGAGTTGGCGAAACACGTGAACCTGAAATGGCTAGTATCCGTCATGCTTTTGTCCTACGTGCAATAAACATGGGCTTGTTCTTGGCATCCATACCTATTACTGGATTTGCCACATACGTTGGCGCTTGGCTTGATGGGCGCCATTTAACAACAATTCAAATTTTTATTAGTCTTGCTTTCTTTTCTCAAATGCGCTTTCCAGTGATGTACTCATTGCCAGTTGCCATTGAGAAACTAGTAGTAATTCGGCAAGCATGGAAAAGAATTGCTAAATTTCTCCAATTAAATCCCAAGGAAGAACAAAAACTACTAGACACAGACGACACTCAGTCAAAAGGAACAATTACGCTGCATGATGCTTCATTCTCATGGGATGGACACAATTGTTGTCTTTCATTACTTAACATTCGTATCGAACCAGGATCATTCGTAGGTGTTGTTGGACCGGTCGGATCTGGTAAGTCGTCATTATTTTCGGCCATCCTAGGAGAAATGATTCAATTGGACGGTCAAATGAATGTTAGTAATAGTTCATTCTCCTATGCTGCACAATCTCCGTGGATATTCGCGGATACATTACGCGCCAACATTATCTTCACAAAACCGTTTGATGAACGACATTATAGGGCTGTTTTACATGCTTGTTGTCTCGATATTGATTTGACTATTCTTGGACCAAAGGCCGATTTGACAATGATCGGTGAAAATGGTGTAAATCTAAGTGGAGGACAAAAGGCACGTGTATGTCTAGCACGTGCTTTGTATGCGGATTCGGATATTTATCTCCTTGACGATCCATTATCTGCGGTTGATCGAACTGTTGCAAAACGAATTTATGATCGATGCATTGGTCCAAAAGGGCTATTGAAAAATAAAACTCGTCTATTGATTACGCATCATAGAGAATATTTAACTCAATGTCATCAAATCATTGTATTGAATCAAGGTCAAATGCAAATACAAACTCCGAGAATCGATCTCAATGAGCAAGATAAGAAGGATGAAGAAGATCAACAAATATCAGCAGCTATGCTCGATATTGGACAGTTCACAGCTTCGAGTCAGTCAATTATTGTTAAAGAAACTTCGAATGCACAACAAATTCGTAGTTCTTTGTGGTGTACTCTCTTTACTGCGCCACCATTAAAGACTTTAGGTTTATGTCTCACGCTTATTCTACTTTTATTTGGCCAAGTACTTCATGATGGCACTAATCTATGGCTCGCGCTTACCACACGACATTTGAGATATACAAAGTCAACTCAATCTATTCATCTGCCCACATATTTTGTTTTGACTATGGCAACATTATTTGTGGCAATCGGACGCAGTAGCTTTTTCTTCTATCAAATCTTGAATGGTTCAAACCGTCTTCATGATAAAATGCTTTCCGGTTTGCTGCACACATCGATGCGTTTCTTCGAAAGTAATCCAAGTGGACGAATTCTGAACCGAATGAGTAAAGATCAGCAAGTTGTTGACGAAACTTTACCTGAAGTCTTATTCGACGCCGTACAATCTTTGTTGTTACCGATCGGATTCATCTGTATCATTCTCATTATCAATCTATGGATGATACCTTTAGTTATTTTCTTAGTAATTTTATTTTGGATCTGTTTTCAGTATTATATTCGAACAAGTCAACAACTGAAACGAATGGAAAGCATGGCACGTAGTCCGATTTACGGATTATTTACATCATCAGTGAAGGGCTTAGCCACTATTCGTGCGTTTAAAGTCGAAAATGATCTTATAAAGTCAATTGCAAGTTTGATTGATGACAATACACGCCCGTTTCTTTATCTGTCAGGTACGACACGTTGGTTCACGTGTCGAATGGATCTCTTAGCGACATGTTTTGTACTTTTTCCTGCTTTTGCTGCTGTTATCGCGCCCAATAGAGTAGACGCAACATTTCTGACTCTTACTTTGTTCTATAGTATCAATATAACTGCACGGTTACAGCATGCTATTCGTCAGTCAGCAGACGCATATAACTACATGACTAGTGTGGAACGTATCGATGAGTACGGAGATTTGCCACCAGAGGAAGACAATGGTGGTGAATCGGGAAGATTAATTGAGACATCGACTGATTGGCCGAGTCGAGGAGAAATTCGATTTCACAATTATTCTCTACGCTATCAATCAAATGAAGAAGCAACACTAAAGAGTTTGAATTTAGTCATTAATTCTGCTGAAAAAGTCGGAATTATAGGTCGTACAGGCAAGAATGATCTAATTGTAGTTGTCTAACGAAATGTTTTCTTTGATACTCAATAGGTGCAGGTAAATCATCTGTGTTTCAAGGTCTCTTACGTTTAGTAAATCGATCGTGTATTGACGGTGAAATTCTCATTGATGATGTAGATATTGGTCGCGTGACGTTGAAGCATCTTCGTTCTCGAATCAGCGTTATACCGCAAAACCCTCTACTTTTCTCTGGAACTCTTCGATTTAATATGGATCCATTGGAACTTTATACAGATGAGCAATGTTGGAAAGTTTTGGAAATCGTTCGATTGAAAGAAACGGTTTCCAATCATCCTCAAGGTCTTCATATGCCAATAGCTGAGTCAGGTCATAACTTAAGTAGTGGACAGTGTCAATTGGTTTGTGTTTCTCGAGCTCTTCTTAGACAAAGTCGAATCTTGTTAATTGATGAAGCAACAGCTAATGTCGATCATGAAACTGATGAGTTTTTACAAACTTTAATAGTTGATGAGATTAAAGATCGAACTGTGCTAACCATCGCTCATCGATTGAATACAGTGGCAAACAATGATCGGCTTCTCCTGTTGAACGATGGAAAAGTCGTAGATTTCGATGTACCTGACAAAGTTTTAAGTCATCTTTGACAGCCACTTACGATAGATGGCAAGGGTTGAAACTTGTTTGCAAACTATACTTTGATTGATGAATAAAAAACGAAAATTAGAACTTTTATTTTACATGTTTTTCTCTCGATACGCCTTCTCGCGGTCTCACTAGGTACACACACATAGTTCAATTGTTAATTTTTACAAATGTTTCTGAAAACAGACAAATCATTGGAAACACCGTTCGTAACAATTAAACTTGGTTTTCCACTATTGTCCAAATAGCCTGATATGATTGAGTTCGGTGCATTTCCAGTAGAATGAGTAGTAGCAGTATTGAATGTTCCATCACCTCGACCAAGTAGAACACTGATACTACTGTTAGCGGAATTGACAACGGCTAGATCAATTCTTTTATCATTGTTATAATCACCAACAGTGACAGCACCGGGCCATAAACCCACAGAATAATTTATTGGAGCTTGGAATGTTGCATCACCATTCCCAAGAAAGATGCTAACACTGTTATTATTTCTGTTGCTGACGACGAGATCCTTTTTACCATTTTGATCAAAGTCCTCGACTTTTACAGCACTTGGCCAATCACCAGTTGTATAATTCTTACTCTTAGGAAAATGTCCAGTGCCATCACCAAATAGTATAGTGACCGTGTTATCATAAGGATTCGTTACTATAATATCGAATTTATTATCGCTATCGAAATCACCTGATGCTACGGACGATGGTTTACGACCAACTTCATATTTAATCGAAGCTTGAAAAAGTCCATTAACATCACCGAGAAACACATGCACTGTCGTGTCATCTGAATTAGCGACTACGACATCTGCTTTTTGATCATTGTTTAAATCCGTTGATATGAGAGCGCCAGGGCAACTACCAACAGTATAATTCATCGCCAATTGAAAAAACCCACGTCCATCACCCAGTAGTACACTGATCGTATTGGCAAATGAATTCGCTACTACTAAATCCAAATTCCTATCGTTATTAAAATAACCTGGTGCTAGTGCGCGTGGATAGTTAGCAATGTCAGTGCTCATCAAAGTAAAGAAACCTCTTTTACCGGTCCCCAGCCGAATACTGACAGTATTATCACCAAAATTCGTCACTGCCAAATCCAGCAATTGATCCTTGTTGAAGTCAGCGACGTCGATCGACCACGGAAGATGACCGACAGTATAATAACTAGGATACGTTGAGAATGCACCATGTGGAAAACCAAATAGAACCGTAATATAATCGGCATCGTCACGACCCACCAACAAGTCTAAATAACCATCTTTATCCAGGTCAGCTGATACAATCGATATCGGAGAGAGATTAATACTATGTGTGGCCACGTAGTTAAAACTTCCTTGTCCATCTCCGAATAGAACAAAAACGACAGCATCATTTAAATTGACGACGGCTAAATCCATTCTCCCATCATGATCAAAATCACCTCCTGTCATAGCGTAAGGAGCTCCGGTAGTCCTATAGTTTATTGTGTACTGGAAACTACCGTTGTCGCCGCCACATAGAATACTGATTCTGTTATCAGCTCGATTTCCTACCGCAATATCAAGTATAGAATCGTTGTTAAAATCGCTGACTACCATCGCCACAGGATAAGCACCAACTGTATAATCCATTGAGAGTCGAAAGTTTCCATGTCCATCACCAAATAGGATACTAACACAGTTATCATCGGAATTTGCTACTGCTAAATCAGGTATGCTGTCTTTGTTAAAATCTCCTGAAACTATGAATGAGGGTGTACGACGAACCTTGACACTTGTTGCATTTTGAAATGTTCCGTTTCCGTTACCACGTATAACAAGAAGGTTATTGTCAGTAGAATCAGTCACTGCTATATCAAGATTGGTATCATTGTTAAAGTCGCCAACTATCATAGCCGATGGGAAGTGACGAGTGGTGTACCTTGTTGACGTTGGAAAAAGACCAGTGCCATCCCCAAACAGTACGAGAATAACATTTTCGATGTAATTGGCTACTGCAAGGTCGCGATTTTTATCATTGTTGAAATCACCTGATACGACCAACGATGGCATCTGAACAGTATTGTACGTTCCAGGAACTTGCAGCGTGCCGTCGTTTTCTCCAAATAACAGACTAAAACCATCATCAGCCGTAACAACTGCAACATCTAACTGTTGACTATTTCTGAAATGGCCAACTGCAGCAGATGTGGGTCGATATCGTGTTTGATAACGATCTGCTGATTGAAAAGGCTGTTTACATTCTCCTGCCCAAGAGAGAAAAAAAGACGAATGATCAAGTGAAACGAAAAAGTATGCTCGTACCTAGGGTATTGTAATGGTTTCGTGTACCTAGAACAGATCCTAGAATGATTCCTCCAATCATTAACATAAGCAGAAAACAAATCGGAATGACGAATCGTTTCTTATGGTACCATTGGCGTCTTACAAGCAGAAGTTCGTTTATTAAAAGCAAACAAATTGGAAACTTACATCATTTTTGGATAAAGCTCAGCACCTAAAAAATAGATCACAATTAATACATTGTCAATCGGATATTTTTAGCCGTCCTTTTCACTAAGATCATGCCCGTCACGGTTTGTGATGGGTTATTTAGTTTACGGAGGAAGAGATTGAGTCTATTTTTACCTTTATACAGTTGGGGGCTCTTTTTCAGATCGTGTTTTTTAAAAAAAGAAGAAAACTTTTCTTCGTATCCATACCTTCAAATGGAGGTTGAAGTAGAACTTTCTCTGGTTTAACTTGTCTCAGATGAATGATATAAAGATCCGATGCCGGACTGAACTGAGATTGAACGATCATATGTGTTCCCGGCAAGAGAAGAATTTCGTCTTCTGTCGGATAATGTGAATGATTTCGTATTGTTCGTCCATTGATAACTTCCACTGAAAACAACGTTCGCTCTCCAGTATTTCCCAAATAAAAATTATTTTCGAGAATCGTCATTTGAGTTGTACATGATGAAAATGCCCACCATGTCACAGGAGTGCTCGGTGGAAATTCTTGACTTAAATTTTTTGTCACACCTCGCCAAACTGTCAACGGTGGTACACACGGTAATTTCACTAGTGCTGTTAGAAATAATTTCAGATACTTAAAGTATGGACGAAGATCTTCGCGATTGTNTTTGAGAGGACGTGTTGTCAAGTGACCAAAACAAGTTTTCTTTTGATATCATAAGTCGCCGTATGAAAAGTATTTACATGAGTTGTGAGAATAACTTCAGAAGCGTTCGCAACTTTCTTTTTAACACGGTGATAGAATGTACACAGACAAGAACAGTTCTCACCTCGTATTCGAATCACCACATTCCAGGTCTCTTCATAATCAGATGATATACAATGATCAATGTCGTTATATTAATTATACTCTTCAATAATTAATGTTGCTTTTCAACTTTGTGCAGTCCGAATGATCGTTTTTCTACGTCAAACATAAACAAGATGTGATATGTAGGGTAAAAGCAATAGATAAACTATTAGTGATCGTAAAATGCAACCGATGGCTGATAGTGAGAGAGAGAAAAGAGTAATACTTATTCCCACTATTTTCCCGCATCGAATCATATCTATAAATGTTTGTAATCATGAAAATAACAAGTCCTTTCAATCAGTAGGCCGTTTCGAGGAGATATACGAATCAGCATTGAGTATTAGATAGAGTCTCTACGGTTAACTGGATTACCTATGAGACGAACGAATCATTCGTTTTTCTATATTCCACATAACTATCAGATATACGTTAATTTCACTATTCTTAAACTCTTAGATTGTACATGCGTTTAAACAGATTGTGGAAGAAACATTTATGATAATCATACAACCGACATAGGCCATAAACAATGTCAGAACATAATTGACATATTATTTCGATGAGATGAGATCACTTTTTCAAGAAAATTTTTGAAAAGAATCGAATAACTATCAGCATAATCTTTTTGCCTCATTTTATTAAAAAAGAAACTACGATGACACAGAACAAAAATTGAAGAAAATAAGAGCGCTAGAAAAGTTAGAATATCACCTTTATCTCTTGTTATTTTATGCATAAATTACCTGTTTGGTACGCTTCTTTGTCAATTAGAAAAGACAAAAGTTTACACTTTGTGATTGAGACAGAAAAGAACATCTTTTAGCAATACTTCTCTTAATAGAGATTCTAAGTTCATTTAATCACATCATATCGCAACGCCATCATAGTTTCATGATGAACCTCTTCAAGTTATTTTAATTTGTTATGGTCTCATCAGCAGAAGTCGTCTCCCATCTGGTTCATTTCGGTTACTCTACAATCAGACATTTATTAAACATTCTTATCAAAAGATTTGACGAAAAAGCTTCGCATATTCTATATGATATGTTCAGCTTTACTTGATTTATTTTCTCGAGTGTTTAATCTTTTTTTTTCTGTGCATTGTTCTTCACACAAGTAGATAATTTTGCAACTATATTTCTCAGATCGTTGTTGTTACGATCTGATATTCGTCAGATGCTGTCGAGAGGAATCGGAGAAAGACTGAAAACTGGAACGAAAGATCGTTCATCTATATTCGTGCAGATTATGGCGATCCTGTCACCTTATACCACTCACTAAGTTTAGTGGAAAATATCAAGCGGTAATCATTGTTCATAAAATTGTTGCTCTTCGTGTCATTTGATTTCGATGAACATGGTCGAGCATACTGGATTGATATTCTGTAGGTTTCGTGTGATAGAACGACCTATATACATTTTTATTTTGGAAATTGTTATATTTATTTTTCATATTCGTCAAGCACGACGAAGCATTGAATTGGTAGAAGTTGCCAGTAGAAGTGAAACCAATGATAATGTTAAAATTGCGCGTAGCAAGAATCCATCTATCTTGTGTATGCTTGTTGTAGAACTTGTTGTCTATATCATATTCATCATGCCTTTAGTCATTTCTAAACTTTAGATTGTTGTATCATCGACAATCACAAAGGACAGTGTGCGTCAGTCAACCAAAATCTTTTTCTCAATATAAGTATTTATCTTCAATTGATTGACAAGACGTTTGCTTCTTCCATTTAAACAATGACTAGCAGATAATTTCGTCAAAAACTGATCAAATTCTTTCAACATCGTAATCGCTTAGTTAGAATTGAATAGAAATTAACAGACGTTAGCTTTTTCAAAGGCGGAGGCATAAAGTCATAAAATGCTAAATCAATGTCATTTTTCTATTTCTACACTGATGTATGATGAATCTATTATACGCAGATTGTAACTGCCGCAGAAAATTAAAGGTTTTCATTCCTATGGAACTATACATAGTTAAGTAAACCTGATCAGTCTCATCAACTTTTCTTAAAAACAGTTTTTTTAAGAATATTCTTCCACAAAAAATATAAAAATGGCGACGTTTATATAAATTGCCTGTTTTACATTTGTACTTTTTGTTTCATTCTGTTGGACAAATATTTCTCTAGTTACCAAGTATCTTAGTCATTTGTTGGAAAGAAAAATAATTCTTCACATATCTTAATCATGGACACATTACCTGTCGAAATAATCCATCGTATTTTCGATCATCTCGATGCACAAACAATTCTATTTTCAATACGGTGTCTGTCGCGATCATTTCGATCAATCGTCAATTCTTATGAAAGATTTACATTGGATCTAAAAGGATTATCTCAACAAGATTTTCATCTTCTTTGTCGTTTAATCAAACCAGAAAACGTTATTTCATTATCACTTTCAAATGAATTTAAAGATTCGGATGAAATCGTGTCATTTTGTCCATATTCTCGTCATAAACAATTTACTCGACTTCGACGTTTAACTCTTGAGAATATTGATGAAGGATCTTTCGTTCCAGTTTTCAGTCTNAAATCGTGTCATTTTGTCCATATTCTCGTCATAAACAATTTACTCGACTTCGACGTTTAACTCTTGAGAATATTGATGAAGGTCCATTGAAATTTCTTCTACGACAAATCGACCTTACTTCTCTGACATCATTTTCAGTAAAGTTCAGACGCGGCGACGATAGACTTGCAAAGACAACAGAAGAATTTCTTGCATCAATCATTACACAACTAAAACTTGAAAAATTAGAATTTTTGTCCAATATTCATTACATATTTGCTAAAGTTGATTGTCCAGTTTTGTCGACAATTCGATATTTATCCATCGGCTATTGTATCAGTCTACATATTTTATGTCACATCTTACAATGTTCTCTTCATTTACATACACTTATTCTGAAAAATGGCTTTGGTCCATGGTATCTTACTAATATGCCAAAATCCTATCTTTCCACTACTTTTTCACAAGTACAATCTCTAACTATTGAAAACATGTATAACGAGATCGATACAGTCGATGAATTGCTTTCATTAACATCTTCATTGAATTATTTAAAAATTATTTTCACATGTAATCAAATGAAATCTATGCCGGACGGTCATTATTGGGAAATACTGATTCAATCGAAACTAATACAATTAAACAAATTTGAATTCTTTTTTGATCAATACAAGTTTATAAAACCCTTAGAAGAACTTGAATCAATGAAATCTACTTTTCAAACATCATTCTGGGTCGAACATAAACAATGGTTTGTTGTCTGTGAATATGAAGGCACAAGTCTATTCTATTATCGTTTCTATACTCTACCAATATGTACAAGTGAGTTCAAGTGTAAGCGAAGTCTAAAACGACTTCCTTCTTCTGCTGTGACTATGATGACGGAAAACAATACAGTTAAATCGATTCATGAATATTATAATAAAGAAGAAGCAAGTAAAATGTGATAGAAGACTCTGAATTTTTAGATGGATTTTTTTTAGGAAACAGTGATAACTTATCCACGTTTTGTCAAGGCAACGGATCTAACAATTGGCGTAAATCAAAAATTTTGTTCGTCACTATTGTCATTAATTTATCAAAAAGTTGATGTTACAAAATTACTGAAAATAACACTAAATATTAATAATGTTGACACAATGGCGGAAGATTTATTCAAAAATTTTGTTCTGTGTATCGAACAAGCAAGTAATCTCTCATCATTAAGTATTTGTGGGCGTCATATAAATAGCCAAACATATTCAAACATGCGTAATATATATTCAGTACTTCCACGTCAAATAAAACATTTAGAAATTCAAATTGATAATCTAAATGCAGTAGAAGAAATTCTAATGCGTTGTAATAACTTATCAACAGTGAAATTTGATGCTGAAAATCTTTTAATTAAAGAAATTACACAATGGTTTATTAATAATACAATCAATTCAATTTGCTGGAAATATTATCAATCGATAAGAGTGTGGCTTGGAAAGAAAAGAAAATCAAACTAACTGATCATTAATTATATGTTATACTTTAAACACTTTTTATTTGATACAGCATCAGATGGAAATACATTCCGGAGAAATATCGATCGAGTCACACTGTTGGATAACAACCCATAACGTTCACTTTTCTCATGAACCGTAAGCATCCGGATGCGATTCTATTGCACATCAAAAAGGAAATCAATACTCGATCAATTGTTTTTTCTTGAAAAAGATGTATCGATTTAATGGAATAGAAACATTTTACATAATAAAAATATTTATTTAGCAAGGCAAAACCTTTTCAGTTGTAACTAAAATATAGCAAAGATGTCATTTTCTATTCACAAAATAGAATCAACATATCTTACATTTGCATACTAATCGATATTAATATGAACAAATTTTACAATATCTAAATGTATCATGTACACTTACTCATAAACATACTTTTCTCTTTACCATAGTAAGATCTTAGACACGTTTTTTTTGTAGAAAGAAATTACGCAGTCAAACAATAATATCTGTACTTTTTCCATTTTTTTTCATTCTATTTTGTAATATTTTTCTACAGAAGTCATGAAGATGGTGACATCTCTCAAAAACAATTACATCGATTTTTCGCTTCTTTCGTTTGGCTCATCATTTGTTGGAGAGAAAAATACTTTTCCACATATCTTAATCATGAACACATTATCTATCGAAACAGTACATCGTATTTTCAAGACGGCGTCTAACCTTCCGAATCGTTTGGGTTTATTTCTCTCATTCCGCGTGGAGGTATGCTGAGCCATTTTGTTGGAACTTCAATGTGTGGTGGTGTTTACATACATTCTGTTTACTAGTCTAGATGAGAAAAGTATTGAGGATTTTATTATCCGAAGTATGGAATGTTGTTTAGAAAAGCGTTCAGAAATAAGTTTTTTATATGGATAATTCGCTTTCTTCAGATTTCCATGTATATTTTGTTAGAAAAATGATTTAAAAAATCCATTCGACAATTTTTGCTCTGTCATATCTATAGAAGAATATCGTTGTTCTCATTAAACAAATCAAACCCACCCACCTTTTCTATTCATCATTTAAAAAACGGTCGAAAATCGTGTTCTTAAGAGAGAAAAAGTGTAAAAGTTCTGTTTGCTTTTATTGCCGTAATAAATTCATTGTCAAAATTTAGAGATCAAGCAAGACGAACTGGTGATTCCAGGTGTTTCTCCTCCCCACACAACGTATTTGATTCAAATAAAAACAAACATATAGTTACAATAGAATTTCGTTAACGACTTGTTTTTGCTTTGAAGCGTTTACTCTCCCATAGACAAGAACAGAAAAAATCGAAACTATGAAAGGCAGTCAACCGAAATTATGAAAAGTAACCAATCGATTCGTATGGAGTGTGATGATGCGTTTATTCACCTTGCTGATTGAGACAACGAAGAGCGATATTATAATCATTTTGATGCTCGTGGTGTGCATCTTGATCGTGAATTTCGTCTTAGTACTGCTATTGTTGCTCCTCACAATCATGATCTAATTTATACGCTTGATAATGATTTTCTTCGGGATCGTCGAGCACGTTACCATGACTGTGGTGAAAACTAATTCTAGAGTGAAGTATCTCTATGTTTATATTGATATGAATGTGTAAGTTAGAACGAAAAGTCATCTTGTTCGTAACCTTGCCGTATATGCTTTTACTTCGGCACGTAATGACGTGGGGACATGTGAACATGAATATGAAAGATAAAAACGATATTTATTAATCAAATTAGAACAAAAATGTATGAATGTTATGATTAGTTAATTGTTAGTTTAAAAGAAAAGATGTGTTGATTTTACTTAATGCCCATTTTTGCAAAATGATGAATCTTTTTTCCGTAGAGTAATTAATGAATAATCAAAGCAAGTTAAACCTTTTTTGTTATTTGTACTTTTTCCATCATTATATCAATTAGATGTGCAAAGCATCCACTAACAGATCTGGGAATGTATTAGGAGCATTTATCACGTTATTGAGAACAAAAAGATCAATATTCATGAAAATATAGTTTCATTCAACCGCAATTCCACGATAAGAATAACAATAGCATAAATAAACTATACAAAGAAAAAGAATCAATCATAGTATTTTTCTTTTCTTATCCATCCTGCAATATAACTTATAATAAATGTAAAAACGTGCGTGACGGTAAGATAACTTTTTTTTATCTTCAATAACTATGAAAGAAAAAGTATAGAATCATAGTATGTATGTAAACAAGGCGATACCTGCAATCAACGTATTACTTATTTTCGTATACAATCACCACAGCAGATGCGCACATAGTCGTTATTTCGTGACTACTCTCTTTTTCATTATAAGAAAAAAGCTCCTGTTGCAAAAATCTTCGTAGAAATCTATTTTATTTGCTTATGACAGATAAAAGTTTTTCAGTTTTTATTTTTCCTATGAAGTAAAAATTGTAGTCTTAGTGTACAAAAACTAAAAAAAAAATGAGCCTCATAGAGTCCTGAAGATGTAGGGGCGAGAGTGCGTTATTGCACATGAAATCCGATTAAAATATATCTTAATTTGCAGTAGGTACTTCTGTTGATTATGTATATTCTTGTTTTTTAAATTTAAGCCGTCACCTAAATCAGTCATTTCTCAATCTATCCCACTAACAAACATGCGGAATGTCAGTGTACCTTTTTCTATGTAAATAATCCTTTTCTATGAGGTATTTATCATATTCATCTCGTATTACAAATCACTTGAAGGAGAAGAATTGGATAGGTAAGTGTTGTATTCAAATTCATCGTTCTATCGCGTTAATAAAAGTAGCAAAGAGATTCATAAAGCAGAAGATAGACAACATATTTTGGTTGAGGAAATCCATAGCGAATTTTCTAGTCGGATTGCCCATCATTGATCATAATGCATAATAAATATTCCCATTGGTTATATAGTTGTTTTTTGTTCGAAGGTCATAGATATAATGACATCGAAAATTTATAATAAGAACAGTGATGAGCATCAATTGTTGTTGGATCCAAAACATAAGTCGTCCAAGCAGGATGAGTCGCATCAACGTCACCAATCACGTCTTGAATGGGCAGAATCATCTTGGATACGATTATGGTGCATTATCAGTTGGCGATGGATCAGTCCTTTACTTTCATTAGGTTATAAAACTACTTTAACAGAAGAAGATTTGGATGAGTTGCCTAATCAAGACAAGTGCTCTGTCTTGTATGATACGATAAGGAATTCCAAACGAGATTGTGACAAAATATTCAACACATTTCGAGACGTGTTTTGGAAACGTTATTTATTAGTTGCATTGCTTCGATTGCCCATACTGATCGCTGTCATTGCTCAACCGCTGTTTCTATACAAACTAGTCCTGTACATTACAGATCATCAAAGTGCCCAAGTGTCATCATCAGCGCCAGTTTATAGTGGCTACCTATATGCGACCGGATTGTTTAGTTGTGCGCTTCTCCAAGCACTTTTTTATCATCAGTATTACTTCTACTCGGCTCGTTTAGATCTCATGATTCGAAATTCCGTTCTGTCGACAGTTTTTGCACATTTGTTGTCAATTAACACGACAACATTACGACAAGTTGGAACTAACTATGTCACGAGTATCGTTACCAATGATGTAACAAAACTCGAAGAATTTTCTAAGCATACTCTATACATAGTCGAAGCACCGCTCCTCTCTGGAATGACTTTTGTTTTCCTCTATTGGATTAATGGAATGTGGTCGACAGTATCTGGTTTTCTTATATTCGCTCTATTAATTCCGTTGCAAGTGATCTTAGGTCGTAAGTTTAATGAACATCGTAAGAACGTCGTCGTCCGTACCGATCGACGTATTCATGTGTGTGAAGAACTTATTCGAGGAATTCACGTGGTTAAGATGTACAATTGGGAAGAACATATGAAAAAAAGAGTTTGGGAAACGCGTGAACCTGAAATGGCAAGTATCCGTCGTGCTTTTGTCCTACGTGCAATAAACATGGGCTTGTTCTTGGCATCCATACCTATTACTGGATTTGCCACATACCTTGGCGCTTGGCTTAATGGGCGCCATTTAACAACAATTCAAATTTTTGTTAGTCTTGCTTTCTTTTCTCAAATGCGCTTTCCAATAATGTACTCATTACCGGTTGCCATTGAGAAACTAGTAGTAATTCGGCAAGCATGGAAAAGAATTGTTAAATTTCTCCAATTAAATCCCAAGGAAGAACAAAAACTACTAGACACAGACGACACTCAGTTAAAAGGAACAATTACGCTGCATGATGCTTCATTCTCATGGGATGGACACAATTGTTGTCTTTCATTACTTAATATTCGTATCGAACCAGGATCATTCGTCGGTGTTGTCGGACCGGTCGGATCTGGTAAGTCCTCATTGTTTTCGGCCATTCTAGGAGAAATGATTCAATTGGACGGTCAAATGAATGTTAGTAATAGTTCATTCTCCTATGCTGCACAATCTCCGTGGATATTCGCGGATACATTACGCGCCAACATTATCTTCACAAAACCGTTTGATGAACAACGTTATAGGGCTGTTTTACATGCTTGTTGTCTTGATATTGATTTGACTATTCTTGGACCTAAGGCAGATTTGACAATGATCGGTGAAAATGGTATAAATCTAAGCGGAGGACAAAAGGCACGTGTATGTTTAGCACGTGCTTTGTATGCGGATTCGGATATTTATCTCCTTGACGATCCATTAGCTGCAGTTGATCGAACCGTTGCAAAACGAATTTATGATCGATGCATTGGTCCAAAAGGGCTATTGAAAAATAAAACTCGTCTATTGATTACGCATCATACAGAATATTTAACTCAATGTCATCAAATCATCGTGTTCAATCAAGGTCAAATGCAAATACAAACTCCGAGCATCAATCTCAATGAGCAAGATAATAATGATGAAGAAGATCAACAAATATCAGCAGCTATGCTCGATATTGGACAGATCACAGCTTCGAGTCAGTCAATTATTGTTAAAGAAACTTCCAATGTCCAACACATTCGTAGTTCTTTGTGGTGTACTCTCTTTACTGCACCACCATTAAAAACTTTAGGTTTATGTCTCACGCTTATCCTACTTTTATTTGGTCAAGTACTTCATGATGGCACTAATCTATGGCTCGCGTTTACCACACGAGATTTGAAATATACAAAGTCAACTCAATCTATTGATCTGCCCACATATTTTCTTTTGACTATGGCAACATTATTTGTAGCAATCACGCGCAGTAGCTTTTTCTTCTATCAGATCTTGAATGGTTCAAGCCGTCTTCATGATAGAATGCTTTCCGGTTTGCTGCACACATCGATGCATTTCTTCGAAAGTAATCCAAGCGGACGAATTCTGAATCGAATGAGTAAAGATCAGCAAGTTGTTGACGAAACTTTACCTGAAGTCTTATTCGACGCCATACAATCTTTGCTGTTACCGATCGGATTCATCTGTATCATTCTCATTATCAATCTATGGATGATACCTGTAGTTATTTTCTTAGTAATTATATTTTGGATCTGTTTTCAGTATTATATTCGAACAAGTCAACAGCTGAAACGAATGGAAAGTCTGACACGTAGTCCGATTTACGGATTATTTACATCATCAGTGAATGGCTCAGCCACTATTCGTGCATTTAAAGTCGAAAATAATCTTATAAAGTCAATTGTAAGTTTGATTGATGACAATACACGCCCGTTTCTTTATCTGTCAGGCACGACACGTTGGTTCACGTGTCGAATGGATCTCTTAGCGACATGTTTTGTACTTTTTCCTGCTTTTGCTGCTGTTATCGCGCCCAATAGAGTAGACGCAACATTTCTGACTCTTACTTTGTTCTATAGTATCAATATAACTGCACGGTTACAGCATGCTATTCGTCAGTCAGCAGAAGCATATAACTACATGACCAGTGTGGAANTTTTGTACTTTTTCCTGCTTTTGCTGCTGTTATCGCGCCCAATAGAGTAGACGCAACATTTCTGACTCTTACTTTGTTCTATAGTATCAATATAACTGCACGGTTACAGCATGCTATTCGTCAGTCAGCAGAAGCATATAACTACATGACCAGTGTGGAACGTATCGATGAGTACGGAGATTTGACACCAGAGGAAGACAATGGTGGTGGATCGGGAAGATTAGTTGAAACATCAGCTGATTGGCCGAGTCGAGGAGAAATTCGATTTCACAATTATTCTCTACACTATCAATCAAATGAAGAAGCAACACTAAAGAGTCTAAATTTAGTCATTAATCCTGCTGAAAAAGTCGGAATTATAGGTCGTACAGGCAAGAATGATCTAATTGCAGTTGTGTAACGAAATGTTTTCTTTGATAATCAATAGGTGCGGGTAAATCATCTGTGTTTCAAGGTCTCTTACGTTTGGTAAATCGATCGTGTATTGATGGTGAAATTCTCATTGATGATGTAGATATTGGTCGCGTGACGTTGAAGCATCTTCGCTCTCAAATCAGCGTTATTCCGCAAAACCCTGTACTTTTCTCTGGAACTCTTCGATTTAATCTGGATCCATTGGAAATTTATACAGATGAACAATGTTGGAAAGTTTTGGAAATCGTTCGATTGAAAGAAATGGTCTTCAATCATCCTCAAGCTCTTCATATGCCAATAGCTGAGTCAGGTCATAACTTAAGTAGTGGGCAATGTCAATTGGTTTGTGTTTCTCGAGCTCTTCTTAGACAAAGTCGAATCTTGTTAATTGACGAAGCAACAGCTAATGTCGATCATGAAACTGATGAGTTTTTACAAACTTTAATAGTTGATAAGATTAAAGATCGAACTGTGCTAACCATCGCTCATCGATTGAATACAGTGCGAAACAACGATCGGCTTCTCCTGTTGAATGATGGAAAAGTCGTAGATTTCGATGTACCTGACAAAGTTTTAAATCATCTTTGACAGCCACTTATAATAGATGGCAAGGATTGAAACTTGTTTGCAAACTATACTTTGATTGATGAATAAAAACAGAAAATCAGAACTTTTATTTAACGTGTTTTTCTCTCGATACGCCTTCTCGCGGTCTCACTAGATACACAAACACAGTTCAATTGCTAATTTTTACAAATGTTTCTGAAAACAGACAAATCATTGGAGACACCGTTCGTAACAATTAAACTTGGTTTTCCGCTATTGTCCAAATAGTCTGATGTGATGGAGTTCGGTGCGTTCCCAGTAGAATGGGTAGTAGCAGCATTGAATGTTCCATCACCTCGGCCAAGTAGTACACTGATACTGCTGTTAGCGGAATTGACAACGGCTAGATCAATTCTTTTATCATTGTTATAATCACCAATAGTGACAGCACCGGGCCATAAACCCACAGGATAATTTATTGGATCTTGGAACGTTGCATCACCATTCCCAAGAAAGATGCTAATAGTGTTATTATTTCTATTGCTGACGACGAGATCCTTTTTACCATTTTGATCAAAGTCATCAACTTTCACAGCACTCGGCCAATCACCAGTTGTATAATTCTTACTCTTTGGAAAATGGCCAGTGCCATCACCAAATAGTATAGTGACCGTGTTATCATAAGGATTCGTTACTATAATATCGAATTTATTATCGCTATCGAAATCACCTGATGCTACGGACGATGGTTTACGACCAACTTCATATTTAATCGAAGCCTGAAAAAGTCCATTAACATCACCGAGAAACACATGCACTGTCGTGTCATCTGAATTAGCGACTACGACATCTGCTCTGTTATCATTGTTTAAATCCGTTGATATGAGAGCGCCTGGGCAACTACCTACAGTATAATTCATCGCCAATTGAAAAAACCCACGTCCATCACCCAGCAGTACACTGATCGTATTGGCAAATGAATTCGCTACTACTAGATCCAAATTCGTATCGTTATTATTAAAATAACCTGATGCTACTGCGCGTGGATAGCTAGCAATATCAGTGCTCATCAAAGTAAAGAAATCTCTTTTACCGGTGCCCAGCCGAATACTGACAGTATTATCACCAAAATTTGTCACTGCCAAATCCAGCACTTGATCCTTGTTGAAGTCAGCGACATCGATCGACCACGGAAGATGACCGACAGTGTAATAGCTAGGATACGTTGAAAATGCACCACGTGGAAAACCATATAGAACCATAATATAATCGGCATCGTCACGACCCACCAACAAATCTAAATAACCATCTTTGTCCAGGTCAGCTGATACAATCGATATCGGAGAGAGATTAATACTATGTGTGGCCCTGAAGTTAAAACTTCCTTGTCCATCTCCGAATAGAACAAAAACGACAGCATCGTTTAAATTGACGACGGCTAAATCCATTCTCCCATCATGATCAAAATCACCTCCTGTCATAGCGTAAGGAGCTCCGGTAGTCCAATAGTTTATTGCGTACTGGAAACTACCGTTGTCGCCGCCACATAGAATAGTGATTCTGTTATCAGCTCGATTTCCTACCGCAATATCAAGTATAGAATCATTGTTAAAATCACTGACTACCATCGCCACAGGATAAGCACCAACTGTATAATCCATTGAGAGTTGAAAGTTTCCATCTCCATCACCAAATAGGACACTAACACAGTTATCATCGGAGTTGGCTACTGCTAAGTCAGGTATGCTGTCTTTGTTAAAATCTCCTGAAACAATGAACGAGGGCGTATGACGAACCTTGACACTGGTTGCATTTTGAAATGTTCCGTTTCCGTTACCACGTATAACAAGAAGGTTATTGTCAATAGAATCAGTCACTGCTATATCAAGATTGGCATCATTGTTAAAGTCGCCGACTATCATAGCCGATGGGAAGTGACGAGTGGCGTACCTTGTTGACGTCGGAAAAAGACCAGTGCCATCACCAAACAGTACGAGAATAACATTTTCGATGTAATTGGCTACCGCAAGGTCGCGATTTTTATCATTGTTGAAATCACCTGATACGATCAACGATGGCATTTGAACAGTATTGTACGTTCCAGGAACTTGCAGCGTGCCGTCGTTTTCTCCAAATAACAGACTAAAACCATTATCAGCCGTAACAACTGCAACATCTAACTGTTGACTATTTCTGAAATGACCAACTGCAGCAGATGTGGGTCGATATCGAGTTCGATAACGATCTGCCGATTGAAAAGGCTGTTTACATTCTCCTGTCAAGAGAAAAAAAACGAATGATCACGTGAAACGAAAAAGTATGTTCGCGTACCGAGGGTATTGTAATGGTTTCGTGTTCCTAGAACAGATCCTAGAATGATTCCTCCAATCATTAACATTAGCAGAAAACAAATCGGAATGACGAATCGTTTCTTATGATACCATTGACGTCTTACAAGGAGAAATTCGTTTATTAGAAGCAAACAAATTGGAAGCTTACTTAATTTTTGGATAAAGCTCAGCACCTAAAGAATAGATCACAATTAATAAACTGTCAATCGGATATTTTTAGCCGTCCTTTTCACTAAGATCATGCCCGTCACGGTTTGCGAAGGAAGAGATTGAGTCTATTTTTACCTTTATACAGTCGGAGGCTCTCTTTCAGATCGTGTTTTTCTTAAACGAAAAGAAGACTTTTCTTCGTATCCATACCTTCAAATGGAGGTTGAAGTAGAACTTTTTCTGGTTTAACTTGTCTCAGATGAATGATATAGAGCTCCGATGCCGGACTGAGCTGAGATTGAACGATCATATGTGTTCCCGGTAAGAGAAGAATTTCGTCTTCTGTCGGATAATGTGAATGATTTCGTATTGTTCGTCCATTGATAACTTCCACTGAAAACAACGTTCGATTTCCAGTATTTCCCAAATAAAAATTATTTTCGAGAATCGTCATTTGAGTTGTACATGATGAAAATGCCCACCATGTCACAGGAGTGCTCGGTGGAAATTCTTGACTTAAATTTTTTGTCACACCACGCCAAACTGTCAATGGCGGCACACACGGTAATTTTACTAGTGCTGTTAGAAATAATTTCAAATACTTAAAGTATGGACGAAGATCTTCGCGATTGTCACTCTTAAGACTATGATTTAACATCCAATAGAGACTTTTATGTGGTTTATTCCATTCGAATGTGTACAAACGAATAGCGGCACTTTCATCAATGGTTAATCCATCCGGCGGCTGTTCGGGTGTTGCATCAAGTGCTAATTTAACATATCCTGACAGGTTATAAATGAGACTCTCTAGCGGAACACATGCTTTGTAGAGTGGTAACAATGGTTCATTGGCGTATTCGATCAAAGGATTGAAATTTGTTTCCGGTTCCATTAGAAATTTCGATTTCGACATTTTATTGTTCATGTTAACATCATCAATAATCCGACGACCTCTTGTCGAATCATCTTCTATCCGTGCCGGTGACTCGTCTGATATGTGTTGACTCGATGAAATGGAATAAACTTGATTATTGTCATTCGATTGATCGGCAGAAAATTCTGTCGGTAACAATTCGAATTGACTAACTCTCTTCTTGGACCCTTTCGTCATTAGATGAAATCGAAGGACAAGATACTTTCGAGTGTAAATAAACACAAATGACTATTAGTGATAATACGAAAGCACGATCGATTCTATTCCTTCATAATGCACATTTTATTTTTATACAATGACGTCAGCACGTGGAGGTTAAGATTGTGGATACCTTTTTTTTCTTTGTATATATTTCGATACAGTATTGATCGTTAGTGTATGAAATAATACGCGCAATTTATCTGACGTGAGTCTGTAGCTTTTTTATGATAATGATCAATGATTCATAGACGTGTGCGGAGTCTCGAAGGATAAGCAACAAAATCATGTTCGTCTAGAGCGATTTGCTTTGATAAAGACACAAGAGAATACATTGCAAGGACGTCGATCGATTTATTTTTCTGCAAAGTGATTTCAATAATCCATTTTCATGTAGAAGTATAGTTCAGCGTGATGCAATCAACTTTTTGACATTCTGCTCGGAGATAGTAATCGAGCATGACGATATCACTTGACGTCAAATGGAAATTTGATATGAGGGACGATGTTTGATAAAGAGTTTAGTAGCAATGAAAAAGAATGTTCCCAAGAAAAGGGGGAAAATGCAGTGGATCTTATTCTATGCTCTACTTTATTTCAAGTAATATGACTTTCATCGGTGTAATAAGGAATGATGACACAATCCTTTGCTGTTGATTAAATATTTACGATTCACATCTCCACGAATGATCATACGAAAAGCGGCTTTGAATCTTAAAAAACTGGCATAAAACCGATTCTTTGAAACAAACTGCAGAAAATAATATACTCTAATGGATTTTTTCAACAGCAACTGCTAAAACTAGGAAATAGTTATTTTAATTGATTATTATCTGGAATACTCATTCACCCAGGAAGAAAAACGAACTGAAATTAATGTTTTCATTACAAAATTATTAAAATTAGATTTTTTTCTTGTACTGTTTTACGTGGGTAGTAGCTGATCGATATATTATTGTCGTTCGTAACTATATTTATGGCAATTAAGGTCTACATTTTGCGTTTTTCATCGTCGGTAAAACTAGAAGAAATCTGACGTTTCTGTATATTTGTTGAAGTTTGACGAACTGTTTCACACGTATCATACAGGTCGTTATACTCTTCATTCACTATTTGATCATGAATTTCAACAAGAAAAAAAAAATAGAATTTGTTTTTTTTAATTGGTTTAACTCTAAAAAAACCAGTCCTTTTTGAATGGACCAAAGTCGACGAACTGAAATGGCCCTATCGCAGTCATTTTTACAAAAGATAGGTTCCGATGCTTCTTCGTCAGTATCTGTTTCGATAGGTATCATCGTCATTCTAATTATCGAAGGATTACACAACATACCTTCCACATGAGCCTTTATATTACGAAAACCATTCTTATCAACACTCACTTCACAATGATGCGGAGAATAATAATGGAATGTTTTGGTCTTATTCTGCTAAAGTAATGCAAACTATTTTCTTTTTCTCGAATATTCTATCTAGCTCAATTTGTGTTTGATTTCATTTCATACGCATTGATTTGTACTATAATTGTATCTAAATAGTTCAAGCGAACTCTCAACCGTGTGACGATACAGTTCCGTACAATAAATACTCAAGTAATAATGCGTGTGGATGCTTTCCTATGGTAGGTACAACGGACGAGATTGGTATTTGTGCCTTTCTTTAGAAGTTTTGTTCTCAACAAGTTCATATATGTGTCCGACATTCACGATGTAGTAGTTCTCCTGTTTGTTATCCGTTGTCAATGATACGTGAGGCTATTTGTCCATTATCATTGAATAGTAAGTAGGATAGTGTGTAAACCACATCCACTTCTGGAATGTACAACTTTCTTGATTCTAATACTTTGTATTAAATACGATGAGCACGGTGACTACAACACGTAAGTTTATTATGATATTTTGAAAGTATATACAAGACAGAAACGGAAAGGTCATATCTTTTGTTCGTTTTTTGGTGATGAAACTCAACAAATGGAATCAATTTGGACGAACTATTGCAGAAGTAAATGGATACGGAAAAGAATTAAATCAACTCTGGGTTCCTAATAGAATATCTATTGATAAAAATCAAAATGTTTACATCGCTGATAGTTACAATGACCGTATTATGAAATGGAAACCGACGCAAATGCACTAAAAAGTGTGATCGTTGATGAACAGACTAATTCATTGATCACTGCTGATCGAAGAAGTTAGCAAGTTGTTTGATGGTGGAATGAAAGTCGACAAGAGATTCTTGTGGATAGAATTGATTGCTGTGATATCACATTGGACAAATGCGGATTCCTTTATGTTTCTGATTGTGCACAGAACGAAGTGAGAAGATGGGAAAATGGAGAACAACAAGACGAATTGGTTGCTGGAGGAAATGGAGAAGGATAGAATTTGAATCATCCTCAAGGAATCTTTGTTGATGATATTGGCCAAATTTACGTTTCTGCTTGGAGAAATCATTGAATAATGCGCTGGCATGGAGAAAAGAAAGAAGGTGAACTTATTGTTGATGGAAAGTCAGACCAATTAAATCATCCTACTGATTTATCATTTGACATTCAAGGAAATCTCTATGTTGTTGATACTGGTAAAAATCGAGTTAAAAGATTTGATTTAATTTGAAACTCAAACTTTTATGAAAAATTTCTTTTTCAATAAAACTCGACGTGTGTTCATTTTTTGACAAATAAACTCAATAATACTCCAAACAGTTTCACTTTCAACGTCAAATTGACTGGAAAGGTTGTGATTAGGCAGATTTGGTAAGCGATAAAACCCTTACACTCACATCCATCGTTGAAGATTGCGTGCAGTTGCGCAATATGGTGACTAATCAATATTGTTTTTCGCAATAGACCGTGTATAGGAAAGAGAAACATCGGTAGAGGCTTCCTTTGGTAAAAACATTTGCTTATAGGTAAAGGAATAATTAATATAATCGAATGACGTCAAGGGAAATTTTTAATGCTTCGGGAGATACTCAGGTTTCTTTCATATAAAGCCTCAATAATACTTTTATGTCATCGATATCGCAATCGAGTAATAATATCAGAAATACAGTCGTAATGAAATTGGAATCATTACCTGTTGAATTATTACTAGGTTTCTTCGACTATTTCTCTACAAATGATCTTTTCCAAAAATTTCTTCATCTCAACGCTTATTTTGATTCGCTCGTATTCGATTATGTTAGACTGAAAGGCTTAAACTTTCGATCACTATCTCAAATTGACTTTGATACAATCTGTCTCAAATATCTGCCGAACATGGCCAATCANGACTTTTATGTGGTTTATTCCATTCGAATGTGTACAAACGAATAGCGGCACTTTCATCAATGGTTAATCCATCCGGCGGCTGTTCGGGTGTTGCATCAAGTGCTAATTTAACATATCCTGAGAGGTTATAGATGAGACTCTCTAGCGGAACACATGCTTTGTAAAGTGGTAACAGAGGTTCATTAGCGTATTCGATCAAAGGATTGAAATTTGTCTCCGGTTCCATTAGAAATTTCGATTTCGACATTTTATTGTTCATGTTAACATCATCAATAATCCGACGGCCTCTTGTCAAATCATCTTCTATCCGTGCTGGTGAATCGTCTGATATGTGTTGACTCGATGAGATGGAATAAACTTGATTATTGCCATTCGATTGATCGGCAGGAAATTCTGTCGATAACAATTCGAATTGACTAACTCTCTTCTTGGAACCTTTCGTCATTAGCTGAAATCAAATAGCAAGATACTTTCAAATGTAAATAGACATAAATAGTTATTAATGATAATATGAGAATACGATAGATTTTATTCATTCTCGATGCACGGTTTATTTTTATACGATGACGTCAGCAAGTGGAGGTTAAGATTGTGGATACCTTTTTTTTTCTTTGTATATATTTCGATACAGTATTGATCGTCAGTGTATGAAATAATACGCGCAATTTATCTGACGTGAGTCTGTAGCTTTTTTATGATAATGATCAATGATCCATACACGTGTGCGAAGTTTCGAAGGATAAGCAACAAAATCATGTTCGTCTAGAGCGATTTGCTTTGATAAAGACACAGGAGAATACATTGCAAGGACGTCGATCGATTTGTTTTTCTGCAAAGTGATTTCAATAATCCGTTTTCATGTAGAAGTATAGTTCAACGTGATACAATCAGCTTTTTGATATTCTGCTCGGAGATAGTAATCGAGCATGACGATATCATTTGACGTCAAAAGGAAATTTGATATGAGGGACGATGTTTGATAAAGAGTTTAGTGGGAATGAAAAAGAATGTTACAAAAAAAAGGAAAACCAATGCAGTGCATCTTATTCTGTGCTCTACTTTATTTCAAGCAACATGACTTTCATCGGTGTAAAAAGGAATGATGACATAATACTTTGCTGTTCATTAAGTATTTATGATTCAAATCTTCACGAATGATCATACGAAAAGCGGCTTTGGATCTTTAAAAAACTGTCATAAAATCGATTATTTGAAACAAACTGCAGAAAATAATATACTCTAATGGATTTTTTCAACAGCAACTGATAAAACTATGAAATAGTTATTTTAATTGATTATCATCTGAAATACTCATTCACTTAGGAAGAAAAACGAATTAAAATTAATGTTTTCATTACAAAATTATTAAAATTAGATTTTTCTCTTGTACTGTTTTACGTGGGTAGTAGCTGATCGATATATTATTGTCGTTCGTAACTATATTTATGGCAATTAAAGTCTAAATTTTGCGTTTTTCATCGTCGGTAAAACTAGAAGAAATCTGACGTTTCTGTATATTTGTTGAAGTTTGACGAACTGTTTCACACGTATCGTACAGGTCGTTATACTCTTCATTCACTATTTGATCATGAATTTCAACAAGAACCTATCACAGCCATTTTTACAAAAAATAGATTTCGATAGGATCAAATTGATCACAATAGAAATAGGTATCATCGTCATTCTATAATTATCGAAGGACTACACAACATACCTTCCACACGAGCCTTTATATTAGGAAAACTATTCTTATCGACACTCACTTCACAATGATGCGAAGAATAATAATGGAATGTTTTGGTGTTATTCTGCTAAGGTATACAAAGTTTTTTTCTTTTTCTCGAATCTTCTTTCTAACTCAATTTCATTTTAGTTTCATAGGTTTGTGTTTGATTTCATTTCACAAGCATTGATTTGTACTATAATTGTATTTAAATAGTTCAAGCGAATAATAATGCGTGTGCAATACTTTCCTATGGTAGGTACAGCGGACGAGATTGGTATTTGTGCCTTTCTTCAGAAGTTTTGTTCTCAACTTATTCCGTGTGGATCCTCACGAGAATGTTCTCGACAAGATCATATATGTGTCCGACACTCGCGATGTAGTAATTCTCCTATTTGTTATCCATTGTCAGTGATAAGTGAAGCCATTTGTCCACTATCATCGAATAGTAAGTAGAAAAGTGTGTAAACGACATTCACTTCTGGAATTTACAACTTTCTTGATTCTAATGCTTTGTATTAATTAATAGTGACAGATACGACAAATACAATGAGCACGATGACTACAACGCGTAAGTTTATTATGATATTTTGAAAGTATATACAAGACAGAAACGGAAAGGCCATATGTTTTGTTCGTTTTTAGCAATGAAACTCAACAAATGGAATCAATTTGGACGAACTATTGCAGGAGGAAATGAATACGGAACAGAATTAAATCAATTCTGGGTTCCTAATGAAATATCTATTGATGAAAATCAAAAATGTTTACATCGCTGATAGTTACAATGACCGTATTATGAAATAGAAATCAAACGAAAAGAAAGTCGTTAAGAGATTCTTGTGGATAGAATTGATTCCTGTGGCATCGCAATGGACAAATACGGATTCCTTTATGTTTCTGATTGGAGAAATAATCGAATAATGCGCTGGCGTGAAGAAAAGGAAGAAGGTGAACTTATTGTTGATGGGAAGTCAAACCAATTAAATTATCCCACCAATTTATCATTTAACATTCAAGGAAATCTCTATGTTGTTGATACTGGTAACAATCGAGTTAAAAGATTTGGTTTATTTGAAATTCAAAATTTTATGAAAAATTTCTTTTTCAGTAAAACTCGACGTTTGTTCAATTTTTGACGAATAATTTCAATAATACTCCAAACAGTTTCATTTTCACCGTCAAATTGACTGGAAAGGTTGTGATTAGGCAGATTTGCTAGACGATAAGATCTTTACACTCACATCCATCGTTGAAGATTGCGTGCAGTTGGGCAATATGGTGACTAATCAATATTGTTTTTCGCAATAGGCCGTGTAGGAAAGAGAAACATCGGTAGAGGCTTCCTTGGGTAAAAACATTTGCTTATAGGTAAAGGAATAATTAATATAATCGAATGACGTCAAGGGAAATTTTTAATGCTTCGGGAGATACTCAGGTTTTTTTCATATAAAGCCTCAAAAATACTTTAATGTCATCGATTTCGCAATCGAGTAATCATATCAAAAACACAGTCGTAATGAAATTGGAATCATTACCTGTTGAATTATTACTAGGTTTCTTCGACTATTTCTCTACAAATGATCTTTTCCAAAAATTTCTTCATCTCAACGCTTATTTTGATTCGCTCGTATTCGATTATGTTAGACTGAAAGGCTTAAACTTTCGATCAATATCTCAAATTGACTTTGATACAATATGTCTCAAATATCTGCCGAACATGGCCAATCAAATAGCATCTCTTGCTCTGTCAAACAGTCAAAGTACTCCAACACAGATAACTCGATTCTTTAAATATGGTTTTAATCTCAGCCAATTTACTTGTCTTACATCTCTTTCACTCTGCGCTATTTCCTCGGGACCAGCAGTAGATCAAATCCTATCGGAATTGTCTCATCTGGATCATTTTACTCGTTTAGTTTTTAAACAATGTTCGTTTCCGATGAGAGGTGCACCAGGAAGAATCAATGCAATTTGGAGTCTTCCCAAGTTAAGTCATTGTTGTCTGGAAATATATGCTGATTTGTTCCGTGCGCCAACGGTGATTTCATCCAGCATTCGCTCGTTTTCTTTGTATGTGAGTCTAGCCGACAAGGAAGAACTCGCGAGATTGTTTGCACATACGCCTTATCTACGATATTTCTCAACGAATCTTCTGTTCGGATGGTATTCTTTCGTTACTTTGCCACCAAATATACTCATCAAAACATTGTCTTTGTCGCTTTTTAATGTACAAGCCACTGTACTCGTGTCTTGCTTGCAACAATTTGTTAATTTGCGTCGGCTAAAGCTTGGGATGATTTATTGTTTTATTTATGGTGACCAATGGGAGCAAATGATTAAAACTCATCTTCCAAATCTAACAGTATTTCAATTTCGAATGAAATCTGCATTTGACAAGGAAAACAATTGCGAAGAACGTATCGATGAGATTTTCCAAACATTTCGAAGTCCATTTTGGCTTGACGAACGTCATTGGTATGTACGCTGTGATTGGAGCCCAGATTATGGGAAAATGTCTCTATATACTGTACCGTACGCTTTCGAGGATTTTACTTTCGAATACTCCGTTATCTCGAAATCAACATATCCGTGTAAATCTAGTCAACGTTTATATGATTCGGTACATCAACTTACCTACAAAGCTCGATTATTGCCATGGTCCACTCGATCACGAATACAATTTTTCAATATTCGCACACTAATTGTCGAATTTCCGATCAGTGACTTCTTCTATTCAATGGTGCCGAATTTCGAACAATTGACAGCACTCGAAGTTTCATCGAATGATCGAAGTACACATCCGACCCTACAATTACAAATCTTACTCGATCGATCACCAAATTTGCAATCTTTACACTTTCGTATATGGCCGTCATCAAATGTGATGCAAAACCCACCGTTTGATAGCAGAAGTACTTCTATCCGTCAGTTAGATTTGAGATATATGAATCGGTGTTATGATAATGAACAATGTATCGCGTTGGCTCAGTCGCCACTCGGTAGACAGTGTGAAATACTGACTCTGACTGTAAAAAATAAAAGTTGTATATTTGATCTAGTGAATAACATGCATAACTTGCGAACTCTAGCTGTTACTTATGATGAAAGTAACATCACACACCATGTATGGTCATCAACAAAAGATCAACTTATCGAAGAACTTGGTCTGGGTGCTCGATTCAATGAATCATTTCAAAGAGGTGATGAATGATTAGATGTCGATACTGCTCACTATATCTCATGGCTCAACAATCATTATATACGTACATTCGATTTTTTCTTTAATTGTTCTCTTGTGTAAACAGTAATAACTAAATAAAGGTTTTTATTTGATAGTGAATTCTATAGATGAATTATTTTATCGAGTAAAATATATTGCATTGCTATCAGAAAAAAGGAGAAGTTAAAACTTGTGAATCAGAGCATTCCACCGGTTAAGCCCCTACCCTCGACCGAAAGACAAGAGAAAGATGAGTTCGATATTTTATTTCAGATTAGAAAAGCCTTCACCGACGTAAGAAAAACGATTTCAGTTAAATTAATTTGATGCCCACGGTTTTGACTTCATAATAACTTTCGAGACCATATTTTCCTAATTCCCTTCCATGGCCTGATTCTTTGAAGCCACCAAAAGGTGCCTGATTCCAAAACGAATTGTAGTCGTTAACCCACACAGTTCCCGCGCGTAATTCTTTAATAAGTGTCAAAGCTCGTGTTACTAAAAAGATCCAAAATCAATGTATAAAACAGTTTGTTTTATAAATACATACAATCTTTTGTCACAACACCAGCAGCTAAACCAAAATCTGATGAATTTGCTCGTTCGATAACTTCTTCATATGAGTCGAACTTAAACAAAGACATCACTGGACCGAAGATCTGAAATAAAAACGTCCTTCTTCTTTCATTGGAAATGTCAAACAGATCAAACCTCTTCTCGAGCGATTTTCATATTGTCTTTCACATCACTAAATACCGTCGGTTGGATAAAATAACCATTGTCACATGCTCGTTTGCCACCACATTGAAGTTTTGCACCTTCCTGTTTGCCCGATTCGATGTAATTGAGAATTTTATTGAACTGCTCTTCACTAATTTGTGGTCCTTGTTCGGTGTTTTTGTCATATGGATCACCAACAATGCGTTTATTGGCATATTCAATGCATTTCGCGACGAATTGATCATAGATTTTTGAATGAACAAATGTTCGTGAGCCAGCGCAACAACACTGAGCAGCATTGAAATAAAGAGCTTTGTGAGCAACCTGAGCAGCTTGGTCGACTAAATTCAAAAGAAGAAATCATAGACGAAGAAATTGGATCAGTCGAATCATTACGATCGGCATCTTCGCAGATGATCAAGGGCGATTTTCCACCTAAATTTCAGAAGAGAAGAAGACATTTACATTGAGAATATGATAAAGAACGAACCAAGTTCGAGAGAAACTCGTTTCAAATTTGTTGCAGTGGAAGTTTTATGAACAATTTTACCAACCTATAGGGCAAAATTTGAGATTTTCCATGAAAATATTTGTTTGAAATCAAAATCTCACTTCACTGGAGCCGGTAAAAGCCAACTTATCGACATGTGGATGAACAACAATGGCATTTCCACATTCTGGTCCATCACCTGGTACAACATTAACAACACCAGGTGGAAATCCAGCCTAAATGATTTGTAAATGAGCTCTTCGTTCTAAAAAATCGATAACACACCTCTTTGATCAAAGCAGCGCAATAAAGAGCTGTCAATGGTGTTTGTTCAGCTGGTTTCAAAATCACAACATTACCTATTCATTTCGATCAGATACCTGGAGATATTCGTTTGAATAGCTTACCACAAGCAAGTGCTGGTCCTAATTTCCATGCCAACATAAGAATCTAAACTGAAAACTCTTTAAATAATCTTAATTGCAAAGATAACAAACCGGGAAATTCCTAAACGATAAAGAAATACCAATCGGAAGAGAACATAGTTGACTTACCATGGAATAATTTGTCCACAAATACCGACTGGTTCATGTCGAGTATAAAGAAATTCGTTATGACCTGCTGGAATTGTTTCACCAGTAATTTTATCAACCCAACCCGCATCTATTCGAATATGAATTGTCAATTTACCGAATCAAATACATTTCACTTACAATAATCGATACAATTTGCGGAAAGTGTTATATCTCCAATACTATCATGAACTGGCTTTCCATTGTTAAGTGTTTCTAATTTCTATAATAAAATTCATTATTTTACCAAGACAAACGAGAAGATATTCTCACCGATAGATAATCGATGTCACGTCGAAGTAGATTGGCGAATTTGCGCATCAGATCTCCACGTGCAGCAGGTTCCATCGTACGCCATGGTGAATTGCTTTGAAAAGCTTTGCGAGCAGCTTCTACGGCCTTTTCTACATCTTCCTAAAACAAATTTCCAAATAAACAAGCATAAAAGAAGATTTCCCATCAAACCCGAGTGCCTTCTTCAACATCAGCAATCACTTCGCAGGTGCTTGGATTGATCACTTGAAACGTTTTACCTTTTGTTGCTTTGTGCCATTCATTATTAATAAAAATTTCAGTGTATTTTACTTCGACTTGCTGCGTTTTGCTATCGGAAGAGAGCATTTGAAATCGGGCAAATTTTTGTAAAAAAAAAAACTATTCTCAAGTATAGGTAAATCGGTTCTCTTCCTTTTTATATGTGAATATAAACGAAAAACAATGTTTCGCCTCAATGCACACTTCCTATCACGAATAAAGATTGTCAATTCATAACAAGTAAAAAATAAGATATATAAAGATAAATATGTCATACGTAAATATTTTCATATATCTTACCTTAATGTCAAATGAATGCAAAAATTATGAGAAGGATTTTGATGATTTGTCTTCGATTTAATTACGAAAAATTCTTTGATTAACAAAACATTTCATCGATGATTAGTGAGAGAACACGTCATAAAAAACAAACAAAATTTGTTACTTCGCTGAATGAAGAGTGAGGGTGATGCATATATACGTTAGGATTCAAAGAAAAACGCAATCGAAAATGTAACGAATGAATTATCGTCTATGATCAAACATGTTGTTATTGTCAACAAGTGATTAGCGACAGTAAAGAATTTTTGTTGACTTCGTGAGTCACCAATTTGTGGTGACTAAAATATTTGTGTAAGCAATTCTTCAAGAATCACAATTGGATACAGAAGGGAAAGAACGCGCTCTTATTTCAATCGAAAGAGAGAATTCTATTGATGACGTGAGAGAATGTAAGCACTGTTCTTTTAGTTCGCATTCGAATCCGTATTTTTAAGGTCGTCAAACTCATCTTAAGTAAATAAATCGAAGTGTGGTAGTCGTACACACCCTTTCTTTTCCACTTTTTTTCTCTTGCTCCACATGAAAGCATGGGGGAAGAATTCTATCTCGTGAAGAGAAACAATGGTTAAGTGATAACGGATGGCCGATTCCAAAATAAAACGCCAACTGATTTACTTAACCTAATCTTTTTTCCGCTCGTTATGCATGTTTATCATTGATCTCTACAAGGACTTTCTCTTTTCAATAAAATATTTTTACAGAAACATAGTTCTTCTAGCCGAAAGCCATTTAAGGTGTGAACATGAATGAGGATGATGATAATTCAGTCTCTACAAATTTATTAAGCACTTTTATAAATAGACAACTATTGCGAAGGCAAGGTTAATAGGAAGTATTGAAAAAAACGAACATCACTCAAAATAATTTACAAGAAAGTTGTGCAAATACAGCTATATATTCAGTTAATCATCTTATAGTGTCGGAGTTGCAGCTGTTGTATTGACAGACGGAGGATAAGATGGACATACACATGTGCACTGATTGGCAAAACTGTTAATCAATTCACATTTGATACAAATATGCACGGATTGAGTTAACATTGCTGGTGTACTAATTGACGAACAACCAATATGTACACGTGGTCCATCGAGAGTTGTTTCTGAAAAGACAAGTAAACATGAAACCACTAGTGATTGCTATCATTAAAATACTCACGTGCGTTAACTCGAAGATGTGCACGTACAAAACCTGTTTCTGAATCTCGGAAATACTCCAATGGTCGACTTTCCATGACATCTATTGTTGAATTGATTGATATTGGAGTCGAACATCCATTGATACATTTAGAGACTGATTCCAGCATTATTGGGCCTGAAATAGAACATGTGCCGCCATTTAATAGTCCAATATAGGCTTTCTTTGCCTCTAGATTTCGGTTAAGTAGGTTTTTGTTTAATGTGGCTTCGTCACGCGCACGAGCTAAATCGGCTTCCCTCGTTCGACGTTGAATAATTCGACGAAGATTTCCTTTCACAGTGTCATTAAGTGTCGCTACCTCGTACCATGGTGTGTAGGATTCGATTTTGAGTAATGCAGGGTTAGCAGCGATGCTTTGACGCCAGAGTGTATTATTGCTCAAAGTTGCATCGCCACCGAGTAGGTGGTCCACTTTGATCTGACGTCGATTCGCGTAAAAATCATTTCCGAGGGTTTGACGGAGAATATCCTGTTTGAGATATTCGGTAAGATTTGCTGAAGTGATGGCACTATTGAATGAGAAGACGCAGTCTTTGAACAACACGTGTTGCTCATGCATTCCACCTAAAATCAGAATACATTATATAGAGAATCAAATGCTTTCGCTGCGTACCAACTAACGACTGCTGAGCAATGTGAGTTCCCCACACGCTACAATATACAGAAGAAAATTCTGCAACTTTCATTCGAGAAAATGATGACAACTCTACCGAAGAAAGTCTGAATATAGCGACTCGTTGTAAGTTGAAGTAAGAGCATCAGTTGCTGCACGTGCTTGATCATTTAACTGGAAATCTTCGACACGCATTCGGTACAAAACAGTCGGATGCTGAGTGATGGCGACTGATTCCTCAGATGAAAAGTACTTCTTGTATATATCTAACAACGATTGAGAATGACCAAATTCACCACCTAGCCAGCCGCCCTGTAATCGATCGTAACGCCATCTGTTCGATAGCTCCGCCGCAGTAAGAAAAACATGAGCCACAGGAACTGAGTCGTTATCAACAGTCAATGGGAAGCTCACTTCTTTGGGTACAAAATATCGACGATTTGTGAAAGAGTCTGTCCAGAATGTAATATTTGAATATGTATATTTCAGAGCTGGAAGCAAAATGTCACCGGTTGTTATATCGAAAGTCATGCCAACACCAAGGAAAAGCTATACGGGACAAATAGTAAGGACATGTAATCACCGATGAGACATACCTTATTGTATCCTGTATCTGTTGCATTGGTCGTCTGTCTGCGTTGAAGACAAAGCTTCCCTTTATATCCCACGTAGTCACATAGTGTTTCTTCTGTTTCCTCGATGGTATGATCTGCATTTTGGTGAATAATAGCGCTGTGTCTTGTGTTATTTATTGCGTTTCGACTGCATTTTGTTGGAGGTAACGGATCACGATCTGCCTCAAGTTTATTGATGTACGTACGATCTTCTTCCAAAGCGTTTTTTAAATAAAACTGAATCGCTTCATTGAGTGCTGTACGTTTATTGCCTTCGGGCAATAGTTTATCGAGTGTGACCAATTGATATGAGATCGGTCGTGGATTGAATTTGATCGTGGATTGCCAATCTTTCCATTTTGCCGGGTCAATCGATTCCGTTCCACCAAGAATTTGAGAAGAAAATATGGAGAATTGTTTAAATCTTTCATCTATCTCAAGCGTATGGTCTTGCGAGCTTGAATGGGTGCTGAATACAATGAAACTACGTGACACTTGCTCGTCAATCCAAGTCTCAGTATGTTCGTAAGTCAAACACTGTTCGTACCATGTTTCAGCCCATACAAGACCACCCATGTTCGACGATTCAACCAAATGTGTACCATAGGATGCAAAGAATTGTTTCCAGACATCGATCTGACTTTCATTGAACACCGAGGGCAGTTGATCGATCGCACGTTGAGCAAGCGGTGTAAGCTGAGGGTAAGGAAATGTATTAGTTGAGAGTTTATACCAACCAATTTGTATCAAGCGTAACACGAGACTGTAATAATCATGATAAAATCGTCGATAGAAGTCGGTGACTGTTGTTTCTGTATGCTTTCGACCAACGCCAAGAATCCCACCACTACTGCTTGACGTTGTCGTGGTTGTCAAACGAAAATAGTCTTGGACTGATGTGACTAATACAGTTATGTCAAGAAGAAGTTTTTCTGGAGTATTAGTAGCAAAAAAACCATTTGGTAGAGAATAGGTGATAGTATCATTGTAAGGATCAAACCAAAGCTCTCCTTCACTTGTATTTGTTTGATCCAAAACACATAGTTTGCTTTCAAGCAAGAGGACGTCAAATCCACAGCCGACTACATCAAGACCAGCTAGAGGACCAAGTGGTTTACGGTCAGAAGAAGAAAGACGAACAACCGCCGCTCTTGATTGGATCTGGGCCAGAGTAGGTAATTTGCCGTTGGTATAATGTAATAATCGATCGTTGTACGAAGATGTGTTTGAACTGTTTTGCTAGAGATAACGAGCTCAGCAAGGTGAGTCAGAGTTCGGTTCACCACGACCGGATGCTGTCCAGCCTCTAGTTGCCAAGTACTACAAAATACGCAAATAAGAAGAGACTTTCACATCGATTTTCAAATTATTCGTGACTGGTGAGTTGTTCTGTTCGGATAGTGCTCAATATTCATTCAAGTTAACGAGATTATGAATTAAAAGTAGTATTCCTATCATAACTCACTTCCACTCCGTTTGATTGTCTTCATTGTTAACATTAACAGGTGGATGATATTCTGATACTACACTTGTGCTCTTTTTGAAAGTTTCGGTAATTTTTTGAAATACTTCTGCACTCTCGATGCTGCCTTGTCCCTGATATTTTTTATATTCAAACATTAGACCAATCTGTTGCGATGTTTCTTCAGTATTCGCGGTGGAATAATAGCTTGAATTGATAAACGAGTAGACGTATGCAGTTCCACCCATGATCACTTTCGAAACGTAATGAGTACCATACGATTCCACAAACTGATTATATAATCGTTGTTGATCTTCAGTAGTGGGTGGTGACGCTTGTTGGAGAAGCATATTGATACTTGCATTGAACATTTGATCAACTCTAGAGTGAAATTCATTTCATTAGGATAAAGCACGGAAAGATCATGCGATGATGCTTACTTGAGTTGAAACGAAGGTGCCAATTGCATTGAATAAAGACCCCACCATAATGTTGATGTGCCGACCGCCTGATTATGTTTTGTAATTGCTTCTTGAGCCCTTTTTAATGTTTCACTGTACTGAATAGCGAGACCAGCATAACCAGCCACCGAGATACCCCCTTGAAAAGAATTCGAGCGGAAATGACTGAAAAATGAAATATACAAATTACATGAAGATCTGAAAATGAAAAATATTTACCTTTCATAAAATTTTTCGAATGTATATGATATATCTTCACAGCTCACTTCACGACGAAGACTGACATCATTTACTTGAGCAAGCAGTGGTGTGGAAAATGTTTGCTTTTGACCGAGAACATCGAGCGTAAAATTAACTCCCGATTGTTCACTTAAGTCCAAAATTCGAAACTTTGATTGTTGATCGGAACCTGATACCATCTTGGCCGCATCGAATCCAGACATAAGTTCATCCAGACCTGGTAGACGATTCGCAATTGCTACATTGAATCGAGCGAAAATTAATAACCAATAAAAATAGAAGTGCATCATCTAGAATAATGACGAAGTGAATAAAAGCTATCTAAAAATCAGTGTTAAGCAAAACAAACAGCATTGAAACGATTTACAAAAGATTCAGTGTCATTGTGAAACACACGCATAGCTCGAGTAAGGTGCTTCTAGATCACATGTTCGTCCAAAAAGGGCAAGGCTAGTATAATAGCAAAACGACTTGTTACCAATGGCTATCATTCTGGCGTTCAAAACCGATGTACAGCCTGTTAGATGAATTAGACGGGTCTGAATGCCAACAACATGCGTTTCATTAATGTAGCGGCCGATGAATGTGTTGGCTACCGTAGGTGTGTCACTTGTCCAATAAACATCATAGTCCTTTTGATAAACATGACGATATTCTGTATTAGCTGTAATAGTGTAAGTTCCAGTAAGATCATAAGTATAACTCCACTCGGTTGGAATATCTTGACAAGTTGCATTGCTTGTAGAATAGTATTGAGTTGCAGATGGACAATACTGAAGCATATTGATTCCATTGATGCATCGGTAAAACGATCGATAGTCATCTCGGTTGACATAAGTTCCATTCGCCTGAGGACAAGTGAAAACCGCGACTGAATTTGTGATCAAATTGAGCGAAATGACAGCAATAATACCAATGAGTTGTAACATCGTTTGATTCCACACAGTAAACTGATCATAGACTTTTGGCACATTCAGCTTTATATACTCACTACATCGCCTTATTTTTCGTTTACTAATTGATTGTTATCTGATAATAATGTTTGACAACTATGTGGTTATTGAGTTTATTTCGGTATGACAAATAGAAGATAAGTATTGCTAAATATGTTCAAGTATCATCTATTGCGTTTGTCAAACTCGTTTTACAGTGAGATATAAATTGCGTATGTTATACATCTTTCGGAGAAAAGCGATAAGATGATTAATGTTTTACTTTCTGCACTCTGAAGTACGTCTTAAGTCGTTATCGATATCCAAGATACAATACAAATATTTATGCATTCAGTTCGAACGGTACGCAAAACGCCTGGAAAATAATACATGAAACAAATCAAACTGTCGAGAATGAAAAACGAACTTAAAATCGTCATTCGATTTTGACAGCAGGGTTCGTAGTGATAACTTTTCGAAATATTGAAAACATAGAATTTTATTTTCATACATAGAAATAGGATATATTATGCTGCCCATCGTATAGCATGCCAACTACTCTATAACTACCAATAATTACAAATCGAAATCATTCTGGTACTTGAACTATGATCGCTTCACAATCTTCCAGAATTTCAATGATGAAAATACCAGTTTACTCTCTCACACCATCTGAAAGTTTTTGAAGTCGTAAGAGAATCAATTGTCTTACAGTTGGACACTATGGAAAAGAAATTATTTCACTTAAGATTTTGATTGGAATTGATTTTTCTTGATCAGCTTTAAAATAACTGAAATCATTTAATAAGTTCCCTAGGTAACCACGAAATACGGCGTGGCGGTTTATTTCTCCAATTAAGCTGGTGCAAGAGTATAAATACTCGTTTACTCGTGTAATTTTGAAATCATCTTAACGTCTTAGTGGACTTGGTATATGGTAAAAATTACAAGGAATAAGTCATTAGTATTAAAATAATAGTAGCTTCTAACTGATTAACCATCCCAAAGCTTCATTTTATCATAAATGTACTTTAAAAATAGAAAATTCTTTTACTCTTCAGAGCTAAAACATCGCATTCGTAGTGTACAAAATGAATTTTATCAGCTCAGTGCGTGACATTCTAGAAGAACAATTCAACACATGGATAAATGGGTCATTTTTTCCTCTTGATATTGTTCATCTCAACTCCACAAAATATAATACTTGAAAACTGATATGATTTGCAATCTGACAGTAGTTTAAAAAAACTCAGAAATTTTCGTTCAGACACCTGTCATTTTAATTATTCTTAAATGAGTGTTGATTTTAAATTCTGTTTACATAAGCAGAGCAACAAATGCGATGTACATGATAAAAATATAATGTGTCACGTTTGTGTGTATGATCGATAGTTCTGATGTTTGGCTTGTCGGAACAGATTGAAACTTGCAACGTAATTTCCGAACATAAAAGTAACATTCCGTATGATATAGATGAACTGAAAGACCAACGATGGTAATTAACACGACTTGCACTATGGTCACTATATTTATTTGACGATCAAAATTCTGTTCCATAAGATTTCGCCAAGTCAACAAATAGCCAAATACAATCAAAATAATAACAGATAGTGTACTAATACAAAGAATAGTCTATAACTGAAAGTATTCAGTAAACACTCCGTTTGTAAATATGCTCATGTTATAAACAGGTGAAAGGTCAAAGTATAGAAATCATGGGAGACTGTGTAGTCATGCAAAAAGAGTTACGATGATCTGTATTCGATGAACTCCTTTTGATTTGACTTGTCTGTTGAAGATGAACATTTCTTGATGTGAGGAGATATTGATCAATTGTAGACAAAGACTCATAAACTATCACGATAAAACTAAAATCCACTGCAATAGTTAAGTACGTACATTAGTATGATTATGTTACGATGATCATGGATGAAAATTGTAATTGTTGCAGTTAGACTTATTTCAAAGACTTTTTCAATTAGATCTCTTCAATATTTCAGCATTAACAAGAGTGTCAATCGGCATTTCTGTTATTGTACTTACCCAAGAAGTTTAGATTTGACGTTTTAGGAATTCTTCAAGCGTGTGTACCGTTTCACTTAATACATTCGAAAAAAAAACTGGATACATAGGATAACAGAAAGTACGAGGGGTTAAATGAACTTTATATCATGATTATTCCGCTATTAAACATAAGAAGAAAGCTAGAAATATAAAACATCACGGTTTGAAGTCCTTTCGTCATCATGCAATTAATTTCAAGAAAGAAAAAAGCTTTTAAGTACAAACTGATATTTCAACTTTAGTATGTTAGAAAACAAATGATAACTAACTAAAAAGTAGTTCAAAATTCAAGTAAACAGATAAATAAATGAGTATTCTTATCATCCGCCCTAATATTGATCAAATGCACAAATAAATAGTAGATATTGTGTGTAAGTAACTAATCAATTTACTTATCGTAGAACGAATACTTATTGAAAATAATGTTGAAATACCTAAAACAATGGAAATTACTTTTTTGATAAATCCAATGATGAGAAGAGCCTTTTCTTGCGTTAATTGTTTTCATAAAAAGCCCTTCTCACCAATATGGTCGCATAACGAAGGACTATTGCAATTTAACAAATGATTCATAAGGAGGAAAAGTTGCTACATTACTTTCACGTTCTCTTGTCTTTATTCACATCGTTTTGTTTATTTTAATTATAAAGATAAACTACTTTTTTCGTTTGTACTTCAAGACAAAATGGATCATATAAAATGAATGTTTTTTGAAAACGAAACATTCACGTAACTAGAATAGCAAATGATATGATTACACACTGAATGAAATTGCATTGCAAATGAAAAGTAAACGCTTGTTATATTCTCAAAATACATAAAGAATATAAAATGTACTAGTCAACTTCAAAACGTTAGTACACTCGGCTATATACGAGACACATTCTTTCTTTTATTCCAATTCTTACGTATATGAACTACGGAATCGATGCAAATTTTTATTATGTCACTCATATCATGACATTTTTTTAAAATTTTCTGTCGTCATTCTTTTCATCTACTTGAAGATAAAAGTATATTCAAATAGAATTCCCGTGTTCCTCTCTCTAGTTCAGTTTTCCTTTCGTGAACATCATTCGAGTTTTAAAAAACTGCTTCCTATTTTAGATCATTATTAGAAATCTCTCGAGTAGCAAAACTATTTGTTTTACTCTCGTACTTTGCTTGAGAAATCTTTTCTACCAGAGTGACGAGGAGACTTCAATGATACCTACAAATACAAAAGGGTAGAATCGATCTATCCTGATCACTTAGTTTAAGAAAGCTTGTCAGCGCAAGAGTTTTTAGATACAAATGTGGAACTCACACGCACGAATTCATTATTTTGAAATATTAAATACATATAACTGATTGTGTAACATTCATTCATACTAAAATATTCAATGTATAGCCGTGTATGTACGTTAGAAACTATAAGAAGAAGTATTTATAATGCCGCGAACGTCTGTAATCAGAGGGAGAAATAAAATACGAAATGAGAATGTTGTAATAGGTGAACATGAACGAATTTTGTTCCTCTAACATTGCACGAGATTATTTTTGAAAAGAATAATGAAACACCTTCAAGATGGAAAGGAACTTTAATGTGTTTTTTTTTCTAAAATATAACCTGTGAAATTTCTCTTCATTTTTATGAAATATAAAAGAAAATACTTTTCTGCAATTTTTTAAAAAAGAAAAACTTCTATCAAATATGTTTTGGTCTCTTTTAAGTTTATTATTGTTATTTTCCATTGGCCAATCAATTCCCATTATTAAAATAAATCATTCTATACTAATCGGTATGACAAATCGAACGATATTCAATACAACACAAAATAAATGTATTTGTGAAATGTTGACATCGAATGGACTGATATCCGCAATAAATTATTTTTCAATCAATCAAACTTGCCAACTATTCACTTCGAATAATACTTCGATTGTTGTGGATTTTTCTTCAATTTCATCGTTGATATTTATTAATAGAACAGAAATATTAATAACAAAATATAGTAAGTTCAATGAATGATTCAGTTGTATAAGAACGTATGATCGGTCGATCAAGTTGATTCATGTATTGTAGTTTATAGCATTCAGTTAATTGTCGTAGACAGTTAAAAATTGAGATGATTTCCTCTATTGACATGCGCATTGTAAATGACAAATATGTGATTTACTCGATATAATATTCATGATTTAAATTTTGACAGTTCGGTTTTCACTTATAATAACACAGAAGAAATCCTTATTACAATGCTCTAGAAATCAATTCCTTCACTTTCAAAACACTCCTTACAAGAAACGAAATTTTTGAACAGAATTCTCTTTATACATTTTTTAATAACTAGTGACAACTTCAACAACATCATCAACAACGTCAACTACAACAAGTGGTGAGTGATGCATTACACAATATATCTACAGAAGACAAATTTGTATTTAATTCGTAGGATGCAGTCCAATGTTACTCAGTCAGACAATTTATTCAATTGGAAATGGAACAAACTATGTGGCAATAGACGATATTAATGACGACATGAAATTAGATATTCTTACAGCCAATACAGTGTCAAATAATATGGGTGTGCTCCAAAATAAAGGAAATGGTACATTTTATTCCCCAACACTTTATACAGTAGGTACTCGACCATATGCAGTAGCTACTGGTGACCTTAATAACGATAATAAGTCTGATGTTGCTGTTACAAATAATGGGGTAGCTACTATTGGTATTCTTATAAATAAAGGCAATGGCACCTTTTATCCTCAATATACTTTATCAACTTATGGTTCTCCAAATCCACTTGTTATAATTGATATTAATAATGATAATCTATCTGATATTCTTTATGCGTCCTGGTATACGGCTACTGTTAATATTTTCTTCAATAAAGGTAATGCGACATTTTCTCCTCAAACTAGTTACACAGTTGGTACTAATCCATTCGTAATTCAAGTCATTGATATTAATAATGATCATTTATTAGACATTCTCGTAGCAAATCAAGGTTCAAACAGTATCAGTATTCTTATCAATGGAGGAAATGGTAGTTTTCTTCCTCAAACGATTCTTTCAGTCGGTAGTGGTATCGTTCCACGTGCATTCGTAGCTGGTGATCTAAATGGTGACAACATTTCTGATATTACTACAGCTAACGCGGATTCAAACACCGTCAGCGTTTTCATTAATCGTGGCAATGGCACGTTTTTCAATCAAATTAGCTATAGCGTTCTTGGTAAACCATTTGCAATACAAATACATGATATGAATTTCGATAACAAACCTGATGTCATTGTTGCTAATTATGTTTCTAACAATATTGGTATTCTCATAAATCAAGGTGATGGTACGTTTTTGAATCAAACGACTTTTTCGGTTGGAATTAATCCGTCATCATTGGTCATCGTTGATATCAATGAAGATAATAAGCCGGATGTGATTGTTACAAATTCTGGTTCAAATAATGTTGGTATACTCTTGCATTGTTAATTTGTTTTGAACTATGAAACTTATTTCCTTTTAATCTGCATTTCTTTGCTTATGTTATTACATTCTTCACAAATGTATTTTGATAATTTTCGTTCATACAATGGGAGAGAGGATGGATGACGGCGAGAATGATCGCTGATGCCCTCATTCAGTATGTTGATATTATTCTCATACAGGTATACAAAACTGTATTCATTAAAGAAAAGCTTTCTCTTTCCTTTTATTGATTTGAGAGACATTTACGTTTTATCTTTTTTTCTTTTGAGAAGAGAAATGCATCGTACGATGACGCATTGTATGACCATTACTATTTTTAATGCTTTTTATTTCTTTTCTTTCTTATCGCTTGAATAAAGATACTTCGTCCGTCGAACACATTATAGTCAATTGTAATTTTCAATCGAAGATACCAAATAAAACTTTTCATCTTGATCGTCCAAAGTGAAAATGTCTAATCTTTTGCCTCTGGACTCTCAAACACTACCTGCTGGTGTAAAATCTCGTTTCATTGATAACGTCAATGGTTTACGTATGCATATTCTCGAAGCTGGAGATGATCACAATCGTCCGTTAGTTATCCTTCTACACGGTTTCCCAGAATTAGCTTATACGTGGCGAAAAGTGCTAATACCTTTGGCCAACCAAGGTTATCATGTAATAGCACCGGATCAACGTGGATGCGGGCGCACTATTACCATTGACAGAAACAGCGACGATGATTTTACCTCGTTCAGTATGTTGAACTCTTGTCAGGACATTATTACACTTCTCCATCGACTGAACATATCTAAAGTGAAGTCAATTATCGGTCGTGATCTTGGTGCACCTATTGCGGCAAATTTAGCATTGATAAGACCAGACATTTTCGAATCGTTGATCATGACGTCGGCACCGTACCTAGGACCACCTTCAATAGATACCCCTTCGAAAGCACCAGTTATCGAAGCGCTCAAACAGTTAGGAAAGAAACATTATCGATGGTACTTTTCTTCTGTAGAACAGGCCAACTTAGATATGCTCAATGCTGAACAAGGTCTCAAAGAATTCTTTCGTGGTTATTTGTACTTGAAAGGAGCTCAACATCCACAGAACAAGAATATCTTTCAATTAAAAGAATTGACAGCTGTCGAGTTGTGTAAACTGCCCGAATACTACATTATGCCGCTGGACCGTACAATGCCGCAGATAGTTCTCTCTAACATACCTGATACCGCCATACTCCAACAAGAAATGTCATCATGGTTAACCGAAGATGAACTTCAGGTATACACAGATGAATACCAGCGGAGTTCATTCAAAGGTGGGCTCCAGTACTACAAGTGTTTTGCCAGTGATTATGATCAGAATCAACTGAAAGTTTTCAGTGGGATGAAAATCAAATGTCCTGCTATGTTCATTTCCGGTGCAAACGATTGGGGTATGCAGCTAGAACCGGATTTTATGAAGAAAATGGGTGCAAAGACTGTTTATGAAGATTGGAGAGGATTTCAGCTGATAGATAATTCAGGACATTGGCTGTCGGAAGAACAACCGGAGGAACTAACGAAGACAATTTTAAGATTTTTGGACATGCTTCCAATCAAAGAGTTACTCTGACGTCCTTGATCTATTTTTCATTTAAACTGATCTTTTTCAAATATCTAAGAAGAATATTGAATGTTGTAACGTAGTAAGGTGAAAGAGCACTTCAAGATCACCGACTTTCATGAATAAAACGATTCATATGAGTATTCATTATTGATGAAATACGTATATGACCCTAATGACTTACCTGAATAGAGATCCCATTCGGCAAAAGATATTGTGAACATAAATGCTCATTCAAATGTGTGCTGGTTCAACAAGTGCTGTCAACCTTTGTGAAAATATCTATGCCTTATATGTAATGAGACGAGTTTATTGTTAATTAAGAAAATTTATACAAAGTAAACACAATAACCTTAAGTTTATTTTAGTGCAAAGTAATTTGAAACGCGACAGATTAGTGAGCGAGATTTCTCCTAGTGAAAATAAGATGTCAACAAAGTATACTAAAGATCGGAATATCCCGGTGGGATTAAAAATCAAAATCAGATTTCGTTGTTAATTGAATTTTTCAGCATAAAAATCCGCTTATCATCTGAATTTATATAGATGAATAAAAAATAACGGTCACTTGTTTCATTTCTATTCTCGCTGTCAACATTACTTCGATGGAAAAATTAGAACTCGCAACATATTGGATCAATCAGATCTATCCCGTTCTTCAAATTTTCTTTGGTACATTCGGAAATCTACTCAACATAATCATATTCACTCGTCGTGATTTACATCAAAATCCATGTTCGTTATATTTCCTCATTGGTTCGATCAATAATTGTGTCGTAATCGATTTTGGTTTATTGACACGTTATCTTGCAAGTACGTGGAATTGGGATCCATCTTTAACAAGTAATGTTTATTGTAAAATACGTAATCTTTTGGTTTATGCTTCTTTGACCCTTTCTTTATGGTTTATTGTTCTTGCAAGTGTCGATAGGTATCTTTTGAGTTCACCAATCGTACGATTTCGTCGGTTGAGCAACCTGTCTATGGCACGAAAGCTGATTCTAATCGTGACTTTATCCATATTTTTCAGTTATTTGCATGTTCCAATATATTTTCAATCAACTTTGACTCCAAATGGGATGAACTGTAACTTTTCTCCGTATCAATATGTTTTATTCTTGAGTTTTTTTGCTCCGATTATATCTTGCGTGTTACCGATACTGTTGATGGGTATTTTTGGTATTTTAATGATTCAAAACATTCGTTACAGTCAGAGACGAACTCAACGTTTACGTTCAGACGATCGTCAATTAAGTTTGATGCTTTTATTTCAAATTTTAATAACAACAGTCATTTCCACACCGTACTTTGCCCTTGCTTTATACAATGCCATTGCAATTCTTATGCTTCGNTATATCTCCAATACTATAATGAACTGGCTTTCCATTGTTAAGCGTTTCTAATTTCTATAATAAAATTCATTATTTCACCAAGGCAAAAGAGAAGATATTCTCACTGATAGATAATCGATGTCACGTCGAAGTAGATTGGCGAATTTGCGCATCAGATCTCCACGTGCAGCAGGTTCCATCGTACGCCATGGTGAATTGCTTTGAAAAGCTTTGCGAGCGGCTTCTACGGCTTTTTCTACATCTTCCTAAAACAAATTTCCAAATAAATAAGCATAAAAGAAGATTTTCCATCAGACCCGAGTGCCTTCTTCAACATCAGCAATCACTTCGCATGTGCTTGGATTGATCACTTGAAACGTTTTACCTTTTGTTGCTTTGTGCCATCCGTTATTAATAAAAATTTCAGTGTATTTTACTTCGACTTGCTGCGTTTTGCTATCGGAAGAGAGCATTTGAAATCGGGCAATTTTTTGTAAAAAACACAACTATTCTCAAGTATAGGTAAATCGGTTCACTTCCTTTTTATATATGAATATAAACGAAAAACAATGTTTCGCCTCAATGCACATTTCCTATCACGAATAAAGATTGTCAATTCATAACAAGTAAAAAGTAAGATAGATATGTCATGCGTAAATATTTTCATATGTCTTACCTTGATGTCAAATGAATGCAAAAATGATGAGAAGGATTTTGATGATTTGCCTTCGATTTAATTACGAAAAATTCTTTGATTAACAAAACATTTCATCGATGGTTAGTGAGAGAACACGTCATGAAAACAAACAAAATTTGTTACTTCGCAGAATGAAGGGTGAAGGTGATACATATATACGTTGGGATTCAAAGAAAAACGCAATCGAAAGAGAGAACTCTATTGATGACGTGAGACAATGTAAGCACGGTTCTTTTAAGGTCGTCAAACTCATCTTAGGTAAATAAATCGAAGTGTGTGTGGTAGTCGTACACACCCTTTCTTTTCCGCTTTTTTTCTCTTGCTCCACATGAAAGCATGGGGGAAGAATTCTATCTCGTGAAGAGAACCAATGGTTAAGTGATAACGGATGACCGATTCCAAAATAAAATGTCAACTGATTTACTTAACCTAATCTTTTTTCCGCTCGTTATGCATGTTTATCATCGATCTCTACAAGGACTTTCTCTTTTCAATCAAATATTTTTACAGAAACATAGTTCTTGTAGTCGAAAGCTATTTAAGGTGTGGGCATGAATGAGGATGATGATAATTCATAGTCTCTACAAATTTATTAAGCATTTTTATAAATAGACAACTACTCCGAAGGCAAGATTAACAGGAAGTATTGAAAAAAACGAACATCACTCAAAATAATTTACAAGAAAGTTCTGCAGATACAGCTATATATTCATAGTTAATCATCTTATAGTGTCGGAGATGCAGCTGTTGTATTGACAAGCGGAGGATAAGATGGACATACACATGCGCATTGATTGGCAAAACTGCTAATCAATTCACATTTGACACAGATATGCACGGATTGAGTTAACATTGCTGGTGTACTAATTGACGAACAACCAATATGTACACGTGGTCCGTCGAGAGTTGTTTCTGAAAAGACAAGTAAAGATGACACTACTAGTGATTGCGATCATTAAAATACTCACGTGCGTTGATTCGAAGACGTGCACGTACAAAACCTGTCTCTGAATCTCGGAAATACTCCAATGGTCGACTTTCCATGACATCTATTGTTGAATTGATTGATATTGGCGTCGAACATCCATTGATACATTTAGGGACTGATTCCAGCGTTATTGGACCTGAAATAGAACATGTGCCGTCATTCAATAGTCCAATATAGGCCTTCTTTGCCTCCAGATTTTGATTAAGAAGGTTTTTGTTTAATGTGGCTTCGTCACGCGCACGAGCTAAATCGGCTTCTCTCGTTTGACGTTGAATAATTCGACGAAGATTTCCTTTCACAGCGTCATTAAGTGTCGCTACTTCGTACCATGGTGTGTAGGATTCGATTTTGAGTAATGCAGGGTTAGCAATGATGCTTTCACGCCAGAGTGTATAATTGCTCAAAGTTACATCGCCACCGAGTAGATGGTCCACTTTAACCTGACGTCGATTCGCGTAAAAATCATTCCCGAGGGTTTGACGGAGAATGTCCTGTTTGAGATATTCGGCCAGATTTGCTGAAGTGATGGCATTATTGAATGAGAAGACGCAGTCTTTGAACAACACGTGTTGCTCATGCATTCCACCTAAAATCAGAATACATTATGTAGAGAATCAAATGTTTTCGCTGCGTACCAACTAACGACTGCTGAACAATGTGAGTTCCCCACTCGCTACAATATCGAGAAGAAAATTCTGCAACTTTCATACGAGAAAATGATGACAACTCTACCGAAGAAAGTCTGAATATAACGACTCGTTGTAAGTTGGAGTAAGAGCATCAGTTGCTGCACGTGCTTCATCATTCAATTGGAAATTTTCGACACGCATTCGGTACAAAACAGTCGGATGCTGAGTGATGGCGACTGATTCGTCAGATGAAAAGTACTTTTTGTATATGTTTAACAAAGATTGAGAATGACCAAATTCACCACCTAGCCAGTCGCCCTGTAATCGATCGTAACGCCATCTGTTCGATAGCTCCGTCGCAGTAAGAAAAACATGAGCCACAGGAACCGAGTCGTTATCAACAGTCAATGGGAAGCTCACTTCTTTGGGTACAAAATACTGACGATTTGTGAACGAGTCTGTCCAGAATGTAATATTTGAATATGTATATTTCAGAGCTGGACGCAAAATGTCGCCGGTTATTATGTCGAAAGTCATGCCAACACCAAGGAAAAGCTATACGGGGCAAATAGTAAGGACATATAATTACCGACGAGACATACCTTATTGTATCCAATATCTGTTGCATTGGTCGTCTGTCTGCGTTGAAGACAGAGTTTCCCTTTATATCCCACGTAGTCACATAGTGTCTCTTCTGTTTCCTCGATGGTGCGATCTGCATTTTGGTGAACAGTAGCGCCGCCTCTTGTGTTATTTATTGCGTTTCGACTGCATTTTGTTGGAGGTAACGGGTCACGATCTGCCTCAAGTTTATTGATGTATGTACGATCTTCTTCCACAGCGGTTTTTAAATAAAATTGGATTGCTTCATTGAGTGCTGTACGTTTATTGCCTTCGGGCAATAGTTTATCGAGTGTGACCAATTGATATGAGATCGGTCGCGGATTGAATTTGATCGTGGATTGCCATTCTTTCCATTTTGTCGGGTCAACCGATTCCGTTCCACCAAGAATTTGAGAAGAAAATATGGAGAATTGTTTAAATTTTTCATCTATCTCAAGCATATGGTCTTGCGAGCTTGAATGAGTGCTGAATGCAACGAAACTACGTGACACTTGTTCGTCAATCCAAGTCTCAGTATGTTCGTAAGTTAAACATTGTTCGTACCATGTTTCAGCCCATACAAGACCACCCATGTTCGAAGATTCAACCAAATGTGTACCATACGACGCAAAGAACTGTTCCCAGACATTGGTCTGATTTTCATTGAACACCGAGGGTAGTTGATCGATCGCACGTTGAGCAAGCGGCGTAAGTCGAGGGTAAGGAAACGTATTAGTTGAGAGTTTATACCAACCAATTTGTATCAAGCGTAATACCAGACTGTAATAATCATGATAAAATCGTCGATAGAAGTCGGTGACTGTTGTTTCTGTATGCTTTCGGCCTATGCCAAGAACCCCACCACTACTGCTTGACGTTGTCGTGGTTGTCAAACGAAAATAGTCTTGGACTGATGTGACTAATACACTTACGTCAAGAAGAAGTTTTTCTGGAGTATTAGTAGCAAAAAAGCCATTTGGTAGAGAATAGGCGATAGTATCATTGTAAGGATCAAACCAAAGCTCTCCTTCACTTGTATTTGTTTGGTCCAAAACGCATAGTTTGCTTTCAAGCAAGAGGACGTCAAATCCACAGCCGACAACGTCAAGACCAGCTAGAGGACCAAGTGGTTTGCGATCAGAAGAAGACAGACGAACAACCGCTGCTCTTGACTGGATCTGGGCCAGAGTAGGCAATTTACCATTGGTAATATAATAATCGATAGTTGTACGAAGATGTGTTTGAACTGCTTTGCTAGAGATAATGAGCTCAGCAAGGTGGGTCAGAGTTCGGTTCACCACCACCGGATGCTGTCCAGCCTCTAGTAGCCAAGTACTACAAAATACGCAAATAAGAAGAGGCCTTCACATCGATTTTCAAGCTATTCGTGACTGGTGAGTCGTTCTGTTCGGATAGTGCTCAATATTCATTCAAGTTAATGAGGTTATGAATTAAAAGTAGTATTCCTATCATAACTCACTTCCACTCCGTTTGATTGTCTTCATTGTTGACATTAACAGGTGGATGATATTCTAATATTACACTTGTGCTCGTTTTGAAAGTTTCGGTAATTTTTTGAAATACCTCTGCACTCTCGATGCTGCCTTGTCCCTGATATTTTTTATATTCAAACATTAGACCAATCTGTTGCGATGTTTCTTCAGTATTTGCGGTGGAATAATAGCTTGAATTGATAAACGAGTAGACGTATGCAGTTCCACCCATGATCACTTTCGAAACGTAATGAGTACCATACGATTCCACAAACTGATTATATAATCGTTGTTGATCTTCAGTAGTGGGTGGTGATGCTTGTTGGAGAAGTATATTGATGCTTGCATTGAACATTTGATCAACTCTAGAGCGAAATTCATTTCATTAGGATAAAGCACGGAAAGATCACGCGATGAAATTCAGAAAATTCGGTTCTGACAAAACAAAAAACATTCTCAATAGATTGTGTGATGATGCTTACTTGAGTTGAAACGAAGGCGCCAATTGCATTGAATAAAGACCCCACCATAATGTTGACGTGCCGACCGCCTGATTATGTTTTGTAATCGCTTCTTGAGCCCTTTTTAATGTTTCACTGTACTGAACAGCGAGACCAGCATATCCAGCCACAGAGATACCCCCTTGAAAAGAATTCGAGCGGAAATGACTAAAAAATGGAATATACAAATTACATGAAGATATGACAATGAAAAATATTTACCTTTCATAAAATTTTTCGAATGAATATGATATATCTTCACAGCCCACTTCGCGACGAAGACTGATGTCAGTTACTTGAGCAAGCAGTGGTGTGGAAAATGTTTGCTTTTGACCGTCAACATCAAGCGTAAAATTAACTCCGGATTGTTCACTTAAGTCCAAAATTCGAAACTTTGATTGTTGATCGGAACCTGATACCATCTTGGCCGCGTCAAACCCAGACATAAGTTCATCCAGACCTGGTAGACGATTCGTAATTGCTACATTTAATCGAGCAAAAATTAATAACCAATAAAAATAGAAGTGCATCATCTAGAATAATGAAGAAGTAAATAAAAGCTATCTAAAAAACAGTGTTAAGCAAAACATTCAGTGTCATTGTGAAACGCACGCATAGCTCGAGTAAGGTGCTTCTAAATCACATGCTCGTCCGAAAATGGCAAGACTAGTATAATAACAAAACGACTTGTTACCAGTGGCCACCATTCTGCCATTCAAAACCGATGTACAGCCTGTTAGATGAATTAGACGGGTCTGAATGCCAACAACGTGCGTTTCATTAATGTAGCGGCCGATGAATGTGTTAGCTACAGTAGGTGTGTCACTTGTCCAATAAACATCGTAGTCCTTTTGATAAACATGGCGATATTCTGTATTAGCTGTAATAGTGTAAGTTCCAGTAAGATCATAAATATAGCTCCACTCCGCTGGACTATCTTGACAGGTTGCATTGCTAGGAGAATAGTATTGCTTTGCAGATGGACAATACTGAAGCATATTGATTCCATTGATGCATCGGTAAAACGATCGATAGTCATCTCGGTTGACATAAGTTCCATTCACCTGAGGACAAGTGAAAACCGCGACTGAATTTGTGATCAAATTGAGCGAAATGAAAGCAATAATACCAATGAGTTGTAACATCGTTTGATTCCACACAGTAAACTGATCATAGACTTTTGGCACATTCAGCTTTATATACTCACTACCTCGCCTTATTTTTCGTTTACTAATTGATTGTTATCTGATAATAATGTTTGGCATCTATGTGGTTATTGAGTTTATTTCGGTATGACAGATAGAAGATAAGTATTGCTAAATATGTTCAAGTATCATCTATTGCGTTTGTCAAACTCGTTTGACAGTGAGATATAAATTGCGTATGTTACACATCTTTCGGAGAAAAGCGATAAGATGATTAATGTTTTACTTTCTGCACTCTGAAGTACGTCTTAAGCCGTTATCAATATCCAAAATACAATACAAATATTTATGCATTCAGTTCGAATGGTACGCAAAACGCCTGGAAAATAATACATAAAACAAATCGAACTGTCAAGAATGAAAAAAGAACTTAAAATCGTCATTTGATTTGAGAGCATAGGGTTCGTAGCAATAATTTTTCGGAATATTGAAAATATAGGATTTGATTTTCATACATAGGAATAGGGCATATTACGCTGTCCATCGTATAACGTGCCAACTACGGTCTAATGAAAATTACAAAGAATAAGTCTTTAGTATTAAAATAATATTAGCTTCTAACTGATTAACCGTCTCAAAGCTTCATTTTACCATAAAATTACTTTTAAAAAAACTCAGAGATTTCGTTCAGACAACTGTCATCTTAATTATTCTTAAATGAGTGTTGATTTTAAATTCTGCTTACATGAGCAGAGCAACGAATGCGACGTACATGATAAAAACATAATGTGTCACGTTTTCGTGTATAATCAATAGTTCTGATGTTTGGCTTGTCGGAACAGACTGAAACTTGCAACATAATTTCCGAACATAAAAGTAACATTCCGTATGATACAGATGAACTGAAAGACCAACGATGGCAATTAACACGACTTGCACTATATGGTCACTTTATTTATTTGACGCTCAAAATTTTGTTCCATAAGATTTCGCCAAGTCAACAAATAGCCAAATACAATCAAAATAATAGCAGATAGTGTACTAATACAAAGAGCAGTCTATAACTGAAAGTATTCAGTAAACACTCCGCTTGTAAATACGCTTATGTTGTAAACAGGTGAAATGTCAAAGTATAAAAATCATGGTTTACTGTGCAGCCATGCAAAAAAAGTTACGATGATCTTAATTCGATGAAGCCCTTTCATTGTCATGCAATTAATTTCACATAAGAAAAAAGTTTTTAAGTCCAAACTGATGTTCAAGTTTATAGTATGTTAGAAAACAAATAATTAATAAATAACTAAAAACTAGCTCAAAACTTGAGTGAACAGATATACAAATGAGTTTTCTCATCATCCGCCCTAATATTGATCAAATGCACAAATAAACAGTAGATACTGTATGTAAGTAACCATCAATTTACTTATCGTAGAACGAATACGCATTGAAAATGGTGTTAAAATACCTAAAACAATGGAAATTAATTTTGATAAATCCACTGATGGGAAGAGCCTCTTCTTGCGTTAATTGTTTTTATGAAAAGCCTTTCTCACCATAGATCATCTACAATGAATGTTTTTTTAAGGTGAAACATTCACGTAACCAGAATAGCGAATGATATGATTACATATCGAGTGAAATTGCATTGCAAATGAAAAGTAAACATTTGAAATATTCTCAAAATACATAAAGGATAAAATGTACTATTCAACTTCAAAGTATTAGTGCACTCGGCTATATACGGGACACAATCTTTCTTTTATTACAATTCTTACATATAAATGTATATGAACTACAGAATCAGTGCAAATTTTTATTATGTTACTCATATCATAATATATTTTTTATTTTTTGTCCTCGTTCTTTTCATCCACTTGAAGATAAAAGTATATTCAAATAGAATTCCCGTGTCACTCCATCTAGTTCAGTTTTTCTTTCGTGAACATCATTCGAGTTTTAAAAAACTGCTTCCTATTTTAGATCATCATTAGAAATCTCTCGAGTAGCAAGACTTTGTTTCACTCTCGTACTTTGCTTGAGAAATCTTTTCTACCAGAGTGACGAGGAGACTTCAATGATACCTACAAAGACGAAAGGGTAGACTCGATCCATCCTGATCAGTTAGTTTAAGAAAGCTTACCAGCGCAAGATTTTTTAGACTCAAATGTGGAACTCACACGCACGAACTCATTATTGTGAAATATAAAATACATATAACTGATTGTGTAACATTCATTCATACTAAAATATTCAATGTATAGCCGTCTATGTACGTTAGAAACTATAAGAAGAAGTATTTATAATGCCGAGAATGTCTGTAATCAGAGGGGGAAATAATATACGGAATGAGAATGTTGTAATAGATGAACATGAACGAATTTTGTTCCTCTAACGTTGCACGAGATTATTTTCTGAAAGAATAATGAAACACCTGCAAGAGATGAAAAGGACACTTGAATGTGTTTTTTTTCTAAAATATAACCTGTTAAATTTCTCTTCATTTTTTATGAAATATAAAAGAAAATACTTTTCTGCAATTTTTTAACAAAGAAAAACTTCTATCAAATATGTTTCGAGCTCTTTCAAGTTTATTGTTATTATGTTCCATTGGCCAATCAATTCCCATTATTAAAATAGGTCATTCTATACTAATTGATATAACAAATCGAACGATATTCAATACAACACAAAGTAAATGTATTTGTGAAATGTTGACATTGAATGGATTAATATCCGCAATAAATTATTTTTCAATCAATCAAACTTGCCAACTATTCACTTCGAATAATACTTCGATTGTTGTGGATTTTTCTCCAATTTCATCGTTGATATTTATTAATAGAACAGAAATATTGATAACAAATTATAGTAAGTTCAGTGGATGATTCAGTTGTATAGGAACGTATGATTGATCGATCAAGTTGGTTCATGTATCGTAGTTTATAGCATTCAGTTAATTGTGGTAGGCAGTTCAAAATTGGGTCGATTTTCTCTATTGATAGGCGCATTTTAAATGACAAATATGTGATTTACTCGATATAATATTCATAATCTATATTTTGACAGTTCGGTTTTCACGTATAAAGCGACACAGAAGAAACCCTTATTACGATGTTCTAGAAATGAATTCTTCCGTTTTTAATAACTAGTGATAACTTCAACAACGTCATCGACGACGTCAACTACAACAAATGGTGAGTGATGCATTACACAATGTATCTATAGAAAGACAAATTTGTATTTAATTCGTAGGATGCAGTTCAATGTTACTCAGTCAGACAATTTATTCAATTGGAAATGGAACAAACTATGTGGCAATAGACGATATTAATGGCGACATGAAATTAGATATTCTTACAGCCAATACAGGGTCAAATAATATGGGTGTGCTCCAAAATAAAGGAAATGGCACATTTTATCCCGCAACACTTTATACAGTAGGTACTCGACCATATGCAGTAGTTACTGGTGATCTTAATAACGATAATAAGTCTGATGTTGCTGTTACAAATAATGGGGTAGCTAATATTGGTATTCTTATAAATAAAGGCGATGGTACTTTTTATCCTCAATATACTTTATCAACTTATGGTTCTCCAAATCCAATTGTTATAATTGACATTAATAATGACAATCTATCTGATATTCTTTATGCATCTTGGTATACGACTACCGTCAATATTTTCTTCAATAAAGGTAATGCGACATTTTCTCCTCAAACTAGTTACACAGTTGGTACTAATCCATTCGTAATTCAAGTCATTGATATCAATAATGATCATTTATTAGACATTCTTGTAGCAAATCAAGGTTCAAACAGTATCAGTATTCTTATCAGTGGAGGAAATGGTAGTTTTCTTCCTCAAACGATTCTTTCAGTCGGTAGTGGTATCGTCCCACGTGCATTCGTAGCTGGTGATCTAAATGGTGACAATATTTCTGATATTATTACAGCTAACGCAGATTCAAACACCGTCAGCGTTTTCATTAATCGTGGCAATGGTACGTTTTTCAATCAAGTTAGCTATAGCGTTCGTGATAAACCATTTGCAATAAAAATATATGATATGAATTTCGATAACAAACCTGATGTCATTGTTGCTAATTATCTTTCTAACAATATTGGTATTCTTATAAATCAAGGTGATGGTACGCTTTTCAATCAAACGACTTTTGCAGTTGGAATTAATCCATCATCATTGGCCATCGTTGATATCAATGAAGATAATAAACCGGATGTGATTGTTACAAATTATGGCTCGAATAATGTTGGTATACTCTTGCATTGTTAATTTGTTTTGAACTATGAAACTTCTTTTCTTTTACGCTGCATTTCTTTGCTTATATCATGACATGCTTCAGTGTATTTTGCTGGTTTTTGTTCGTACAATGGAAGAGAGGATAGATAACGGCGAGAATGATCGTTGATGCCCTCATCCAATTTTTCGATATTATTTTCATACAGATATACAAAGCTGTATTCATTAAAGAAAAGCTTTCTCTTTCCTTTTATTTATTTGAGAGACATTTGCGTTTTATCTTTTTTGTTTTGAGAAGAGAAATGCACCGCGTACGATGATGCATTGTATGACCATTACTATTTTTTATGCTCTTTGTTTCTTTTCTTATCGCTTGAATGAAGATACTTCGACCGTCGAACACATATTATAGTCAACTGTAATTTTCAATCGAAGATACGAAATAAAAACTTTTCATCTTGATTGTCCAAAGTGAAAATGTCTCATCTTTTGCCTCTGGACTCTCAAACACTACCTGCTGGTGTAAAATCTCGTTTCATTGATAACGTCAACGGTTTACGTATGCATATTCTCGAAGCTGGAAATGATCACAATCGTCCGTTAGTTATCCTTCTACACGGTTTCCCAGAATTAGCTTATACGTGGCGAAAAGTGCTAATACTTTTGGCCAACCAAGGTTATCATGTAATAGCACCGGATCAACGTGGATGCGGGCGCACTATTACCATTGACAGAAACAGCGACGATGATTTTACCTCGTTCAGTATGTTGAACTCTTGTCAGGACATTGTTACACTTCTCCATCGGCTGAACATATCAAAAGTGAAGTCCGTTATCGGTCGTGATCTTGGTGCACCTATTGCGGCAAATTTAGCATTGATAAGACCAGACATTTTCGAATCGTTGATCATGACGTCGGCACCGTACCTCGGACCACCCTCAATAGATACCCCTTCGAAAGCACCAGTTATCGAAGCGCTCAAACAGTTAAGAAAGAAACATTATCGATGGTACTTTTCTTCTGTAGAACAGGCCAACTTAGATATGCTCAATGCTGAACAGGGTCTCAAAGAATTCTTTCGTGGTTATTTGTACTTCAAAGGAGCTCAACATCCACAGAACAAGAATATCTTTCAATTAAAAGAATTGACAGCTGTCGAGTTGTGCAAACTGCCCGAATACTACGTTATGCCGCTCGACCGTACAATGCCGCAGATAGTTCTCTCTAACATACCTGATACCGCCACACTCCAACAAGAAATGTCATCATGGTTAACCGAAGATGAACTTCAGGTATACACAGATGAATACCAGCGGAGTTCATTCAAAGGTGGGCTCCAGTACTACAAGTGTTTTGCCAGTGATTATGATCAGAATCAACTGAAAGTTTTCAGTGGGATGAAAATCAAATGTCCTGCTATGTTCATTTCCGGTGCAAACGATTGGGGCATGCAGCTAGAACCGGATTTTATGAAGAAAATGGGTGCGAAGACAGTTTATGAAGATTGGAGAGGATTTAAGCTGATAGATAATTCAGGGCATTGGCTGTCGGAAGAACAACCGGAGGAACTAACGAAGACGATTTTGAGATTTTTGGACATGCTTCCAATCAAAGAGTCACTCTGACGTCCTTGATCTATTTTTCATTTAAACTGGCCTTTTTCTAATATCTAAGAAGAATACTGAATGTTGTAAGGTAGTAAGGTGAAAGAGCACTTCAAGATCACCGATTTTCATTAAAAAAAAAAGATTCATATGAGTATTCATTGTTGGTGAAATAAATGATAATTCAAGTGTGTGTTGGTTCAACAAGTGCTGTCAACCTTTGTAAAAATATCTATGCCTTATATGTAATGAGACGAGTTTATTGATAATTAAGAAAATTTATACAAAGTAAATACAGTAAACTTAAGTTTATTTTAGTGCAAAGTAATTTGAAACGCGACAGATTAGTGAGCGAGATTTCTCCTAGTGAAAATAAGGTGTCAACAAAGTATATTAAAGATCAGAATATCCAGGCTGGATTAAAAATCAAAGTCAGATTTCGGTGTTAATTGAAATTTTCAGCTTAAAAATCCGCTTATCATCTGAAATTATACAGATGAAAAAAGCATCAGTGACTTGTTTCATTTCTGTTCTCGGTGTCAACATTACTTCGATGGAAAAATTAGAACTCGCAACATATTGGATCAATCAGATCTATCCCGTTCTTCAAATTTTCTTCGGTACATTCGGAAATCTACTCAACATAATCATATTCACTCGTCGTGATTTACATCAAAATCCATGTTCGTTATATTTCCTCATTGGTTCGATCAATAATTGTATCGTAATCGATTTTGGTTTATTGACACGTTATCTTGCAAGTACGTGGAATTGGGATCCATCGTTAACAAGTAATGTTTATTGTAAAATACGTAATCTTTTGGTTTATGCTCCTTTGACCCTTTCTTTATGGTTTATTGTTCTTGCAAGTGTCGATCGGTATCTTTTGAGTTCACCAATCGTACGATTTCGTCGATTGAGCAACTTGTCTATGGCACGAAAGCTGATTCTAATCGTGACTTTATCCATATTTTTGAGTTATTTGCATGTTCCGATATATTTTCAATTAGCTTTGACTCAAAATGGGATGAACTGTAACTTTTCTCCGTATCAATATGTTTTATTCTTGAGTTTTTTCGCTCCGATTATATCTTGCGTGTTACCGATACTGTTGATGGGTATTTTTGGTATTTTAATGATTCAAAACATTCGTTACAGTCAGAGACGAACTCAACGTTTACGTTCAGACGATCGTCAATTAAGTTTGATGCTTTTATTTCAAATTTTAATAACAACAGTCATTTCCACACCGTACTTTGCCCTTGCTTTATACAATGCCATTGCAATTCTTATGCTTCGNGCTCCGATTATATCTTGCGTGTTACCGATACTGTTGATGGGTATTTTTGGTATTTTAATGATTCAAAACATTCGTTACAGTCAGAGACGAACTCAACGTTTACGTTCAGACGATCGTCAATTAAGTTTGATGCTTTTATTTCAAATTTTAATAACAACAGTCATTTCCACACCGTACTTTGCCCTTGCTTTATACAATGCCATTGCAATTCTTATGCTTCGATCGCAATTCTCGCCTATTGGACTGTCTGTTTATAACTTTTCTTATAATCTTTTCCGATTACTTTACTTCACGAATCCTGTTCTCAGTTTCTATATTTACACAACCACAGGAGCAAAATTTCGTCAAGAGCTCAAACGGTGTTTCCAGTATGGCTTGAACAACTGTGTACCGCTTACAATTCAACGAAGATTGTTCAATACAAATGGGACTAATGGCATCGTCCCTATCTGACACGAAACAAAGATTAGACCAGAAAAACAAAGAATGCAAGCTATGGTTTGTTCCTTATGGAAGAAGTTTTTGTTCAATTGAATAAACTTTGACTATGAGATAATGCATTTCATCATTTCGCTTAAAATGAGGACAACTTTCTCGTTTTACCAAACGATTCCTTATATTTGTTTTTCTTCCCTATCATACAAAGATACATACGTATTATGCCACTCATTCATTAGTACAGAATAAATATGCACACATGTTTTTTTCTTCCTCCATCTTTGTAATACAATACCGAAGGTTACACACATCGACATATCATTCAGTATTGACACACGAAGAGAAAAACATGGCTGGTGTAGCTAAACTATTCGATGGTCATATTCTCGATAAATCCAACAGAAATGTCGATCTCAATCATGAGAAATATCAAGGAAAAGCCATCGGTCTTTACTTCAGTGCTCATTGGTAATTTTTGCATAGCTAAATCCATTCGTCTTTCTTATTTTCCACTATAGGTGTCCACCGTGTCGTGGTTTCACTCCGATTCTGGTCGATTTCTATAACAAATATGGTTCAGAAAAGAACTTAGAGATTATCTTCATAAGCTCCGATAACGACGAAGAATCATTCAATGAATATTATCAAGAAATGCCCTGGTTAACATTGGATTTCAAAGAACGCGAGATTTCAAGTTGATGGAATTCCAACATTGATTTTACTCGATGGAAATAGTGGAAATATTCTTCGTAAAGATGTAAGACAAGAAATTCAATTCAATGATAAACGAGGTGATCGATTTCCTTGGACAAGCTCATCAGAGACAACAAAAAAATCTTCTTGGTCGTGTATTTGCTGTTAATTTCGTATATTCGACGTGTTTTCAAATATAATCTTGAGCGTCACACTTTCCTCCGTACATGCTGTTTCAAAGCCGGTTGCAGATAATGTGATAGCTTTTTGTATGAAGAAACTTCTGAAAATAACATCACATTTGAGCAAATTGAACATTTGTTTTCAAGTCGAATTCATTGGAAAGATAATCTTACTCTAAAAAAACTGTAGAGTCATTATACTTTAAACATTTTGATTTGACAACTTCAAAGTGACTGCTTGCGTAACTAAAACCAAAATCCACCACCATTTTTTTCAACTTTTCGTAAAATAGTTCGTAGTTCCACGATCACCGTTGTTCGCATACAAAAAATGTTCATTATAAGACTCGCGAATTTACGATCTGCAGGCGAAGGACTCAAGAGATAATCATATTTTCAATGAATAAAATGTATTTGAGAAAATTGAAAATTATAATTCCCTTAATTGTTTGCTTGATAAGCTGATTGGTTATTATCTAAGCTGTAATAAATTACCTCACTTTGGACTCCAACACTCTCAGCTATACACTCAAGCTGTTTCTGATTCATCATCGCATCTGAATATAATATAAGATTGCTTTCGCAAGGATTTTCCATCCTAGGTCAAACAAACTCTTTCTGAAGATTTGAATATCCTATGAGAACAATGAATCTATGATTTCAACGTGAACATTGCCTAATGAATTCATAATCAACAGAGTAAAGTAAAACTTCAAAAAAGACGCCTTGCCATATGAAACAACAAACGTATGGTAAATGCATAATAACACCCTCGGTATATACAGGTGAAAAATGAAAGTTAATTATCGGTATCACTTATACAGTCGTTTGAAAAAAATATTCTTCTGTTTCTTCATTTTTCTGTATAAAAAATAATGACAAGTCAAACAAAGATAATTATCGTAACAACAGATGAAGATCTTATTCACCAACTCTAAGTTTCTCCTTGTTTCTAAGAAGTGCTTTTTCTCTGTAAAGAATTCTGCCTCGTGAACACGTTTCCAAACGATCCATTAATAACATTGAACAAAAGCAAATCGAAACTGTTAAACGAGGAAAGAAAGTAATAGATCGGATTTGTATTATTTGTGGTGATCAAGCTATTGGATTTAATTATGGTGTTCTTTCGATTTGATTTTGTTAGTTTATTGTTGATTTTGATTAGAAAGCATTCAAATGTCTTTTCAATGGAGATCAATGTGTCATTGATTATCGAATAAGTCGAAAATGTTATCGATGTCGATTAAAACGATGTTTAAATATGGGAATGAAAAAAGAATTACTTCTAAGTCAAGAAGAAATCGAACAGCAGCGAACTCCAATATAGAATTAACTCGACCAATGTTCAAGGAAAATAAACTACACTGAAACCNTTGATTTTGATTAGAAAGCATTCAAATGTCTTTTCAATGGAGATCAATGTGTCATTGATTATCGAATAAGTCGAAAATGTTATCGATGTCGATTAAAACGATGTTTAAATATGGGAATGAAAAAAGAATTACTTCTAAGTCAAGAAGAAATCGAACAGCAGCGAACTCCAATATAGAATTAACTCGACCAATGTTCAAGGAAAATAAACTACACTGAAACCTGTATATAGTGGATATCAGCGGGACTTTTCAAAGTGTTCCATTTGCAGAAGTGAAGTCTTCAATAAGGGAATGCTTCGGCCACACAGTAAATGTGTTTTCCGGTCGTTCAATTTAATATTTTGAAGATTTTACATTGAATACAATACTCTTTCCTTATTTGGTATTTTATCATGTTATAGAAGGAAATGACTAAACACGAATCGTCACTTAATGATCCGTTAGCTGCCTATCGAGCTCAATCATATTTTACAAAACGATTGTGGATTTATTTGATGAGTAAACAAATAGAAACAGATATATCTTAGTTACACTGATTATGGATCATAAAGTTTTCATTAAAATTAGAATTTATCGTGCATTGAATTGTATGAAAATACAAAGCAATAATCGTGGTTGAGGAGCTTGAACATGCTGTTAGTTCTGTGAATAACTAAAAGGTGATTAGAAACAAAATTTCCACGAGAAACAGCTGAGCAAGTTATCCGATCAGCGAGGCTTATATATCTTGAAATTAGAGTTCGGGCCAAGAACTGATCTCGCGAATTGCACATAAGCGTTGACAACAAATAGATGTCGAATGCAGTAGACAAAACTGTTTCCATGTATCTCAGGTTTCGAAGTTCAAAATGAGATGATAAAAGTAATTAAAAACCGTTGTGTCAGCAAAACTCAGAAAAATGATATCGTGAAATAAACTGGTTGAGAAAATTTATTTTTGACGTGACTTGGATAGACAAGACGACATGAAGAAAATAAAAAGATTTATTAAAATGTCACTTTCATGCATGAACATTTTGATTTAATTCTTAATTTTTCTTTGGAGCTGAATCAGCATAGAGATCGACATGCATCATTTCAGGATAACGATCACCAGCTACATTGGCTTGTTCACAAGCATCTCGAATTTCTTTGATTTCTTCTTTCGATAGTTTAATTTGAGCAGCCTGAATGTTTTCTTCGAGATTTTTTATTTTACTCGTACCTGGTATGACAATGAAATCATCACCTTGAGCAAGAATCCATGCTAATACTAATTGACTTGAAGTGCAACCTTTTTTATGCGCCGTTGCCATCAATCGATTAACTAGCTGAAGATTCTTTGGAAAATTTTCTTTTGAAAAACGTGGAAGTATTCTTCGAAAGTCGTTGGCACTAAAGTCATCAGGATTTCTAATTTGACCAGTTAATAATCCACGGCCTAATGGTGAATAGCAAACAATTGCTACACCGAGTTCTCGACATGTTTTCAAAAGACCAAGTGCTTCGCTTTCGATGTCTAAACTGAATGGTGAATATTCAACTTGTACACAAGCGATTGGATGAACAGCATATGCTCGTCGTAATGTATTACTTGAACATTCCGATAAGCCAATGTATTTGATTTTTCCAGCTTTAACTAGTTCTTTTAATACATTCATGGTTTCTTCAATTGGCACCTTTTTGTCAATACGATGAACGTAATAGAGATCAATTGAATCAACACCAAGGCGTTGTAAACTTTTTGCACATGCTTGACGAACATATTGTGCATCACCACGAATTGACGTTGATTTAAAACCAGGACTTATTACAACAGCAAATTTTGTTGCAAGGAATACCTACACATTCAAAGTACTCGTAGTTATGTATCTGCGATAGGAATTGGACTTACTTTTTGACGTTGATGTGGATATTTTTGAAAATACTTTCCTAATAAATCTTCACTATCTCCATACATATCGGCAGTATCGAAATAGGTACTACCAAGTTCGATAGCACGATCAAAGACTTTGAATCGTTCTTCATCAGATCCAGGAGGTCCATATCCAAGTGATAAACCCATTGTTCCATAGCCGATTGCTGATATTTTTGGACCATTTTTACCTAATCGACGTCCGGGCATTGAAGACTTATTACACGATCGACTAAACATTTTGACTTTCTCTTAGTAGCGTTGATGCTTATGAATTTACTAAATCTTTGTCGAGTATATATACTTGTGTAGACTTCACAGGAACATAAGAAAGGTGAACGCGTTTCGTAACCGTTAAGAAAGGAAGAAAAAAAGGTGAACGCGTGCCGTACCCGATAGGAAAGAGAAAGAACGACAAATGACTAATATTTTTTTATTATGCTGTATTTTTATACGATCAAATTATTAAATAAACAATTAACACTTTCGCTACTGATAGATTATCAATGATTATTGTCATTTTTTAGATCATAGGGTTAAGATTTTGGACTTGAATGTTGATATCTTTAATTAACATTTATGAGACTGTTACTAGCGAGTGCCTGCACAAACAGCAAGTCGAATTTTCTCAGAAATTATCATTACTCTTCTGTAAGCTTAACCGAATTGAGACAGTTGATATTTTACTGTGTACAACGTCTTTTTAGTGATGACTCAAGTAGCTTACTGATTCAATATGAACTCGAATATATTTATCAATAGTTTTCAAAATTTCTTTACGAACGAAAGTCACTTATAGAATAGTTTTGAAGGTCAAGTCCGATAAAATAAACATCACGTAGTTACCACGAGATAGTACACTTCATCGTTTCATTTAAAACTAAAAGAAACTTTTTCGATTTACAAAATGAATCGACATCTCGATATTTTGTTGAATATTTTCAAGGAATCGTTGAGATGAATTGTTATTTGTTTTTCTTTCTTATCATACAAAGATACATACATATTATGCCTCTCATTCATTATGTACAGAATAAATATGCATAGATGTTTTTCTCTTCTTTCCGTTCTTCGTCTTTTCTTCCTCCATCTTTGTAATACAATACCGAAGGTTACAAACATCGACATATCATTCAGCATTGACACACGAAGAGAAAAACATGGCTGGTGTAGCTAAACTATTCGATGGTCATATTCTCGATAAATCCAACAGAAACGTCGATCTCAATGATGACAGATATAAAGGAAAAGTCATCGGTCTTTACTTCAGTGCTCATTGGTAATTTTTGCAGCACTAATTCCATTCGTCTTTCTTATTTTCCACTGTAGGTGTCCACCTTGTCGTGGTTTCACTCCAATTCTGGTCGATTTCTATAACAAATATGGTTCAGAAAAGAAATTAGAGATTATCTTCATAAGTTCTGATAATGATGAAGGATCATTCAATGAATATTATCAAGAAATGCCCTGGTTAACATTGGATTTCAAAGAACGCGAGAAGAAAAATGAATTAGACGAGAAATTTCAAGTCGATGGAATTCCAACATTGATTTTACTCGATGGAAATAGTGGAAATATTCTTTGTAAAGATGCAAGACAAGAAATTCAATTCAATGATAAACAAGGTGATCGATTTCCTTGGACAAGCTCATCAGAAGCAACAAAAAAATCTTCTCGATCGTGTATTTGTTGTTAACACTACTTCGTATAATATCAGAATAGATCTTTTAAGAAATAAATGGAGGAAGATTCACTTTTATTCTTGAATTCGATAAAATTACAAATCATATTATAATCAAATGTCACACTAATTTTCGATAAATCGAACTTCCACATTACTACCCATGAATTGCTGAATTTTTTCTCCCAATGCTTGTAAAACCATCGCTTCAAGACATTTCTTACTATCTTCACTGTTTAGCTTGCAAACGATATTCTCTAATTCCTTTTGTTCATTAGTTGGAATACCAAACAATGTTGCAAACAGATTCCACGCTGCTGACATATGCACTTTTTTTTTCATGGAAGCCATTAGAATCTTATGCTCATCATTACCATTGAGATTTTGTCGACTTACTGCGATAAGTGAAATCGAAAATTCGTTTTTGGTACCAACGATAATCGCTTTTGCTACTTGTGTACCCTCCTTGTTTAAATGTAATCGTGAAAGATAATCATGTACTTCTTTATCCGCATTCTTATATTGTTCACGAAGTAATTCGCAGTATTCTTTCATATCGGCATGATCAATTGTTTCAGTAGAAATAACGAAATGTTCTTCACTCTGCTTTACACGACGATTTGCCAGTAAATTGAACGCTTGTTTTACCATATCTTGATTCGCTATTGGTATAGTTACAACCAATGGCAGAACAGTTGATGCCGCAGCTGGAATAATCGCATTTGCCATCTTTGTTGATTATCGGTTGAAGACAAAATATGAAGAGCAATACGTTTTCTTTTAAATAAAATTCCTTGTGAAAATTCCGACGGTATAAGTAGTATTCTTTCTTTACTCTATTAGTCACAAGTACACACCCCCATGTTCTTTTTTTCCTTGCGATAAGATTGGTTACACGTAAAAGAAGTTGATAAAGTTATATTTACAAATACTTTATTCCGTCAGAGAAATGCCCCTGGTAAAGCAAATAAAAATTAATATTAAAATTTCCAACTTATTCTTCATACATAAAAATGCCGAATTTCATAATCGCGTAAAATTGTTTTTTTTTCTTTTGTGCAAATCGATTTCATCCTCATGGCATCTCCAATCGGTTGCCCTTTACTAGTGACTATTCCAGTAGATAATAATTTGGTTGAACAGGCGTATCGTATGCTTGAAAGCAAATACATTCATCGTCAACAAGATGATTTCAATGTTGTTACAAGCACGATCAAACATTCGGATATGGATAAGTACATTGAAACTTTACTTGAACAATACAAAAACGCTAACGAAGAAGTTAAGAATTACATTCGGCGATTAAAACTTATCTCAGAAGGGACAAACATGGCGAAAGCTTTGGTCACTGGTACTAAAACTCACATATCTGTTTCTGTTTTTGTTACAAGCCGAAGAAAAACAAATACAAGCGATGATCACAAGATTTTGATTGCTTCAATGGAAAAAACATTTGAAGTACGTCCAAATGTTCCATTTGCAGCGTCCCGGGCTCTCATATATGCAATACCATTTATTCCTCTCGCAGCAATTCTTTTTCCTTTCGGTGTCTGGTACGACTTGTTCAACATTGGGGACGACAAAAAAACTCAGGAAATTTTAGCAAAATTGAACGATGAAGAAAATAAGAAATGTTTGGAAGCAATGGCTTTTCATATTCTCGGCAAAAAGATTCAATCACACATAGGCGAATGTGTTCAAGTGCGTTTTGTTCAAAGCTGATGTTATTCACGTTTTTTGAGAAAAACCCAATAAATTTGTGAGTTATGGGTATGTCAATGAGAAGATATTTGCAGAACGACCGTGACTGGTCTTTTTTTCTCGCGGAAAGATTTGATTAAAGAAAAAAAAGCGTGCGATTATTTTCTACAAGAACAAATTTTGCATAGTTTGGATGCATTGACAATTCTCCGTTCGATTCGTCGTGTTTGTCAGCGATATCAAGTAAAATGTCATCAGATTTCTTATTTTTTGATTTGCCCTATCGAAAAGAGCATACACTATACTTGTTCTGACCATGACAAAGAAATACGATGTCTCATCAATGAATTATCAAATAATACGGTCGATCAATGGTCACTACTTGTTTCGTTATGGATATCTTCAAACTAAATCGCAATCAACGTTGTATGCTATTTAAACAAAAGTATATCATTTCTTGGACAATTTCTTCTATAGAGACACTCGAAATGTTGTATTTAAGTGGAAATGGAATTGAACATCAAGGTGCACAAGAACTTGCTAAAGTATTTGAAAACAATTCAATAAAACATATAAATGACCATTTGATCGATCATTTTCGTTGGTCTCTATAGCCATTAAAATCATTCAATTTAGGAGTGAATCGAATGACAGATATAGATGCACAACGTTATCATCATACACTTTTAATCAATAAAGTAAATCTTAACAATTTCTTGTCTTTCCAGACACTTAAGACACTCGACCTTAGTAATAATCAAATAGATAATCAGGGATGCGGACATCTTACTAATGGTCTTGTGAAAAACAAAGTTTGGTCTTCTTTTGCTCTTTCATTTTCTTTGAATCTTCAGACAAATGACATCTCGAATCAATCAGTATACATCGATTTTTCGCTGTTCTAATGAATAACAAAGTAAACAATCGTTTCTTTATTTCTAGTTTATCATTAATTTTGATTTAGACATTTCTTACAACAGGATTACTGACAACGGAGTAAAGGATCTTGCTGATGCTCTTAAAATGAATCGAGTAAATTAATTAGTGAACATTGTCATGAATAGTTGATACTCGTTTCACATATAGACATTGACTATACTCAATCTTTAGGAAAAAAAGATTATAGAAACAGGAGTAGGTTATCTTGCTGTTCTTCTTTCTGGTCATGCAGTAAAAGAATCCTTTTCTTTTAGTTTTATTCTTGTTTATCGAATGTATTTAGACCTGTGTAACGATTCATCTTCAATTGAGTAGTTTTGGCGAAGAAAAGCAAAATGAATTAACAATGAACGATTCGGACTAACAGACATTTATTGTTGAAATTAAATCTGCACTGCATGTCTAAAAGTGCTTTTCTAAAAATAACTTCAAATACATAAAATAATTCTCGATTACAAGGATTGTAGGTAGGCGAAAGCATGACACTAAAAGAAAAAAGTTTGATGTTGATTATTGTCGTTGTTGGCGACGGAATTGCAAAACATGAATAACTTGTTGTTCAGTGTCAATTGTATGGACACGACTTGCATGTCGGAAGATTTTTTTCGCTTCTTTCCGAAAAATAGTACCGGTTAGTGTATATAAGTAGAAACTACTTGAATGAGCAAAATATGTCATAATACCGGTAATTCTTGCAAATAAATTTTCTTGTGCAATTCGAAGTGTATCTTTGACTAAAATGCTCGTAAACGATGCATAAAGTTGATAAATTGAGAACGGTAATGTTGCAATAATGATCACTAAAACTTGCGCTGTGAGCATGCGTAACAATTGAGAATTTGTTCGTCGAGTTCGTATATTTTCGGCTGTGATTCGTCGAACCAAATGATTACATTTCTGAGTATTTCTTATTGTCAAAAAGCCAAAAGTCAGCATAAAAAATGACGGACAGAGTGAATAAACTACCATATGTGAGAATCCGAAAAAAGTACTATAAAAACCTTTTCGACTACGACATGAAGATACGACATCACCATTGGCATCTGTTACATTATATAATTCATAATAAGCAATCATATGACTATATAGAATTGGAACAAGAATGCTTGCAATTGTAATGGCTAACTTGGCTGTTCTCATCGAACTTAGCTGACGTAGATATCTTTGCGGCGAACTGTGTAGAAAACGATCAATACATGCTAATAAGATTAACCAAATCGATGTTGCACGTGTTGCATAAAAAATAAAATATTCAAACTTACAAATACCGAAGTTATAATTTGATGCCGAGATATTATACGCATTGGAAAGGACACGAACAGGCATAACAACGAAGACAACGAATAGATTGTAACATGATGAAATAAGAAAATACATTGAACATGGTTCTTGACGGAGAGTCGGTCGAGTGAAAACATAAATGTTGATAAGAAGTCCAAATGCACCCAGTAAAAAGTTTACAATCGATATTGTAAGAAAACATATTGATGCAGCGTCGTTGATTTGTTCAATGAGAATCGCGAGAGACGACATTATGAATTAATGAATTCTTGTTTCCTATCTCGTCTCTCAAATAAAAATTCTAAAGTTTAATGAAAACTATCTGGGTTCCATAGTACACATTAATGAATATATTTTCATCTGGAAGCAAAGTTACTATAAAGAAAAAATTAATATTTGCTCCTTGACGTAAACGATGTTTTCATGCTCTGATTTATGGAAAATAATTAAAGACACTAGGTTTTTGCTCTTTGTTAAAGTACACTGCATTATTTATATGAACTATTATAGTCATGTGTGTCGAAGATTTTAATTACTATTTCGAACTTATAGTTGATATACGTTTCAAATACCAACGTGTGCAAAATAACAAAACAAATAATGTGATGGAAGACATCGGTGTGAAGCGTAAAACGAATGCAACAAATAGCGTTCATTCTATTCTTCGAAGAAACGATAAAGTCATGACCCGATAGATTATGTTGAAACTGAAAGAAAGAGATTTTTTCCCGGAGCATCTCAAGACCGGGATCAGAATTGTCAAAACCAAAATTTAAAAACGAGGTCGGGTTTTGATGCGTGTTTCTTCACAGCGAGTATAAACTGGTAGAAGTATTCATGGTATAGAGAATGTCCCAGATATTATCAAGTCATTTTTTTATAATGGATTATCTTTGAAAATTACATTTTTGTTTGAATTATGAATGAGAAATTAATAAAATGCCTGTCAGAAATTATTAGCGCAAATCTTCCAGATGTTCTTTTGAATGCAGTGAAATGCTTACAAGAAACTTCTATTTTTTCTATATCTCGATTTCATCAGATGATAAAATCTTAATATTTCGTCCGCGCTGCAAGCCTTTCATTTTCCACTAGGCAATACGGATGAGAATTGCCTTCGTCGCATCATTTCCACATTGCCCGCATTCAAATGTTACGGTAAGTACGTTTTGCTTATCTAACTTTTGGAAAGCGTTCGATCTTAATTTGCCCATCGCCTGCACTTCGCCAATGATCGATAACAAGGTTAAATTGCATCAGATTTGACATGCGCAATTGTAAGAGTACATTAGTCATACCTTGCGAAACGTGGACAGGCTGATTTTTAACATATGGCTGGTTTTTCCTCTTGAAAACTGATCCTTATCAAATATTTGCATTTTCGAATCATCTTAAGAGTGAAAACGTGATCCATTTTGCATCTAACATCATAAAACATCCACAAAATATGTGTTTTACTTACACATTTCTCGTCTCGTAATCAAACAGCGAAGAGTCAATAGTCTATAAGCAATGCCGACGAATAGATCTGTGAGAAGAAAAACGTTTGAAACTATGACATCATCTACCGACATCGAATTTCTGTCGATTGTTGTCTTAATTTTGTTCATTTTAATAATCAAATTATTCGTTGGAATTAACTTTTTTCACCAGTGTTCAATTGGATCATTTATTTCTTCTTATGTTCTTCTTAGTGCTGTATTGGAACTTATTCTCACTATTCTGTTCTGTTTGGTATGAAACTCTTTATGTGACTTAGACAAATGATCGTTTATTTTATTTGATAGATGTTTTCAACGGACCAAGATCGAGAAGGGGGAACATCATTCTTCGAGCGGCTTTGGAACTCTCTATTTGTATATTTCGTTTATATTTCATTATTTACTATTGGTGTTGGTATGATCCCTATACTAATGATACTTGTAAGTTTAATTGTAATATTCCTTTTTCAATCAGTTGAAATATTTCACATTTAGGGTGGAATTTTTGTACTACCTACAGTGATGAGCGTGCAGTTTTCTGATTCATCTTCGTTGACATACTGCCATCCGATGCTTTACACTTATGCGTTTGGTACTGCTCTAATCTATTTTGGCATCTTTATTGTTCTTTTAGTTTTTATTTACACGTGCTGGAAAGCAGCTTTTGATTAAATCTATTTTGTAATAAAGATAACAGTTGACAAAAAAGATTTCGATCATTTTTCGACTTTCAATGATTTCCCACGTGATCTTCTAGAGATGTGAAGTCGACGTATGCTGGAACATATAAACCCTCAAACGAACATCTTTATTAGATTTACGCAACACTTTTTTTATATACTGATAAATGGTATTGAAGCTTGTGACTGTGCATTCTTCTTGAATTGATTTTTGCTGTGACTGGACAACAAACAGCATAAGCATTCGATGATGCAACTTTACAATAATATGTTTCCGGACAAGAATCAAATTGACAACTATAATCTTTGAGGAATGGTGCCCCATCTTCACATGGACTTGATTTACATTTGCATGTTGCACATCCTTGAGCATCGAGACGATATCCAAAGAGACAATACATACGACATAACGGGCGATCGTCACACGTTGTTCTACCAACCATTGATTTTGAGATGATCATTGACATGAACAAACAAATAAGTAAAACTTGAAGATATTTCACCATTTTTGTCGTTATTCTTCTATAAACGGAGAACAGAAGAAAACTTTGTTTAACTGAAACGAAATGACAACGATGTGGCGAATTATTGTGAAAGAGAAAGAAAAATGCAATCACATGCAAAATGACTCCTGACATAGAAAAGGAAGAGAAAATGATAGTTTATGACGTCACTACACGAACAAAAAAACAATCATTCTATATAAACATTATAGTGTAGATAAATTTGTCTGTTTTTTTGTCCAAACGATCACCATATAAAAAGCTCTACAAAATTCGCGACTGAATATGGTTAACATTCCATCGAATTGGAGTAGTTTTGCATTGCAAATTATGAAGGAAAAAGAACGATTTACTATCGATTGCGGGAGTAAAAAAAAGTAACAAAAGGAGTAAACCAATATGGTGCTGACGAAAATATTATATATTCATCTTGAGGGCGAGGGGGGAAATGACATATTATTCGCATTTCATCTTATGAAGTCGAGTACTTTTATTTAAATCAAATATTTGTTGGTTGAAGTATTCGCTGGCTGAAATGAAAATAAAGCGTTCTGCGTTCTACTGTCGAAACTCGAAAAACAACATATTCAATGAAATATCTCGGATTTGATTATACATGAAAATTCTCAAATTCTATAATCATTTTTGTTCTAATAGGATTCAATATACCAAAACTAATCGATGACAACCATCAATGAGATCTCTCCTTAGAAATGTATTCAAATGGTTCACTTGATGCCACGTCATTCGGTCGATGTTGTTTACAAAAACCCAGTAATGTTTATAATTCTGCACAAGATGAACAATGGCTTTATCTAAGTATTTTCAATTCTTCAACATTCAATCATTTTTGTAACGATTAACTATTGAGTAGGCGGGACAGGTGATTTGTATTTAAAGGAATCGAATAAAGAGAATCTGACTGAACGGCCAACTTCGAGGAACTAACATCTTTTGAATATTTTATCTGGTCTGCGTTGGATTATGTATAACATTCTCAATTTATCGAATGAAACTGTTCGAAACACCAACTATTCCAGCCATGATAATCAAATGAAACTTGATTGTTAACGCCAAGTTTCATCGTTTAACAAAATCATTGATCGATGATTACTTTTTCCCATTTTACCCACTCCTAGTAAATGAAAATGAATTCCACTGGTTTGAATTCATCACTAACTTATCCAATGAGACAAAAATGGACGGTGACTACGATATCGCCAGTACATATCAAACTAGAACTTAACCAGTCGTTGTTGTGATTCAATTGTTTTCATCATCACAGATCAAATGTTTTTGATTGTAATGTACGTCGAATTTACCGAAATCTATATACGAAATCGAACAAAAAAAAAACAAATATATTCTAATATCTTTTGAATTGTAATCCAGGAGCTTGTCCTCAACATTCGATTGAACAAAGTGCGAGTGTTGGCGCTCACGCAGCTGATATTCCATTTGTTTTTGAAACGATTAAAAGTTATTAATCATCAACTTCTCTGAGTTGTACTCGGAATGGTCAATCACGAATATTTTCGAATCAAATTATTCAACATTGGGTTAATACAGCGAAAGCTAAGAAACCATTACCGTCGTGATCAATATATGATTTATCATCACTGAAAAGTCTTTATATTACACCTTTTCAAGAATTCTCGCCAGTTTTATGGAATTGAACAAGAAGGGATCTATGACTTATTTGGAAATCAACCGAATCATATGAAAACGTCTTTAATATTAATTTCTTCATCATTTTTTGTTTCAATGAGATTTTCATCGGACAAATTTGGATGCAGCAGTAATTGTGATAACGAACTTTCTAGATTTTTAACTCGATCTACATGACACAACCATTTCATCAGCATTAAGATTAGTTTTTCTGTCAATTAATTTTTCTTTTTTGCATGCGACATTTCTTCTTCTTCTAATGATCAATGTGTTTGTCCTCATCATTCTTCTAATCCTATCATACTGTGACGTCTTCAGCTCTGTTTATATTCTACTTCGCGGATATTCTCAATAGAAGCAGAATTTATTCACACAATGATAAAAGTACTTTATGAATAGTTGAGAGGTGAAAGAGGAGAAATATTCTCAAGTCTAATCGTATTCTACCGCTCATAACTTACTCGAAATAAAGGAAGACAAATGTCAAATAGTAGTGATTTGGTGTCAACCATGAACTACGTTACAATGCAAATCAATCGTCATGGACCTACAGTTTTACTTCTTTTCGGCACATTCAGTAATGTATTGAACATTTGTATTTTAAGAGAACGTTCTCTCAAAAAGATTCCATGTACAATCTATCTTTGCTGGTCTTCACTATCAGCTACTGTATTCATCTGGTCGGGATTATTAACACGAGTACTTCAAGGGTAAGTGAAAAAGAAAAGCATTTTGAGAGTGTCAGTAAGACGACGGATCACAATTGTAGTTACAACATCAATTGGCCAAATGAAAATCAGCTTCTTTGTAAAACTCGTTTGTATTTGCTGAACATTAGTTGGTCATCGGCGATTTGGATTCTTGTTGGAGCAAACATTGATCGATTTTTGTGTAGTCATCAATCAGTTGCTTATCGTCGACTGAGTACACATCGACTAGCAAAACGCGTTGTCATGAGTATTTTCATTTTCTTTATGTTAGTCTACACTGAAGTATTGCATTGTGTGGAAGCAAGAGTTCCCAATGTCCCTGTGTCTTGCTATGGTCGAGATCTTCCCTGTCGAATTGTTAATGATTGGGTATATTTGGGAGTAGATATTGTTTTCCCAAGCGTCGTTATCACTATCTTTGGGATACTAACTATTCGCAATACTCGATCTAGAATCATTCATCCAACAATAAATTCGTTTCCGCACGCTGTTCGAACAACACAACAATCAATATTAGCACGGAAAAGCGGGCGTAATCTCACGCGAATGTTATTTATTCAGGTGAGTCAAGGTGTTTCATTGCATTCGAAATAAAAATCATTAAGATATTCTATCGATAGATAGTAATGCGAAATAATTATTTTAGGTGTCGTGCGTTTTGGTATTGGATTTACCATTTGGACTGTATCGTTCATACGCTAGTGTAACAGTCGATGTATCTAAAAGTCAATATCGTGTGACTATTGAAAATTTGATATACTCTTTGATCGTTCTCTTAGTACATTTTACTCATTCAACGTCTTTCTACATCTATACATTGACCGGTACGCTTTATCGTGCAACGTTCAATCGTCTTAAACGTCGTTATTTCAATTTCAATTTCGATTGAATACAAACAAAATTCTTCGTTTACTTTCTCTGTTCATCTCTATTTTCAGACTTTTCTTAAATTGATCAATTCTGAAAATAGCTCACGGCAGCCAATAAATAAACATAGAAAGTTTATTTTTGACGTCCTTGTCGATCTTGTTTACGATTATAATGTGCGCACAAAACTAGCTGTTCGTCCGCTTTAACATTGGCATGCATAAATAAAATGTGTTTTTCACACAGGAAGACATAACTATCCGACATGTTTATTTTACGCTTCTCTTTGATTCAGCAGATCTAATCGAAAACATCATCATTCATGGCATACATTGCAATGATTGGATGATTATTGAAACTAACATACATAATCATACTTACACCCACACCCTCACCCTCATTGACACCAATGTGTTCAGAGTTCTAATGATTTTTTTCATTCAAGGCCATTTTGTTGAGAGATTCTTTCTCGTCCGTTGAGTTATTTCCTTCCATCAAAACTGAAGAAAAGAAGAAAAAACCTTGAGAATGTAGTGAGAGTCTGAAAGCTTTAATTTTCTCGTCTCTATACTCGTATTGTCATTTGCCGTTCGCTTTCTGTAAAGAACATACATGTGAATGTAATAAGAGGGGTGTAGAATGGTGAGCTTCATGTTTGCAACCTTGATAGATTATTATGAATAATTTCAAAATTATAAAGTTTATGATGAAACGATGTGACGACAGCGGTGAATAAACAAGTTTTTTTAGAACTTCAGATGCAATTCGATTGAAAATTTTACTCTCTTACATTGGGAAAAAACCCTCTCAATAGCGGCATCAAAACATTCTTGCCAATACCTGTTGTCTTTTGTAATTCCTGTGTGAGTTATTTTGATTGTCGTTGGAAAAAAGTAGTTTAATACTTCACACGCACTTGGTAAAACAGTGCTCGAATGTCCTACCGGAATCCTACTACATCAAAGCAATCGACCACTCGTTCGAATAGAAATCTTCTTGCAAAACGGCAATATGAAGGCGTATCAACACCAAGAGACCCGAACGCAGGTCATACACCTATTGCAATTATAGAGGCAAACAGGCGTTTCAAAGATGGCATTAACAAAAAAGAAGTTATTCCCCCTATTCCACCGAGCAGAACAAATTTGGACAATAATTACGATGATATCAATGGGAATACGGCATATCTTGACACTGCAGATGAAGATAGTTTGCCACTTAAACTATTTGACGGTAAAAAACAATCACTCAGTGAATTAAGCGAAGAATTCATGTCATATTTATGGTTCAGGCGGATAAAAGAAATTTTTTTACATATGGATTCCGGCAGAGATGGACAAGATGAAGATCCTTTTATTGAATTTGATATGAATTTGGCTCGAATTGATTTGATGAATGCTTGCGATCGATATATAGAGAATGAACGGATCATTGTTACTAAAAAGGTAAAGTTTCTTGGGTAATTCTTTTCTGTAAGATAATCGCAAACAATACTCATGAGAAATACTATCTCGGTGCAATATTTCAATGTCACTATTCATAGAGTAGGATGTGAGAGTGTGGGTGTAAAATTTTAGGTGTTTAATACTCGAATCGTCTTCTCAAGTTGTACATGTATACTCTTAGCCTATCCTTAACTACACGTACAATATTTTCGAGCGGGATTCGACCTTTTCTTGAGCCGAGTCGTCCCAGTGTATGTTTCAAACGATCTAACAACATTTTCAGGTACAACTTGATGAACCCTATCGGTTCCAAAAATAAAATTTCGGAAAAAATAACTTCTTCGCCCAAACAAACTCGAAAAACTATTTAAAAAACACCTGAAAACCCTCAAATTTGTAGAAGAACCTGAGCTAACATGCGTCACTTATCGGTTCCATCAAGGATAGTTGATGCGCTTGCACTATAAATTAGTTCGGATGTGCATCAAACTATATGGGAATACATTCTGTCCCTTAGTGTAGTGCATTGTGGATTCCACAATGTGGAATCAGTTCTCTTGGTTCCGATACTTTGTCTAACCACCCTGACATGTTTTGTATTGATGCAAAACTAACAACCGTTTTTAATATTGCCTAAGCGAAAAATAAGCGGTGGTTAACCTTGGATCAATGCAATACGTTCGAACTGAATTCCGATATTTCTCAGTGAAATCGCAGCCCCCCCCCTCACCTTTGTCTGTACCTAGGATGGAAATATGACGAAATCCAATAACAACAGTCAACAATCTAATCCGTCACTGAGTATCGATGAATGTATCAACGCGCTCCATAATCTTGTCGCCAACCCGTCATCAGAAGAGTTATCAGCAATGCTGAACAAATGTATTGGTTCATTACGTGATCTTGATAAACGTACCCAAGACGTCATCGCTAAAATAGAAAAACAACGGCAAAACAACTCAAAAGTAAATATTCACACTATAGTAGAACTTATTCAGTCCTTAACATCGAAAGAAAGAAAAAGTGATCTTGAGAAAAAACAAGAATGGGATATGAAGAAACTCTACGCAGAAGTGTTCAAGATGTCTTACAAAAGAAATCGACTACGAACAGAAAATGAACAGGTAATACTGAAATTAGTTTTTACTTCAGTACATTAATTCACTCGACTACTATTCAAGGAAGAACTAACACCAGTGAAAAAAGGTGACGATCAACCAAATTTTGGCAATGCCATTTGGTGGTATTCTTGCGATAAAGCTAGTATATATTATCAAATTAACTCAATACTGCGTCTTGAAAACTTTGAGTTGTTAGTGGCTTATCGTTATTATTTAAGTGATCTTTGTAGAATGATTGAGTATATGTACGAAGAACGAAAACGTGAGCAAAGTGATTCTCAAGTATTTTATCGAGCTGGGCATGTTAATGAAGGGCAATTGGAAAAAATGCGTAAATCACAGAAAGGCCATTTGATTTCGTTGGGTGGTTTTATTTCAGCAACAACTAATATGAATATTGCTAAAGGCTATGCCAAAAAACAAAATATATCGAAGAGTAACAAAAGAGTACTGTTTCAAATTACTGTTAAACCTCAGGAGCCATGCACAGCATTTGCATATATTAATGGTATTTCATTTCACCCCGAAGAAGAGGAAGTCTTATTTAGTATGGGATCCGCGTTTACTGTCGATAGGATAGTTGATCCAGAAGATGGCGAAAATTATTATACCGTTCAACTTACAGCATCTGATATCGATAAAACTCTTGCTAATGATATTCGCACTAAAGTAGAAGAATGCTCTCCATCAGGTCGTGCCGCTTTATTAGCACACTATCTTATGGAGCTAGGTGAATATCGAGCAGCTCGTAAATATCTTACTTCACTTCTGAACGAAGCACGTGATGGAGGTATCCTGATCAATGATCCAAACTTAGCTACGATTTATTCTTGTCTCGGAATGATTTATGCTCGCCAAGCCCTTCACGGTGACGCGCTTAAAGCATTCAAACAAGCGCTTAATACACAAGCACGCCTTGAATATTCAAATAATAATGCATTAGCTGAGATTCATAGAAATATTGGATTAGCCTATGTAGGACTAGGTCGTATGAATGAAGCTGAACAGACCTTAGCAAAAGCATTACGTATTAAATTGCGGGAGGTCAACTCCGATGAACAGCATTTGGCATCGATCTACGGTGATATTGGTTATGTTCAATACAAGAAGAACAATTTCAAGAATGCATCAGATGCTTTTGAAAAGGCTGAAAAGATCTACAAGACAAGTTCAAACAAGATCGCACACGATGAGCTTGAACAATGTTTAAACAAAGCGGAATATCTAACAAACTACGGGCATCTACTAAGTGTTAAAAAATCTTTAACCGAAGCACAAACACGATATAATGAAGCACTTAAACTTTATAAAAGTGTTTTGCGTAACTATGATCCTAAACTAATGCAAACTCACATTAATATAATGATTGCGTATGCAAAGAATGAAAAGTTTAATGACGCTACAAGATGGTTTGAAGATACCACAGTGCAAACGCTAATTAATAATCAAGAAATGAATGTTTTCGAATTAAATAGTTCAGTGACACAGTCAAGTCTTGCTTTTCTTCACGAATTTATTGGCGCCTGTTATATGGAGCTCGAAGCATATTATAAAGCGATTCGCTTGTGGGCACGAGCCGTGATATTTAAACGTAAGGCACGTCTGGAACAACTACTGTTGGACACTACCAGTAACATTTCGTCGACATTAAATGATGAGCAAAAACAGTTTATTAATAAAAACTATCGTGCCGCACGCGATTTTCCTAACACAAATAGCAGGTAAGAGTTTTTTTCATTTCTCGAACGGTTTTAATAGAATTTTACGTTGTAGAGACAAAGACCAGTCAGCAGATGAGAAGAAGATACAAATACCACATGAATTTTGTGTGGGTCTGCTTTGCATTGAATCCTATGATGATCTGTCTGCGATAGAAAATTTGAGAAAAGTTGCAATAGGGTCAGATGTATCTGACAGTGATACGAAGCTTGTTGCGTGTCTTCTTCTAGCCGAGTTGTACAAACAGCAATCCGATTTTAATTTGGCAATTGATAACTGCGATCAAGCTTTGCAATTAGTAAAACAATCGAAAAATCAGAAAGATCGTGTTTTAGAAATCGAAGTGAGTTTAACCCGTATCGAATGTATTAGCAAAATAAGAACAAATACAAATGCTATTGACGAGCTCATAAAACTCGATAGATCTTTACGAACAGATGGTAGTGATACAAAATACGTCACGTTAAAAGTTATCGTTTATGACACTCTCGCCCGTTATTATCTGTCAGAACAAAATTACAGTGAATTCGATGTAGTTGCTGAACGATCAGTTACATACAAAATTCGTAACTTCTCACAATATCATCCAAGCTTAGCCATTAACTCAAAACTATTGGCCGACCGTTATTGTCAACAATCTCGCTACCATGAGGCGTTATATTTCTACGAGCGTGCTCTTGAAGTCCAAAGTTTAAATTTAACTGTTGATCATCCACAGAACAGAAAAATCTTCTACGCTATGGGTAATGTATATTGCAAAATCGACAAGTTATCGAATGCAAAGGAAAAGTATGATATAGCGGAAAATATGAATTCGAACAAAGATGAAGATGATGTATTAATTCAAGATAAAATCAATGCTGAAGAATCAATGGATATTTTAATGGCTCAGATTAGTATGCACCAACATTTGGCTAGTTTATATACAAAAAAGAAGGATTATGCACAAGCCATATCCGAAACGAATAAAATTCTCGAATTACTAAAAGAAGAATTACCGTCCGCAGCGTTTGACACGGACAATGAAAACCCATTAATGAAGAAAAAGATTGATAGCCCTACACTTGTGAAGAATCTACGGTTACTGGCTAAGTGTTATTTGCGTTCGGGGGATATTCTAGGTATAGCTCAAGATGATGAAATGGGTTATGAAGTAGCTTCAAATATTTACAAGAAACTCAATAATCATGATAAAAAGTTGGGTAACCATGAAATCGTTTTATTACTTAAGAAGTTGAGCCAATACCACGAAGATACATTTAATCGAGAAAAAGCACTCACATGCCTGAAAGACATCATCAATTTTGAAAAGCCATCTAGTACTATTCTATATCGATTAGGTTCGTTAAGTATTGCTTGTGATGGGTATGACGAAGCAGTAAAAACCTTTAAGGATCTATTAAATGATCCAGTGATCAATGCAAAACCAGAACAGAAACAAATCGTAGAAGAAAACTTGAAAGAAGCACAAAGCAAACTAGAAAATCTAAAATTAACCTCAAATCAACTTCTGTCGGATGATAGTAGTGATGATGATGACGATACAAGTTCGAATTCTTCAAACGACCTTCCTAGACACGATACGAATATATCAACACCTACCAAGCAGCATATTGAGATTGAATCGGAGAAGACTAGCGATGATGAGAGTGATACAATGTCGAATCATAAGGAGATGCTAATTGAGGACGCTACTGCTGTGCCAAATAGTGACAAAGAAGAAATGAAAAGCGATCCTGAAAAAAATGTAGAAAATACAGGTTAGTGAAAATACCATATTATTATTTGATCAAATACATTCGCATTTGTATCCATTTAGATAAGTCATCAGATGATAGAGCTAAAGCATTGGCGTATTTCGAACTTGAAGATTTACACAAATCACTGAAATATCATCAGAGATATATTAAAAGTCAAAACAAGTCTGTATCAATGTCGGAAGTTTTTCAAACTCAACTGTCAAAAATACAACAAGATATGTTTACATTTGAACAGCGTAGTCTGTTGTGTTTCTTACCGAAATTACTACATTCTCTAGTAACAAAAATTCGTGAAGAATCTTTAGAAAATTCAGATGTATTGTTAATAGCCGATTCTCATTTTCAATGTGGAATTCTCAACGATAAACTTTCATCGCATCTCCAAAGTAGTCTCTCTTATATCTCAGCATTCCAACTTTATTTTTCCAAATCAACTGGTGAAATCAACGAACTGACTAATCTTATGCGCGAAATACTCAATACATTTATTGATGGCAAACTTGTACCGAAGATGATTATTGACTTTGCTCAAAAAATCGCAGTAGCATCGGACGATATAATTCTCATGCGTCTGAAACTAGCGGCGATGTATCGCGACAATGAAACAGACGATGTTACTGATGAGGATGATGACGGTGATATAAGTGTGGAATCGCGAATGATCGCTTTAAAATGGTATAGAGATTGCCTAACTGTTGCCAATGATGTATTGACAAAAGCCACATGTTATTACAACGTTTTGTGTCTTTATCGAGATTATATTCATGAAGACGATGCTGGAAGGAACGATGTTAAGAATTTAGTCAAATTATTACCTGAATTAAGTATTCTTGATCGACACCTATTACTCAATTTGGCACACCGTTTCGTGAGAGAATACGATGACAACAAAGGCGTGTGCGATAAATATCTTAATGCCCAATTACAAAAACTTCTAAAAAAATCTTTCGATGAAATGTTGGAAGTGAGCGACGAACTCAGTGTCGGAGATAAACTTGTTGAATGTGAAGATTTGGATAGCGCTGAAGAATATTGGAACTCCGTTGTTGAACAGCTCACATATGATAAGTCTGTTCGAGTTTTATCACTTATTCATGATCCTCATTCAACATTTGATCAGATTCTCAATGCCATTAAACATCCAGAAAGCGACATAAGTTTACTCTTCAATAAATTGGCTGAAACTTACGAAAAAATAGCCGATTGTTATGTATTACAAGCTACACACAGTGAATCTAAGGATACAAATGGGTTTCAACAAGCTGAAGATATGTTCAAAAAGGCAATCCATCTAATGAAGAGACTTCACGTGCGCATAGACAGTATCAAGAAAGTAGAAGAAAAGTTGCAAGAAGCAAAAAGCCAAGTCCAGAAATAAAAAAGACTATAATTCGTACAAAACTGACTTGGATGAGGATGAGCGTGTAAATCATAGGACTTACAACCTCAGTCTTCACCCGCACTCATATTCTAGAAATTCTGTCATTGAATAAAACGCTTAAGCTGTAACATTTGATGAAAATGTCTAGTTAATCATGCGAAAGAGAGGGTACACATGAATTAGTTTTAACTTGAAAAAATGGCCGTAATCTCACGTGAATGTTATTCATTCAGGTTATAGTCCAGACATTTCACAAAACTGGACATGAGAATAACTACGGTGCACCATTAGTAAATAGTAAAGGTAATGCAAAACAATTATTTTAGGTATCGAGCGTTTTGGTATTGAATTTACCATTTGGACTCTATCGTTCATACGCTAGTGTAACAGTCGATGTATCTAAAAGTCAATATCGTGTGGCTATCGAAAATTTGATATACTCTTTGATCGTTCTCTTAGTACATTTTACTCATTCAACGTCTTTCTACATCTATACATTGACCGGTACGCTTTATCGTGCAACGTTCAATCGTCTTAAACGTCGTTATTTCAATTTCAATTTCGATTGAATACAAACAAAATTCTTCGTTTACTTTCTCTGTTCATCTCTATTTTCAGACTTTTCTTAAATTGATCAATTCTGAAAATAGCTTACGGCAGCCAATAAATAAACATAGAAAGTTTATTTTTGACGTCCTTGTCGATCTTGTTTACGATTATAATGTGCGCACAAAATTAGCTGCTTGTTCGCTTAAACATTGGCATGCATAAATAAAATGTGTTTTTCACACAGGAAGACATAACTATCCGACATGTTCATTTTGCGCTTCTCTTTGATTCAGCAGATCTAATCGAAAACATTATCATTCATGACATACATTGCAATGATTAGATGATTATTGAAACTAACATACATAATCACACTTATACCCACATCCACGCCCAAACTCTGATGACAATACTGCAATGTGAGTGTCTACTGGCGTCGAATGAGAAGCGAGTATATTTTGAGCTTTTATATTTCACATGATACATTTGAAACGATATTTATTGATCAAAGAATAATTTCGATCTATATAAAGCATAGAAGAGAATACATGTCGAGATGATCTTTATGTCACGTTTAGCAACCACGAGCGAAGAATCAATCGTTACATATATGCTTTTGCTAAGCATATTAACAACTGCCACAAACAAGAGAATTACCAGGGCAACTAGTGCAAAAATATGGATAGCTAGCGGCGAAACTTCCACAATAAGTCGTGCTCGGAGCATAACCGCTGTTGCTACAAATAGAATTATCACAACAAGTGCACTGACAAGTAGTACTACCAGAATTACAATAAGCATTCACAGCAAGACTACAACAACTAGAACAAGGGGGATAAGATACTGCAGTTGTCGGCGTTGTAGTGGTTGTTGCTGTTGTTGTACTTGTGGTGCTGGTTACCGTTGTTGTTGTCGTCGTACTTGTTGTAGTAGTTGTTGTTCTTTCTATAGAATAGAATGGTAACAGTTGATGTTTATTTCACTCGCCTCTCGAAAAAATGTTTACTACATAATAACGACAAGGCAAAAACATTTTCCTAATCTGCTTGACTAATAACTTGCCCTGTCCTCAAGCGATCTATATCGTTTACCGAAGACTGTTTTCCTCCTGCATATATTCCTATCTCGACATCTCTTAGGACTTTACTAACCGGGTGGATTTCGCGTGCCGAGAATATTGAGTATGGTAGTAGTATTCGGCTCAGCTAACATGTTACTCGTTTGGCCTAATATATCGATGAATAATTCACAGGCAGAAGTGTCTTGATGAAAACTACCAGCTCGACAGTGTTCTTCACTCAGACATGCCATTTGACATTTCCGAATATTCGACGTAGCGATAGTTTCGAAAGGTAAACAGGTTGTTGTCGCACATTGAAATCGGTAACCAGTTATTATCTTCATCTGAACTGATCGCATGTCTTCTTGCTCGCTTGACTGCGCTATCAGCATTGACAGAAGCAAGAGAGATATTCTTTGCCATGGCATTGCGAACGACGTTCTGACTTAATGAAAGAAACTGCAGTTATACTGGATGAAGAGTGTAGTCGGAATGGTGAAGAAAATTCTTTTCTTCTTTAATTTAGGAAAGGAGTGCAGAGCGTGGGCTTTTTCTCTTTCTTGTAAAGAAAAGTTTCGGAAACATGAATGGTTTGTTTGTGCGATCACTGCTCACTGGTTGGTTGAATGGTGATACAGTAACGGAAGATCTTGTGAAAAACTTCAATCTGTGTGTTATTCGCTTAAACCCGTCCAGAGGAGTCATGTGGACCAACAGAAATCGAGTTTTTGAGAAAAAAACATTTTTGAAGATATTTATATGTTTGCTTTGGCAGTAAGGAGTGAAGCAGATACTTCTTGTCTTCCTGCTTATATGAGGATCCAGACTTCGCTGTTTAGTCAAAGACGTGGCTCAGAGAAAACTGTTGTTAGAGCCTAAAAAACGACTCGATGTGTATAATAAGCTGATTTTCCATCAAGTATATTTTGGTAATGATGACAAGGAGAAAAAATAAATTTTTTCAGTTGTTTTCTCACTGAATGTGAAAGAGTTGCCCTTCTTCAAGAAAGAGCTCGGCGTGTGCCCAAACGAGCGTTACTTGTTTTTTAATAATAAAAAAAACTTAAAAAAAAACAACTGTTGCTCATCCGCTGATTGCATGCTCATGACAAGAACTCACGCATTCGAAAGCATTGTATCATAGACAATTTCTACAGTGGAGAATTCAAAAGGAACTCAGACCAGTAAGGTACAAAATTTGCTTTGATAGAAGGGTGCGAGGATATCATTCCATCAGGAGTGTGTGGAGGGAGAAGGTGTGGGTCAATGTAACTCATCCTCACACTTTTAAGATGCTCTTCTAAGCGTCGATCTATCACACACATTCGTATTGACTTTTTTACTTCAAATCAATGAATCGCTGGAAGTTTATTTCATGCGAAATATTAAACGAAGAACAAATTTGGTCATCACAAAAGTAGCACAGAGTAGTTATTCTTTGTCAAAAGAAAAATAACAGATAGTCGACTTGTTTCAGCACTATTGAATGAGTATAACTGATGTCATATTAAGCATCATTTCCAATATGATTCTCATTCTCATCGATCAAAGATTTTCATGACTTTCTTCATTCATTGAAACTTTCTGTATTCACATTCAAATATTATGAGTTTGTGACCTAAGGGAATATTCATTTACCTCGATCATGCAAAGAAAGAGTAATATAAATACTGAAGAAAATATGAACGTGAAGTCATTTCTTCTTCGTCTACTGCATCGAATATGTTGATAAATCTTCATTGTCAGAGGAGTGTTATTTTTCTTCATACATGTAAAAGTCGAAGAGACGATTCATAGAGACGACTGGTCATTTGTCGTATCTATGTTTGTTTCCCGCATTGATGAAGTTTATGTTAGTTTATATGATGGTAGAATTATGAAACGAATGTTTAATACAAATAGTTCTACTTACGTTATGCATATCGGAACACTTTGTTCTTACCTTTTCATTGAAGTCGGTGATCATCTACATTGTTCGTCCTTTGAGAGGAGTGTAGTGATAAGAACATCACTAGATGATGAGATAGAAATGGTGGTTTTGGTTCGCACTGACGATCAAGACTCAGGTCCGAATGAGTTATCTTATTCTATAGGAATCTCTGATGACGGAAATTTCGATTTATATGTGGCAGACTTCGAAAAACATCGAATTTAATTCTTTTCATTGCATGACTGGAACGGAAAAACTGTAGCAGAGTAAAGTTTATCCGATATTTCAATTGCACTCACTAACCCACGCTCGCTCGTAATAGATGCGGAAAAATAGTTTTTTCTTATTTCTGACAGTGTAAATCATCGTATTGTCGGATCAGGACTAAATGGTTATCGATGTTTGGTTGCTTGGATATGAAGGGAGTGGTGCAAAGCTCATCAATTGAATGCGCCAGCAACATTTGTGAATATTCTTGTTCAAAAATTTAATTTACAGAAAGGTACTTGTAATAAGTAATTGCTAACAGTCATTATCACAATGACTCTCTTTTATACTTAGAAAACGTTTAATCACAATACAAGCGATCGAAGTAGTTGTCAGTAAAGACGACTTCCACATTCTTGTTGATAACAGTAGTATCGATCGATTACATCCTGAAAAGAATCTGATTGTATGGTACGGGAAGTGCTGCGAGAAAGATCAGTTCTAAGTCACACTTGAACTCCTTGCCAACACGAGATATATCCTGGTTATAACAACGTACAATCTAAATGTGATCGGTCCATTCTCAATCACTACATGCAGCTCAAATAAAGTTCATCGTGCATGTGTGAGTGAGTAACATACCCTACACTGAAGAGGATACCAAACATGTCGGTGATATTTTTTGTGCAAAATAGATACCGACGAATCCATCGAATCAACATACACATCTGCACTGACAGAAAACCATGGGAAATATTCTTCTACTTCCTATAACAATACATCTGGTCACTATTACGAAATAATAGAAATGCACGTTATGGCAAATGGTCTATACATTATTCATGGGGGGCAGCAGTGTGTACACGAGTATTGCAATTTTTATGCACTCACTCCATTGAAAAACTTACTTGTACAGCAAGACGTTTCCGATGTCAATGACATACCCCACTTTACTGTTGTACTTCAAAACAACATTCGGTACGTATTAGTTGTGACACTGTGTATACCAAATTTAACAGGCAAGTTCTCAAATAGATGCTTCACTAACTGTTTGCTCGGAGTATTCATCGTAATTAACAATAAATAATCAAAAGTATGACAAAGAATGTATTGTGTCATATTATTATTACGAAACTATACGATTGACCTCAATCTATAAAGATAACTGTTTACACGGTAAACAGAAGGTAAAGTATACAGGTTACTTTCGATCTGAGGTCACACAAATTAATGACAATCCCGTTTTCATTCGACTTACACAGTCCAGCAAATATTACCCTTCAACGGTTCGGTAAGTGATTGGTATTCAATTTCAATTTGAGTGATGCTTTCAGTTGATAGTTCTACTTACTGTTATGTTGGTGGTTCATGTAACACTCAAGTGAAGAGCATTGGGCTCACACTCGATGACATTTCGCGTTTGCATGTTAATCGAAATACGACAGCTCATGATCAACCACTCATTTCGTCAAGTTGGATGTGACATATTCCTTCTTGCATCATCAATTACTTCTCTCCTGATGATTACGATGTTCACGATTAAATTCTGGTTTGTTGTTGTTACTCAGATGGACATCTCTACTTGCCTTTTTGTTCTTCAAGGTGGTTGTAAGTCGATGGATCGCCTTCATTTTACTGTTTGTGATTATGATTACCCTTATTCATGGGCCAAAAATGCAGTAGAAGAAATTGTGAAAGATCATTATACTTGATGTTCGGTTATTTATTCGCAGTCAATTCAAAATTACTACACATCCATTCTGATCATCCATCTCCTCGGATCCATTTGTTGCAAATCTATTTTCTCCACTATTCATCACAATTGTAAGCAATCGGCGACGAGCAAAAACACAAATTCCAGCAACGCTAAGCGAACATCTCTGTGAACAATGAAAGGAAAACAAACAATTTTTCATCAGTCGCGCTATTTTACTCTTTCTGTAAATTTCACACTTGGTCATTTCTTTGTTATCGGCATGTGCGGATGTCTCTGGTTATTTCATTTCATTCATACCATCGATGCTCATCTTTGTTATATACGTCTTTCGATCGAATCCCTATAGGAAAACTTTCAAAGAATCGTTTTTCTCGAATTTGTAGAAGACACCAATCTATACTTTGATGTATCGACAAACTTCTCTTCGACTGTCATATGTGGTGATATAAAAGAAATATGATCTTCCTTTAGTCAAATACTTTTAGTCAGCTAGAAAGAGCTGGTTAGTTGTACCAAAATTTATATAATCATGTAAATCACCACTTTTAGGTGTTGAAGTTAAAAACATTTAATTCAGATGGCTTATTCGTGCCACCAATGAGCAGTTTGTCACAATATTCAATTGTTTTGACATTTTATAGTTTCGATACCAATTGCATTGTGATTTATTTGCAATGTTTTCCTAGCAAAATTTCTTATTCGAAGTCCGAGATTGTTCTTACTTTCTTATTGTTCTGTATCTTTATTAGTTATTTGTATTCAAAGATTTTTTAATATTCCTGATATCGAATTAAATGTACTTCGAGGATTTAAGTCTAAAGCAAGAAATGCAATTAGAAAGATGTTATTTCTTTGGTGGTACGGGAGGAATAGACGATGTAAAAGTAGTCATTATTTGAAGGAAATCGTCCGGAACGTTAATATGTTGGAATAGTAAAAAGATTTCTACGACTGTTTGAAAGAATTACTCACACGTTCATCATCGTCCAGAAATAAAACTTTTCACGTTTCTCATAATAAATGAATAAACATCAGTTCAAGAACAGATCTAAATCGGTCCTTTTATTAAGGCACAACTATGCTCAATGTTAATATTTCATCATTATTGTAGAACATTCGTATTGACAACATTTCGATACAAATGTGTTTTGGCAAAAAGAATGAAGTTTCATGTTTTCTTGAGTTAACTTTTGTTCTTTTTCAAGTCGAATCACTCAGTATGTGACCAGAGAAAGTGTAAGAAAAAGAAGTTTTGTTGAAATAAAAAGGATAGCTTGTCATTTCACTTCTACGAGAATGTACAAGATATGAAATCAAACGACATTAACTTGAAGGAATTGGTTTCATGGAATATTTTATCAGGATGCTCTGGAGGAAGTGTTTTGTTCATATAATCTATCATTTCATCATAACGACCTAAACCATACGATGACATTGCTAAAAAATAATATGAATGAGAAAGATTTGGATGATTAGCAGGTAAATTCTTCAGATTTATATCGAGAGCACGTTGATAATACAAAAATGCTTCCTCAAGTTTGCCTTGGTCGACGTAAATAGCCGCTATATTGCTATAATCAGTTGCAATATACTTTTGATTCGTTGTTGGATTCATCAAATGTATTGACAAAGCATGCTGAAAGTAAGCCAGTGCTACGTGATGATTTCCTTTTTCTTGATAAAGAGTACCAATATTGTTGTAAGTAATAGCTAATTCGGGATCATCTTTACCAAAATGTTTTTCTTTTATTTCAAGTACGTTATCGTAACATTTTTGTGATTCTTCAATATTACCAAGATTATTATAGATAATACCGAGTTGATTCCATACTGTCGCTAAACGTAGTGGAGCATTTTCCATAGTTAATCTAATTTGGTAGAAAAACTTGGCTTTTTCATATTCACCCATACGAATTAATAATCCTCCAAGCATCAGTGTAGGATTTTCATCCAAAATATTCGATTTAATATCTTCTTTCAACTCAGCCAATTGTATGTCATTATCATCGGCTAAAGTTCTAGAATAAATAATGAAATTTATTCGATCAATGTACTTACAGATGAACTTTTTCTATGCGAAAAACCGCACCCATTGAGAAAAGATATTCTTTTTCCGCATCATCAAAGTAACTATATTGTGCTATGTCAGCGAAAGGACATGCATTATGATTGATTGGATCGATATAAATTTCAAAAAGAGCACAACTAATGGTTGGATCATCTATTGAATGCCCAGCAAATACTTCTGCAATATCAAGAAGAGTAGTTGTCGAGAGAAATCTTGAGATCGATAGAAGACCACCCAAATTTATTTTGATGTTTTCAAAGTCAGCTGTCGGCATTTGTTGACCACGATAAAGAATTATGCGTTCATTATCAATTGACTTTTGATGTAAAACGCTCAATTGTTCATGTAAATGTCGAATATAATTATGAAGAAAAAATAATGGTTTGATATCATTCGTACGTAGTGCTTTATTGAGCATTTTACGTATATAAAAATCCTTCACGAGTATACCAAGTGATGGGTGAATATCGAATAAAATCTCGATCAAATTCATCAATCATTCTCAATACATGATGATTACCTACATACTGTGAACGACAGAATCCGATCACGTTATCATGTAGAGTATCATCTTCCATCGTACATCAAATGTCCTTTGTTATAGATGAATACATCAATATGGCGTCTTGTTGATTAGGCAATTTCTTTAATTTACTCGAAGTATCCCATGTTTCGTGGATTGGGTTTGGAAGAACATGAAATGATAAGATACTTTTTTCACATTGCCTAATATCGCATTCGAGTCGAGAATACAAGGATTCGATATCACAATAATTTTCCTTGATTTTTCGAGACAATTTGAAGTATTTTTCTACTTCTTCATTCGACGAATTAAATAAGTAAATATTATGGATTTGTTTGAGAGTATCTAATATGATAAATAATTATATCTGATTCGATGATCGGTCTTGAAATAATTAAGAAAACTTTTTCATTAGAAATGTTAGTAATAAAATCGATCGAGTCATCGTAATTGGTAAATGTATAGATTTTATCAACGAGTTTTTTCAGTAAATCTATTGATCGTTCGTTTACATCTGAATTCTGCCAAACAATAACACTATTTTCCATAAAATGCTTATGAATTGGGGCTGAATGAAAAAATATCTGCTACAGACGATGAATTTCTTTCGCTCTTTGAAGCAATATTTTCTGAAACAGATAAATATACATAGCATTCAATCTATTAAAGAACGAATATACAAGAGCTGAAACGAATAATGACATTATGCTTACTAAACTTGGTTTTTTCCAACTTGTGCTGGCAGTGCACAAACAAGAAAAATATGACATTCAAATCGATATTGACGCATAACAGAAGGAAAGAAGAAACGGTATGCGGGAACTCCAGTTAACACATACGACACAGAATGAATGAATATAATTTCATCCTAGTTTTGTCATTTCCATACGAATGTATTGCGAAGGAAAATGTGAAGCTTAAAACTAAAAAGGCCTAGCTTTTTGTCGTCTTTGCTTTTAGTTTGTTCATAGAATATCATCCAATAATTGCATCATCCGCTTTTGAACTGAAATTGTTGTGAAGGTGATATGGCAAACAGTGACCAGAATACATTCCGTGCATTTGTGTACCTACTGAAGGGCAAAAGTTCAATGTAAATTATATGTACTTCTGAAATTCTTCCAATATTGTTGGGTCAAGCTGCTGCACAGAAATAGTACGAAATATAACTGTCAGACAAAAAGTGAAAACCAATGATACAATGTTGCGGGTATGAATTCTTTTCACTAACAAAACATTTTGTGCTTGAATAGGAACAACAGTTGACTGTTATTTTGGATAAAATATTCTTGAAGAAAGGCAGCGTCAATAATAAACTTTTGATAGTGACAACAAAATCATTCGTAACTCTTTCGATTCCCACATTATAAAACAAAATAAGAAGAAGATAATCCAATCTATTTTTAAAGTTCATACTATATTTTATGTGCTATCGATTTGATTTCACCACTGTACTTCAGACTTTCGTCATCAAAAGGAAAGAAAGGGAAAAAAAGAATTACACCATCTCAAATTGACACAGAATAAAGAAGAGTTTGATAAGAAATGAAAAACACGAGCCGCGATCGATGGCTAACACAACTCTGAAGTTATGAGACAGAAGCATATCTTTCGGTTCCTCGGAATCACAGTCATCGATCAATTCGACACTCGTTTTTTTTTCTTCTTTTTTTCTCGATCATGAGGGTGTGGGTGAATGATTTCATTATTGGAATTGATATATCACATTAAGTTCTATTTGCAACCAGTGGGATCGGAATTGGAACGCATATTTGAACGAATAAATCCTGAAAAAAATCGAATCGGACACGACGAGAATTTATGTTATTCTTAAAATAATCCAACTCATCTTGTATGCGACGCACTTAATCGGTTTTTCCGAACCAAGTTCTCTTACATAAATGAATAAATTATGCTATTCTGTAGGTACTACAATGAAACAAATATGAGTAAATATTTTCTCCGTCCAGTGTTTTCATGACGTGATACTTATGTCTGGGTTTTCTACCGTTCTGTGGTCTATGTACAGAGTAAATAAAGATGGCTGTTTAAACATTATGATATTTTTCCCCAGTGGGAATGATTCACAAGGAAAGTGTACTGGGTAAAGGTCAGTTAACTTCATTTTGGTATATAAATCTATTGAAATTTGTAGATTAGGGAATGACTTTAAAAGACAATGAAACTTTTAATCTAACATGCCAAGTAACAGTGAATTTTGATTATGAAACGTGTGTCCTGAAGTTTCTTAAGGATGAAGCACCACCAGCAATACCTTCATTCAATATTCCCTTTACTGGAAGTAGGGTATACACTGAATTTCAGTTAAAGCTCATTCGTTCGTCCGTTCATATATTTTACACTGATAGAATAACAATCTATACTGTTTACGAAAAAGGTTTGACCGAAGGATAATCGGGATCGCGGATCTCGAATTTGATGTTACTTTTCATAAAAACTTTCTGTCTCTTTTTTTGCGACAAAGGATCAATTTTTTAGACGATCGTGTTTTAAGCGGCAATATGTAGAACAAAATTTAATAGCTGGCTAACCTGTGATTGCTGGATCTCCATAGTCATCAGCATATTAATGAGATCAGACACTTATATCAACAGCTATATTATACAAATATCATCTGATGCTAGTCACTCAAGATAATGTTTCCTTTGTTAAGTGTTGTCTTCGAGAGTCACAGTAGCACAAAGAGGGTGACTTTTAAAGGAGGAATAGAAGAAAATGAATGGATTAGTTTCAAAAGTGATTCTAGACTAGACGGAAGAGTGAAAATGTACATGTGACGGCTAGCTGAATCATATTTCAAAGAACAAATTCTGTGATTTTCATATAGATTTAAGATTTCTTGGATTTAGAACTTAATCGTTGATCTGCAAGAACATATCTGGCAGCTCTTTAAAGTTCTTCGTGGTGAAGAGAATGATATACCTATGTAAAGTTTCTAAGTTTTCGATTATGAACTGATTTTGCGAAATGAGCTCACTTCTGGATCACGTCTTCGTCCGAACGAAGTTAAGATAGTAAAATGAGTATGCATGGGAACGGCTAGCCATTCATTTCAGAAGATTTCAGGAAACGAAATTGTTCTACGTAAAGCATTCTGACAAATTATCAAATGATCCGATCGTTCAACTGAAATAACTTTTTTCCCCTCTTTGGACGAATATTAGCGCTGTAATACTAGGTTGAGGAAAAAGTTCGTGCGCCATGTTAAAATATTAATATTTTGTTTCTTAACGAAATTGATTTTAGCATGGTTCGATCGAGTTTTTCACACTCTACAAAAAAGATATAAAAATATCGACGAAGAACCTCTGACCCGGACACATAATTGGACTAATACTAGTCCTAACCGGCTTTTTGAGATTTTTGTCCAGTTTTTGATAGACTCTTGCCAGAAAACTCAAGAGTCGAAGAAGAACTAATATAATATTCTGACTCAGCGTCGAAAACTGGGTATACTTATGTGAGTTTTAGCACTGTTTCTCGAAATCTGCTTTTTCTCGAAAAATTGATCTGTGGTCTCTCTCAGGCATAGGTCGAACAATGAGTTTCATGAAAAATGTCTTCTGTCTAGTAGACTGAATTTCTATAAGTGTAAAACCATTATAGAAATGAAAACGCTCAATTTCTGAACCATAAAAAACAGGGTTTGGAGGAACTTCATTTTTCGACCTATGCCTGAGAGACCACAGATCAATTTTTCGAGAAAAAAGCAGATTTCGAGAAACAGTGCTAAAACTCACATAAGTATACCCAGTTTTCGACGCTGAGTCAGAATATTATATTAGTTCTTCTTCGACTCTTGAGTTTTCTGGCAAGAGTCTATCAAAAACTGGACAAAAATCTCAAAAAGCCGGTTAGGACTAGTATNGTGAAATCGAAAATTCGTTTTTGGTACCAACGATAATCGCTTTTGCTACTTGTGTACCCTCCTTGTTTAAATGTAATCGTGAAAGATAATCATGTACTTCTTTATCCGCATTCTTATATTGCTCACGAAGTAATTCGCAGTATTCTTTCATATCGGCATGATCAATTGTTTCAGTAGAAATAACAAAATGCTCTTCACTCTGCTTTACACGACGATTTGTCAGTAAATTGAACGCTTGTTTTACCATATCTTGATTTGCTATTGGTATAGTTACAATCAAAGGCAGAACAGTCGATGCCGTAGCTGGAATAATCGCATTTGCCATCTTTGTTGATTATCGGCTGAAGAAAAAATATGAAGAGCAATACGTTTTCTTTTAAATAAAATTCCTTGTGAAAATTCCGACGGTACAAGTAGTATTCTTTCTTTACTTTATTAGTCACAAGTACACACTCACATGTTCTTATCTTTTATTGCGATAGGATTGGTTATGCGTAAAAATAGCTGTTAAAGTTATTTATAATTACTTTATTCCATCAGGGGAATTTCCATTGTAAAGCAAATAAAAATTAATATTGAAATTTCCAACTTATTCTTCATACATAAAAATGCCGAATTTCATAATCGCGTAAAATTGTTTTTTTTTCTTTTGTGCAAATCGATTTCATCATCATGGCATCTTCAATCGATCACCCTTTACTAGTGACTATACCAGTAAATAATAATTTGATTGAACAAGCGTATCGTATGCTTGAAAGCAAATACATTCATCGTCAACAAGATGATTTTAATGTTGTTACAAGCACGATTAAACATTCGGATATGGATAAGTACATTGAAACTTTACTTGAACAACACAAAAACGCAAACGAAGAAGTTAAGAATTACATTCAGCGATTAAAATTTATCTCAGAAGGGACAAACATGGCGAAAGCTTTGGTCACTGGTACGAAAACTCACATATCTGTTTATGTTTTTGTTACAAGCCGAAGAAAAACAAATACAAGCGATGATCACAAGATTTTGATTGCTTCAATGGAAAAAAACATTTGAAGTACGTCCAAATATTCCATTTGCAGTGTCCCGGGTTCTCATATATGCAATACCATTTATTCCTTTCGCAGCAATTCTTTTTCCTCTGGGTGTCTGGTACGACTTGTTCAACATTGGGAACGACAAACAAACTCAGGAAATTTTAGCAAAATTGAACGATGAAGAAAATAAGAAATGTTTAGAAGCAATGGCTTTTCATATTCTCGGCAAAAAGATTCAATCACACATAGGCGAATGTGTTCAAGTGCGTTTTGTTCAAAGCTGATGTTATTCACGTTTTTTGAGAAAAACCCAATAAATTTGTGAGTCATGGTTATGTTAATGAGAAGATATTTGCAGAACGACCTTGACTGGTCTTTTTTTCTCACGGAAAAATCTGATGAAAGAGAAAGAAACGTGCGATTATTCTCTACAGGAACAAATTTTGCCTAGTTTGGACGCATTGACAATTCTGTTCGATTCGTCATGTTGGTCAGCGATATCAAGTAAAATCTCATCGGATTTCTCATTCTTTGATTTACCATATCGAGAAAAACATGCACTACGCTTGTTCTGACCAGTTATAATTTACATGACAAAGAAAAACAATATCTCATCAATGAATTATCAAATAATACCGTCGATCAATGGTCACTACTTGTTTCGTTATGGATATCTTCAAACTAAATCGTAATCAACGTTGTATGCCATTTAAACAAAAGTATATCATTTCTTGGGCAATTTCTTCTGTAGAGACACTCGAAACGCTGAATTTAAGTGGAAATGAAATTGAACATCAAGGTGCACAAGAACTTGATAAGGTATTTGAAAACAATTCAGTAAAACATATAAATGACCATTTGATCGATCATTTTCATTGGCCTCTATAGCCATTAAAAACATTCAATTTGGCAGCGAATCGAATGACAGATATGGGTACACAACGTTATCATCATACACTTTCAATCAATAAAGTAAATCTTAACAATTTCTTGTCTTTTCAGACACTTAAGGTACTCGACCTTAGTAATAATGAAATAGACAATCAGGCATGCGAATATCTTACTAATGGTCTTGTGAAAAGCAAAATTTGGTCTTCTTTTGTTTTTTCATTTATTTATGTTTGATCGTTCCATTGTATTTAGACTCTTGTTTCTTTGAATCTTCAGACAAATGACATTTCGGATCAATCAGTATACATCGATTTTTCGCTGTTCTAACGAATAACAAAGTAAATAGTCCTTTCTTTATTTCTGGTTTATCATTAATTTTGATTTAGACACTTCTTACAACAGAATTACTGACAACGGAGTAAAGCATTTTGCTGATGCTCTTAAAACGAATCGAGTAAATTAATTAGTGAATATTGTCATGAATAGTTGATCTTCAGGAAAACGAGATCACAGAAACAGGAGCAGATTATCTTGCTGTTCTTCTTTCTGATCGTGCAGTAAACGAATCCTTTCTTTTACTTCTATTCTTGTTTATCGAATGTATTTAGACATGTGTAATGGTTCATCTTCATTTGAGTAGTTTTGGCGAAGAAAAGCACAAAGAATTAACAAAACTCGTAAATAACAATGAACGATTCGAACTAAAAGACATTCAGTGTTGGAATTAAATCTTCACTGCATCTCTAGAAGTGCTTTTCTAAAAATAACTTCAAATACATAACATAATTCTCGATTAAAAGGTTTGTAGATAGGCGAAAGCATGACAACAAAAGAAAAAAGTTTGATGTTGATTATTGTCGTTGTCGGCGACTGAGATGAGGAATCATTTGTTGATGACGGAATTGCAAAACATGAATACCTTGTTGTTCAGTGTCAACTGTATGGATACGACTTACATGTTGGAAGATTTTTTTCGCTTCTTTCCGAAAAATAGTACCGGTTAGTGTATATAAGTAGAAACTACTTGAATGAGCAAAATATGTCATGATACCGGTAATTCTTGCAAATAAGTTTTCTTGTGCAATTCGAAGTGTATCTTTGACTAAAATGCTCGTAAACGATGTATAAAGTTGATAAATTGAGAACGGTAATGTTGCAATAATGATCACTAAAACTTGCGCTGTAAGCATGCGTAACAATTGCGAATTTGTTCGTCGAGTTCGCATATTTTCAGCTGTGATTCGTCGAACCAAATGATTACGTTTCTGAGTATTTCTTATTGTCAAAAAGCCAAAAGTAAGCATAAAAAATGATGGACAGAGTGAATAAACTACCATATGTGAGAATCCGAAAAAAGTACTATAAAAACCTTTTCGACTACGGCATGAAGGTACGACATTTCCATTGGCATTTGTTACATTATATAATTCATAATAAGCAATCATATGACTATACAGAATTGGAACAAAAAGACTTGAAGTTGCAATGGCTAACTTGGCTGTTTTCATCGAACTTAGCTGACGTAGACATCTTTGCGGCGAACTGTGTAGAAAACGATCAATACATGCTAATAAGATTAACCAAACTGATGTTGCACGTGTTGCATAAAAAATAAAATATTCAAACTTACAAATACCGAGATTATAATTTGATGCCGAGATATCATACGCATTGGAAAGGACACGAACAGGCATAACAACGAAGACAACGAATAGATTGTAACATGATGAAATAAGAAAATACATTGAACATGGTTCTTGACGGAGAGTTGGCCGAGTGAAAACATAAATGTTGATAAGAAGTCCAAATGCACCCAGTAGAAAGTTCACAATCGATATTGTAAGAAAACATATTGATGCGGCTTGGTTGATTTGTTCAATTAGAATCGCGAGAGACGACATTATGAATTAATGAATTCTTGTTTCCTATATCGTCTCTCAAATAAAAATTCTAAAGTTTAATGAAAACTATATGGGTTGTATAGTACACATTAATGAATATATTGTCATCTGGGAGCAAAGTTACTTTAAAGAAAAAATTAGCATTTGCTCCTCAATGTAAACGTTTTTCCATGCTCTATTATATGAAAAATAATTAAAGACATTGAACTTTTGCTCTTAGTTAAAGTACAATGCATTATTTATATGAACGATTATAGTCATGTGCGTCAAAGATTTTAATTACTATTTCGAACCTATAACTGATATACATTTCAAATACCAAAGTGTGCAAGATAACAAAACAAATAATGTGATGAAAGACATCGGTGTGAAGCAGAAAACGAATGCAACAAACAGCGTTCATTCTATTCTTCGAAGAAACGATAAAGTTGTGACTCGATAGATTGTGTTGAAACTGAAAAAAAAGAGTTTTTTCGAAGCATCTCAAGACCTGGATCAGAATTGTCAAAACCAAAATTTGAAAATGAGCTCGGGTTTTGATGCGTGTTTCTTCACAGCGAGTATCAACTGGTAAAAGTATATTCATTATTATATAGAGAATGTCCCAGATATTCTCAAGTCATTTTTTTATAATGCATTATCTTTGAAAATTACATTTTAGTTCGAATTATGAATAAGAAATTAATAATAAGGTTGTCAGATATTATCAGCGCAAATTTTCCAGATGTTCTTTTGAATGCGCTGAAATGCTTGCAAGAAACTTCTATTCTGTCTATATCTCGATTTCATCAGATGATAAAATCTTAATATTTCTTTCGCTGCAAGCCATTCGTTTTCCACTAGGCAATACGGATGAGAATTGCCCGCATTCAAATATTACAGAAAGTATATTTTGCTTATCTAACTTTTGGAAAGCGTTCGAGCTTTTTGACTGGTTTCTTTAGAATGATCTTGTATTTTTCGGTTGCAAAATTGGTTTGGTGGATAGTCATCGATCGTAATCAATATCGCTTTCTATAAGTTTCTACTGAGATCTTTTAATCCTGACTCCACCACTATTTCGATCTTGATTTACCCATCGTCTGCACATTGCCAATGATCAATAACAAAATTGAATTGCATCAGATTTGACATGCGCAATTGTAAGAGTACATTAGTCATACCTTGTGAAACGTCGACAGACTGATTTTTAACATATGGCTGGTTTTTCCTCTTGAAAACTGATCCTTATCAAATATTTGCATTTTGAATCATTTTAAGAGTGAAAATTTGATTCATTTTGCATCGAACATTATAAAACATCCACAGAATATGTGTTTTACTTACACATTTGGCGTCTCGTAATCAAACAGCGAAGAGTCAATACTCTATAAGCAATGCTGACAAATAGATCTGTGAGAAAACAAACGTTTGAAACTATGACATCATCTATCAACATCGGAGTTCTGTCGATTGCTGTCTTAATTTTGTTCATTTTAATAATTAAATTATTCGTTGGAATTAACTTTTTTCACCAGTGTTCAATTGGATCATTTATTTCTTCTTATGTTCTTCTCAGTGCTGTATTGGAACTTATTCTCACTATTCTGCTTCATTTGGTACGAAACTCTTTATGTGACTTGGACAAATGATCGTTTGTTCTATTTGATAGATGTTGTTATCGGACCAAAATGGAGAAGGGAAAACAACATTCTTCGAGTGGTTTTGGAACTCTCTAAATACATATCTCGTTTATATTTCATTATTTATTATTTGTGTTGGTATGATTCCTATATTAATGATACTTGTAAGTTTAATTGCAATATTCATTTTTCAATCATTCGAAATATTTCACATTTAGGGTGGAATTTTTGTACTACCTACAGTGATGAGCGTGCAGTTTTCTGATCCATCTTTGTTGACATACTGCCATCCAATGCTTTACACTTATGCGTTTAGTACTGCTCTAATCTATTTTGGCATCTTTATTGTTCTTTTAGTTTTTATTTACTCGTGCTGGACAGCAGCTTCTGATTAAATCTATTTGGTAATAAAGATAACAGTTGACAAAAAAGATTTCGAGCATTTTTCGACTTTCAATGATTTCCCACGTGATATTCTTGAAATGTGAGGTCAATGTATGTTGGAAAGCATACATCCTCAAACGAACATGTTTATTAGATTTACGAAACACTTTTTTTATATACTGATAAATGGTATTGAAGCTTATGACTGTGCATTCTTCTTGAATTGATTTTTGCTGTGATTGGACAACAAACAGCATAAGCATTCGATGATGCAACTTTACAATAATATGTTTCCGGACAAGAATCAAATTGGCAACTATAATCTTTGAGGAATGGTGCTCCATCTTCACATGGACTTGATTTACACTTGCATGTTGCACATCCTTGAGCATCTAGACGATATCCGAAGAGACAATACATACGACATAACGGACGATCGTCGCACGTTGTTCTACCAACCATTGATTTTGAGATGAGCATTGACATGAACGAACAAATAAGCAAAAATTGAAGATATTTCACCATTCTTGTCGTTATTCTTCTATAAATTGATACTAGAAGAAGAAGAAGAAATCGCAGAAGAAAACTTTGTTTAACTGAAACGAAATGACAACGATGTGTGGCCAATTATTGTGAAAGAGAAAGAAAAATGCAATCACGTGCAAAATGACTCCTGACATAGAAAAGGAAGAGAAAATGATAGTTTATGACGTCACTACACGAACAAAAAAAAACAATCATTCTATATAAACATCATAGCGTAGATAAATTTGTCTTTTTTTTGTCCAAACGATCACCATATAAAAATCTCTTCAAAATTTGCGATTGAATATGGTTAACATTCCATCGAATCGGAGTAGTTTTGCATTGCAAATTATGAAGGAAAAAGAACGATTTACTATCGACTACGGGAGTAAACCAATATGGCGCTGACGAAAATATTATATATTCATCTTGAGGGTGAGGGTGGGCGAGGGGGGGGAATGACATATTATTCGTATTTCATCTTATGAAGTCGGGTACTTTCATTTAAATCAAATATTTGTTGGTTGAAGTATTCGCTGGCTGAAATGAAAATAAAGCGTTCTGCGTTCCACTGTCGAAGCTCGAAAAACAACATATTCAATGGAATATCTCGGATTTGATTAGATGAGAATTTTCAAATTCTAAATCATTTTTGTTCTAATTGGATTGAATATACCAAAACTAATCGATGACAACCATGAATGAGATTTCTCCTTAGAAATGTATTCAAATGGTTCATTTGATGCCACGTCATTCAGTCCCTGTTGTTTACAAAAACCCAGTAATGTTCTATATTCCTGCACAAGATGAACAATGTCTCTATCTAAATATTTTCAATTCTTCATCGATATCTCATTAATCTTTATTACCAGTTCTTGTCTGGGCTCATGGGGATGGTTTACGGTCAGGCTATTCTTCAACAGTCGATCATTTCTGTAACGATTAACTATTGGGTAGGCGTGACAGGTGATTTGTATTTAAAGGAATTGAATGAAGAGAATCCGACTGAATGGCCAACTTCGAGGAATTACGATCTTTTGCATATTTTATCTGGTCTGCGTTGGATTATATACAACGCTTTCAATTTATCGAGTGAAATTGTTCGAAACACCAACTATTCCAACCATGATAATCAAACGAAACTTGATTGTTAACGCCAAGTTTCATCGTTTAACAAAATCATTGATCGATAATTACTTTTTCCATTTTACCCACCTCTAGCAATTGAAAACGAAAATTACAATCAAAATTTAAATTTGATTTTTGGAAATAAATACGATGAAAATAAATTCTACCGGTTTGAATTCATCACTTGCCGGTACATATCAAACTAAAACTTAACTAGTCGTTGTTGTGATTCAATTGTTTTCATCATCACAGATCAAATGTTTTTGATTGTAATGTACGTCGAATTTATCGAAATTTATATACGAAATCGAACAAAACAACCAAATATATTCTAATATCTTTTGAATTGTAATTCAGAAATTTGTCCTCAACATTCGATTGAACAAAGTGCGAGTATTGGCGCCCACGCAGCTGATATTCCATTTGTTTTTGAAACGATTAAAAGTTATTAATCATCAGCTTCTCTGAGTTGTACTCGGGATGGTCAATCACGAATATTTTCGAATCAAATTATTCAACATTGGGTTAATACACCGAAAGCTAGGAAACCATCACCGAAATGTTTTTATATCACATCTTTTCAAGAATTCTCATCAGTTTTCCATTGGAACTGTCGATTACGACGATAACTGATTTTCATCAGAAAAATTTGGATGCAGCAGTAATTATGATAACGAACTTTCCAACTCGATCTACATGGCACAACTATTTCATCAACACTAAGATTAGTTTTTCTGTCAATTAATTTTTCTTTTTTTGCATGTGACACTTTTCTTCTCCTTCTTCTTCTTCTTCTTCTAATGATCAATGTGTTCGTCCTCACCAATCTTTTAATCCTATCATACTGTGACGTCTTCAGCTCTGTTTATATTCTACTTCACAGATATTCTCAATAGAAGCAGAATTTATTCACGCAATGATAAAAGTACTTTATGAATAATTGAGAGGTAAAAGAGGAGAAATATTCCCAAGTCTGATCGTATTCTACCGCTCATAACTTACTCGAAATAAAGGAAGACAAATGTCAAATAGTAGTGATTTGGTGTCAACTATGAACTACGTTACAATGCAAATCAATCGTCATGGACCTACAGTTTTACTTCTTTTCGGCACACTCAGTAATGTATTGAACATTTGTATTTTAAGAGAACGTTCTCTCAAAAAGATTCCATGTACAATCTATCTTTGCTGGTCTTCATTATCAGCTACTGTATTCATTTGGTCAGGATTATTAACACGAGTACTTCAAGGGTAAGTGAAAAAGAAAAGCATTTTGAGAGTGTCAGTAAGATGACAGATCTCAATTGTAGTTACAGCATCAATTGGCCGAATGAAAATCAGCTTCTTTGTAAAACTCGTTTGTACTTGCTGAACATTAGTTGGTCATCAGCTATTTGGATTCTTGTTGGAGCAAACATTGATCGATTTTTGTGTAGTCATCAATCAGTTGCTTATCGTCGACTGAGTACACATCGACTAGCAAAACGCGTTGTCATGAGTGTTTTCATTTTCTTTATGTTAGTCTACACTGAGGTATTGCATTGTGTGGAAGCAAGAGTTCCCAATGTCCCTGTGTCTTGTTATGGTCGAGATCTTCCCTGTCGAATTATTAATGATTGGGTATATTTGGGAGTAGATATTGTTTTCCCAAGCGTCGTTATCACTATCTTTGGGATACTAACTATTCGCAATACTCGATCTCGAATCATTCATCCAACAATAAATTCGTTTC